GAATAGGTTTGCACATCTTGAACCAGTGTGCAATTAAATATGAAACTCATCTTTTCCAAATAACCATCAACAAACCTTGATGTCTATAAACACTAGCTTTTGGCTCACACACTGATGAAAGAGCCTTGAGAGTTTCAATATTTATTACATACGAAAAGTCAACTGAGATTTTTGTAAGTTATTCTGTTCCAGGCTGGATAAAATGAACCAGCCAGTGAAAGTCTTTGTTACACTAAGTTTAAGTGCATGGTGTTTGTTTGCCTAGTTCACCCTGATATGTCAATCAATCAAATAATTATTTATTATTATGATAATTGTGTTTTAATTATGAATTAATCAAAATTTTATTTTGTTGGTTGCATCTGAGCTTTCAGGAAGGTTAAAAAGCTGAAATACAAGGTTTTATAGGCAGAGACTATATGTACAATGTAAAATGCAGATTGATTAAAGGTCACATACAACGTAAAACACAACTTTGCAGATTCTGATACCTTTCGGTATGGACTTACCGAAACAAAGCGTCAAAAATGCAAATTCAACTTATAGCGTTGAAAAATAGCGATGAAAAAACCCGCGTGAAATCGGAGTTCAAACGTTTCACTAATTTTCCCCAGACTTTTCTGGGGAATACGGGTTTCAACAGCTGGACTGCGCTGATAGCACGTGCGCCGTGAAATAGGTTCGCGCAACTTGGAAGCGGGCTGTCTGGTGAATACTCGGTGAAGGCTTTGGTGTGAGCTATTTTCATAATGTTTTGTTGATATCTCACAGGCGCGAGCTTTTTATATGTTATATTATGACAGTAAATAAACTGTTTAAATTAATTTCATTTGTCTATTTCACCACACGTTCTTCCTACCAAGTCACTTTCTCAGTTCTATACTTAAAAGCAATGTCATTATTTAGCGTTGACACAATTTCTAACTGTGATATAGATATGTCGCTGTCACAGACAAAACTCAATGTCTTGTTTTATTGACACCTGTGTGTCTGCCTGCCTGTCTGCTAATGACAATATTCAATACACAACTGCGATCACTGACCACATGCAATTTGAACTTAACACCAATCAGGCTATACACCATAAACAAAACGCATTGATTTATGGCCCGAGTTCAGTCTCTGTCACATTATGTAATTACACAGACAGGCAGGTGTGATACTTGAACACATGACATGTTATGATGTCTGTTGATTGCAAAATGTTATACACAAAAAATGAGCATGTATTTACAAAACCCAACATCTCTATATATACACACACAATGAGCCGTGAAGGAGGCATCTGCTAATGAACCAGCCGTTACACTTGAGTGCACACCCACCCGCTCTGACTGGGTTCGGTATCCGGCTGCTTCGTTTCGAGGGAGGTAAACCCAAGTACAAAATATTGCACTTTTGATTTGCGATTATACGCTTATAATTTTGTTTATTTGTTTTTTCATAATCAGCAATGCATATTATATGTCATGAAGAAGTGATAATTGTGTTTTAATTATGTTTGATTTTTTGGTTGCATGTGACCTTTAATAAGTGGTACTAAAAAGCAATAATGTACACTACACATTCTAAAAAAGACTACCCACCATGATATAAAATACCTTGCTGTTTTCCCATTTTATTGATGTGAAGTAGATACATTTCATTGTTAATTGTTTGATCAGCATTCTAGAAAGTGGTGAGTCAATAACGAATCATACAGCTTTCTGGATAGCAACTTCTTGAGCACTGTTTTGGTGTAGATTCGTACACTTTTACCTTCCTAAAAGTGACTACTGCTAAGTGAGGAACAGAACAGAACAGGATTTTATTCTCTTAAATCATAAAGTGATATGAAAAACATACATATATTTTGATGTAATGTGCCATTATGTCTTATATACATTTAAATATGTTAGGAATGTATAACTAAAACAGGGCTAATACATATTGTGTTAAACTTGACATGTAACATATGTTATGTTTGGGATTACACATTCTTAGTAAAGTACAACTTCTAATACGTTTTTGGGTTGAGTCCCACTTTCTAAATGGCATTGTATAATCTTAAACTTGACAGTTTCTGTACCAAAGGAGGATAGTTGGATTTCATAAGGGAAAGAAGCTTATCAATATGAGTGTTATTACAAAAATAACTAGGGAGTGTACTGTTTCTTACATCATCAAGAACTGTACATTACAAGATAATATGAAATTTTCCCCATTAACATGGTGGTTACAAATTGTACAAATTGTATTTTCTATGTCTATATTAGACCATCTGCTGGTTTCAACTGGTCATCTATGATTGCATGTTCGCAGATTTGTAGATGTACATATGTGTATATATGGATAGTGTGTTGTGATAAGTAGGTGATTAGCATTAACAGCATCAAGATAATTAATACCATGTAGCACATAATTAGATGAGTCTTCCTGTATTTTGACTTCATGACCTTTGTTGTTCAAATTATTTAAGTAAATGTAATATTTCATCAATAATGCTTAATATCCATCAGAGTTTGTCAATTTCATGAGTTTGTGAGAAAGATTAAGTGTTCGGCCCATTTGGGATTTGATGATCATGGAACAAAGGGGCTGAAAGATGGAAGGAGGTCTATGTTGGCTAAAGGATTGGAACAGTTCTTAATTAACAAGGAAGCAGACTTTGTGTGTCAGAACTGGAAAGCCCATTTCAAAATACTGAGTGCTCTTTCTTCCTGATCACATGACTATTTTAAGTCAGTTGCGTGAACACAGAGACGATATGGTCTCTGGGAGCATTTGTGTCGTGTCTGACGAATGAGCATGATTTAAAAAGGATGTGATCTAAATTTGGCAAAATTAACAAATCTAACTTCCTTATGATGTTCTTCTCTTTAATCTTATATTTTCATACCATTCATACATATATGTTTAGGAAAAGTTAACCGAATCCAATAATAGTGAACAATGAACAGGACAGGAGAATAAAGCAACATCTTTTGTCCTATTATAGTCCTTTTGAGTTTGTTTATGTTTCATGTAAAGGAAAAATATTTTGATTGCATTTGCATTTCTTAATTCTTTTTTCAATAATTAGATATTCTTAGAAACCTTTTCAAAGGAAAACCGTTTGCAGACAGTTTTATTCAGTGAAAGACTGCTGGCCCATAATACAGTCAAATGCATGATCACATATCACATATGGTACACATGGATTTATTAAAATGTTCTGCTCTTATTTTTTGATTTGTACATAATATAGAAATATACTAACATTCTTAATCACATCAACATTGGCAGATTGCTTAATATTAATAAAGGTGTTTATCGTAGGAGGTTGACTAAAATAATATATTTATCTCGAACATCAGAAAAACTTTCACAGATATACAAAATATGCCACTCATCTTCAACAACATTAATACCTTTTGATTTACAAAATAAGCAAAATCTTTCATTAGAAGCAATATATTCATATCTCCCAGTCTCTATTGCTACATTATTGCTAGATGACACCAATATTTGATAACCGGTTACAGTAGTTACAGATGCTGTCAGCGTCATGTGATAATTTTTCTCCTCCCATGAGCAAAGGGAGGTAACTCTAATTGAGTGGAGTGTACATATATTTGTGTCATCAATGCCTACTGATCAATGATTTGACTAATGATGAATCCCATTATTTAGTTCTATGTGAGAAGCATGTTATTATAATTCATACATGTCTACATATTTCAGAAAAATGCATGTTTATATATAAAATCTTTCTTTTACAACGTCACTGTAAGAAAATTGTGAAGTAGTCAATCACTATCTAAAACAAGTATGTCACGATATTAACCTTAACATGCCAGGAATCAGGGCCTCCTTTCACAAAGCACTAAGGTGATCGTAAGTGACTAACCTTAGTGCAATGTTAAAGAATGGGAGTTAAGGTTAACCTTCATATGAGTAAAGGTTGCTTCGTGAAAGGAGCCCCAGGACTGGAAAGAAAGCTCTGTTCTGATACTTGGACCGACATCACGCGCAGAACAAAGTTGAACAAAAAGTTATAAAATACCTTTTAATGGATGAAAATGATGAGTTGAAAGGCACTCTGTGTGTGTGTGTGTGTGTGTGTGTGTGTGTGTGCGTGCGTGCGTGCGTGTGTGTGGATAGGGTCGGTCGGGTTACCGCAAACGGACATATTGTGTTTTTTTGGCCTAACCAATAGAAACCTCCTGTACCTGAAGCTTGATAATAGTTCAAATTCCATTGTTTTGATTTTGGCAACCCAAGTAGACTCCTATGCATAATGAAACAGATCAGCAAGAACGGGAGTTTAGTTGTTGCTGATGGGAAAGCAGTCGTCATACAGAGAGGCAAATATATTGATAACAAATTCTTTAATATCTATGTGGGGACATTTCAAAACAGATCCTTTAGTGTAATCCAGCTAACGGTGTAAGGGTCTGTACTGAAATAACCTCATGTAGATATTAAAGGAGTTGTAATTCATTCAACTTCTGCTTTGTCATTACTCAATTTCTAAAGATGACTATCAAACAACTGCATTCTTCCTGTCTACATTTACAGTTTCTAAATTTTCTATGCATATTATTTTGTAGATGTTATTTATGAACAACAATAATTATTGAAAATCATATTACCATCACTTTAATGTCTTCAAAACATTGCACAAAAAGTTTACTAACATAAACACAAATAACACATTGTGAACTGTTACAATCTCTTTTGTGTTTGATATTATTTTATCTATGATTTTTTCAGGATTCATATGGAAATTATGGCTGTTATTAATATAATTAAATCCCTTAACAATTGATTTTTTTTAATGTAAATCTTGCAGACTTACTAACTTGGAATTAAGATTTTCAGGATGACACTAATACTAGTATTCTATATTTATATTTTCCTAATATCTGAATCCTAACATATTGCTTGTAGTGGTAATAATGAATAACGAATATTGTTTGAATTATTATTCCATGATAGTACCTGGACAGCAATAACACTATTTTCATCGTCTTTTTCAGATTTTTCTGATGCTATTGCAAGGGCAACATCAACAGGAGATAAGGAAGATTTACTACACATACTGACTGACTGCATCAACCCATACGACGTGGTTACTTACTTGACGGACAACCCCAACGCCTTCCATGAGCTCTGCAAGGTCACCTTCCTGGACGTGCTCAACTGTCTGGTAGAATATGGGGTGGATGTCGACTTGGAGTGGGCTGGGGTATGTGCTACTGTATCATTGGCTGCCATCTTTTTAAAGTTTAGAAATTGTGTGAAGCACTGAAGACAATGTTTGGATTTGTTTGTACCTTAATTCATATAAATAATCTGCCAATCTTCCAAGGTTTCGTTGGATTATATGTTCTTGGATGACAGTTTGTGGACCAAAATTTGTGGAATCACAGGCAATGCCAGTAACTGGACAATGGCTTCTTTTTCTGATAAATTTATCTTGAATAAGTTAATGAGATATTTTACAGTTATTCATGTGAGTGAAGGAGTGAGTTTAGTTTTACGCCACACTCAGCAATATTCCAGCCATATGGCGGTGGTCTGTAAATAATCGAGTCTGGACCAGACTGGACATTAAAATGTTTGTTTTCTGCTGAGTAGGTATTATGATGAGTTTTCTAAATTTTTACTGTAAGCTGGTCATCTCTTGGGAGTTTTAATTACAAGATTTCAAACAGATTTGATAACTGTAAAATGTTAACTTGAAAATGTGAAGTTTGAAAGCCCTAAAAAAGTTGATGTGGTTAAGTATTGCTTGATTCTAATGTGAAACATACTAGTACTATGAAAGGTCTAGTGAAGGGTTTCGTGATAATCAACATTTGTCACTGTACATGTCAGGTTTCTTAACAATGAATCCCAATTCTTGTTTTATCCTTGTCCACGCAAGTATGACTTGCCATTATCATGTCACATGGTTCTGTTGTCTGGACATCACAGCAAAGGAAAAGAATATCACTGTACATGATGAGGAAATATAGTAGAATGTCTAACTCTGTGGTATTACTACAATTTTTAACTTACGTTAACTTTGTTGGTAAAAGTTATTTTGCAATTTTTCATGAGAAAAAGTATCTATATGCCTGATTAGAGATGTTTCTGCCATGTTGCAGTTCACCCCGCTGCAAGTGGCAGCAGCTTCAGGGGATGTCGAAGTGGTCGCGTTCCTCCTCTCCAAGGATGCCAATTTGTCCAGGGACGTATGGCAGGAGGCATCTCCATTCTACCTGGCGTCTCTATATGGACACTACAAGACAGTTGTCCAGCTCACAGATGCCTTTCCATGTGAGAGTTGTCTCATCTGAGAACAGAATATTTATTAGACAGGAATGTGTGAGCCACACTGAAGTACCAGTTACCTGATTGCAATGAATTTCCTTTCACAGAGATTTGAAAGGGGTCCATGTTTTTACTAGCTTAGCTGCAATGGGGAGGGAAACGGGAAAGCTGACTGGTGAAAGTTGGCGGGGAGGTGTGAGTGAATGAGTGAATATTGTTTTACGCCGCTTTTAGCAATATTCCAGCAATATCACGGTGGGGGACACCAGAAATGGGCTTTGCATATTGTGCTCATATGGGGAATCGAACCCGGGTCTTCGGCATGACGAGCGAACGCTTTAACCACTAGGCTACCCCACCGCCCGGATGGAGGAGTGAAAGGTGAGGGGTAATGAGGTTGGGTGAAAGTTAGAGGGCAAAGGGGAGGGGCAGCAGAGTATGGTTGAAGACTGAATGGTGATGAGGTGGGGGTGATGGAAGTAGTTGGATGTGGACAGACTAGCTGGCACTAAATCAGAAGGTTTTTTGGTATTAAAGATTCATTAAAAAAATAACAATGCACTTGTACCATGGTGAATTTCATGTTATAATTTTCCATTAAAAGTGTCAAAGTATTAATAATTATGAATGATTTTTTCAACACATGGACTGTTTTATGTTATAGCTTATGTGAAGGACACAGAAAGCAGGAGCAGTTTGTTTTATGCCGCTTGCAAGGGAGGTAATCTGTCCATTGTCCAGTTCTGGTATCTGCCAGGTATGGACCTCAACAACCCAGTCCAACTGATATCATCTTTTGAGAACTGTGAGAATATGGTGCCACTTTTTGCAGCCTGTCAAGGTAGGAAATTGTTAAAATTGTAGAAAATCTATATAAAACTGTATGCCAAACAATAATCCAACTTTTAAGTGCAATCTTTTAATTACTCAGTTAATGACTTGTTTGTATAAGAAGGATTGGTTTTTCAAATATTTTCTCAATCCTTACCCTTTGATGTTTTCCTTAGGAAGTAGAAAGCCCAATAACTTGAATGGTTTTTCATATGTAATTTGATGGAGAGGAAGAAGCAGGCTGTGTCCATCCACTATGTTTGGTTTAGATTCAGTATTTCTTCAGGTAACTTAAGGCCTTGTGGCTTTTGCTGTTAAGTAATGGCTTGTTTTCCATTGCTCATCCATCCAGTGGTCCATCCATCTTAATGTTGACCCAGTTACAAACTTTGCTTTTCACACAGCCCTCATCTTCTAATGTTAAAGGTCACATGCAACGTAAAACACAACTTTGCAGATTCTGATACCTTTCGGTATGGACTTACCGAAACAAATCGTCAAAAATGTAAATTCAACTTATAAAGTTGAAAAATAACGCGATGAAAAAACCAGCGCGAAATCGGAGTTCAAACGTTTCACCAATTTTCCCCCGACTTTTCGGGGGAAAACTGGTTTCAACAGCTGGGCTGCGCTCATAGTGCGTGTGCAGTGAAATAGGTTCGCGCAGCTTGGTAGCGGGCTGTCCGGTGAATACTCGGTGAAGGCTTTGGTGTGAGCTATTTTCCAAATGTTTTGTTGATATCTCACAGGCGTGAGCTTTTTATATGTTATGACAGTAAATTAACTGTTTATATAATTTCATTTGTCTATTTCACCACACGTTCTTCTTACCGAGTCACTTTCTCAGTTCGATACTTAAAAGCGATGTCATTATTTAGCGTTGACACAATTTCTAACTGTGATATAGATATGTCGTTGTCACAGACAAAACTCAATGTCTTGTTTTATTGACACCTGTGTGTCTGCCTGCCTGTCTGCTAATGACAATATTCAATACACAGCTGCTATCACTGACCACATGCAATTTGAACTTAACACCAATCAGGCTATACACCATAAACAAAATGCATTGATTTATGGCCCGAGTACGGTCTCTGTCACATTATGTAATTACACAGACAGGCAGGTGTGATACTTGAACACATGACATGTTATGATGTCTGTTGATTGCAAAATGTTATACACAAAAAATGAGCATGTATTTACAAAACCCAACATCTCTATATATACACACACAATGAGCAATGAGGGCATCTGCAAATGAACCAGCCGTTACACTTGAGTGCACACCCACCCGCTCTGACTGGGTTTGGTATCCCGGCTGCTTCGTTTCGAGGGAAGTAAACCCAAGTACAAAATATTGCACTTTTGATTTGCGATTGTTCGCTTATAATTTTGTTTATATGTTTTTTCATAACCAGCAATGTATATTATATGTCATGAATAAGTAATAATTGTGTTTTAATTATGTTTGATTTTTTGGTTGCATGTGACCTTTAATGAACTTTTGACTTCTCTGCAACTGCAAAGCCTCTGGAACCAAAACTTTGTATGGAGGATTGCAACTATGTTGTCTGAAAACAAAAGATACTTGGTGTCACAAAAGTGAAAATTCTGTTATGAGCAATAGAAATCAAATTAGGTGCAAAATTAGAAAAGAACTGCATATTTTAGACACCACTGCACATTAGCCTAACTCAGTGTTTCTTAAAATGTTCGGTATGCCTGGGAACAATGGCAATGATTTGTGCATATGGTTTACATGGAATCCCAAACCTGGTTTTCAGCACTGTTACAAGAGGCACCTTTTGTACAGGAGATAATATCATATAACATATAAGTTCCATGCACCCCAACTGGTCATTGATTACATGCTAATGTTTTTTTGTCCAGCTTCACCTGGGTTTTCCTGAAGCTGAAATGACAGGGTATTTGTTTCACATTTCCAGGTAACCACATGGATGTCGCCGAGTTCCTCATAGATAGTCAAGCCATCATCTCAGAAAATATCTGTCAGTGTTTTCCAAAGATGACTGCAGAGCTCATGAGTAGATGTTTCAAAGAAGGGAAAGATCAGGTATGGACAGAAACTTAAGACAATAATTCCTAAATTTGCTTGACTATAGAGCAAAGGTGTATGGGTAATGTGTCTCAAAAGTTCACGCTGATGACAATGAAGAACTCTGATTAAATGTGAATTTATTGAAGCAAATCAGTCACAATGTATGTTTCCATTCACATCCAAGAATGAGTGTTTATAGACTGTTAGCTCAGTAATGGTTCTCACATTCAGAATAGCTGTAATTGCATCCCACTCATTGGGTTCAAATAAATGCTTTCATAAGTAAGTGTAATACATGTTTAGTGATGTCAATGAAGACTCACTTAGTATCTGAATGGAGGTCACTGATGAGGTTGCAGCACAACATTATGGAGCTTGTATATGTGAATAATTGACATCGATGTCTAGTGCTCTGTGCTGTTGAATTACTCTGTGATTCAGATTCAGTATTGTCTGATCTTTTTTATCCTTTGTTAATATTGCTGCCATGTGTGGCTGAAGCAACAGAAATGTATGCTTCAACCAGCTGATGCTTATATCCCTGTAACAGACATTTTCCGCTTCAATGAGTCACCAACACCTGGGCAGGGTCCACCCACTATGGTTTGAACCTCACCTCACACAACTGACTGAAGTGGACCTGTCAGATAACAGACTAAAGGCCTTACCCTGTGAAATTCCATGGAGTATGCCTAACATAAGGGTGCTGAATGTTTGTAAGAACAGACTCAAAGACTTTACTGGACCCGACTCAGATGATGGCATATGTTGGAAGTAAGTGCAATCTATAATTGATGTATTTGCACATTCTGTGCAGCAAACTAGTGTTGGGAATTGGTTAAAATCTCATAATTGATGATTGGTCCATTACAACCGATCAATCATCGAAAATAATTGGTTAGCATCATTTATTAAATGTTCCTGTTATCTTTGTTAATGCACAAAATAAATAACGAAAATACATGTAGTTCTTTGGTTTTTTTTGCAAATTGCACAAAATGCATGTTCATATTTCACATATTTAAAGGATGGCTAGTATGTTAGGAACATAAATTTCCTGGAATCTTTAAGATAAATTCAGTCATGACTTGGAACGAGCCTGTAGTAAATTTAATGACACAGACAAACCAACCTTGTGAAAAAATATTGTTAATGCAAACAAGTGCTCCATAATTGTTTGTGTTCGATTATGAGAAAACATTTCTGATTCCTTGGTTGTTTAGTCACTGCGACCAATCTTCGATTATTTCAATTAATCGGACCACCACTACAGCAAACAGATTTTCCTTTCATACCATAAACATATGTAAATTATATTCTGCAGATCTTATAACTGTTATAACTGGTCTTCAGCAACCTTTACTTGTTGTTGGAGGTGACTTACTAGATTGGGTGTTCAGGCTAGCTGACTAGGCTGCTGCAGTTGTAGATCAATGCTTATGATGTCAGTCATTCTCAGACTCATGTGTATATAGATGACCATCACATACTGAACTACTTTAGAAATGCATCACCCTATTATCATTGATCATGGAATATGCAAAACAAATTTCGACCCATTTTATTCTTGAAGTAATCGGACTACGACAGATAAACATTATTCACGGCGGGAAGCACATGCATCCCTGTGTGATCATGTGACCCATCATATGTTGAAAATCACCTTTTCACCTGCAAATCTCGTGAAAATGCAAAAAAAATGGTGGTTTCACAGCACATTGACAGATCATTCAACTGTGTACCACAATCATACTGAAATTTTGAACAGCACAATATTATTGACTTTACATGTAGTCATTTCCTACATGGCAGCATATCAATGTCTTCACATTTTGCAACAGAATAATGCACAATGGCATACTGCTAGACACAGCATGAACTTTCTTCAGCAATGCAACCTCCCTGTCCTGCCTTGGCTTGACACAAATGATGGCCATACCCATTAGTGACATTGACTGTGTGAAAGTTTTGAGTGCCTGTGAAATTTTAATTTGACCCTCATTAATTAATGTGATCATTAATTTATGGTTGCATAAAATGATGAATGACTGCTTTTTCTTTTGTTTCCATCTTGATTGACAATTTCAGGGACAAAATGCTTTCTTCATTTATCACAGAGATTAAATGTTTTATCCTGGTGATGCATTTCTAAAGTAGTTCAGTATATATTTAGGACATTCTCAGTGTGTTATAAAACAGCAGAAAAACAATTTTGGTTATCCTCAAATGTCATAGTGTGCTTTATTCTTGAGAGGACAGCCTTGATGTCAGAGATTCCTGCCTTCAGGAATATCTTTGTGCTTTTCTTCCAGCCTGGAAACTGTGTACCTGTCCAATAATGAACTGGAGGAAGTGTGTGTGGAACTGTTCTGTATTGGCACTCTGAAATACCTTGACTTGTCAAAGAACAGACTTGAGTACCTCATCAAACCAACCCATGTTCAACCAGAGCTTCATTGGTCCAGGAAGCACAAACCATCATCCCCTGTAGAGTCAGGTAAGCATCTAGTAGACAGTACATACATTCAGGACTTATGTTATGTCTTGAGGAATTCACTGATGTCTGTTATGATGAAGCACATAGCAGCCATCAGAAACATCTTTCAGTCACCTGGACCAGTGCTGATGGTGTGAAATGATGTGTATTGTTGAAGATTATCTAAATAAAATAGCTTCAACCTTTTGGGGGGCGAATAAAATGTTTGACACCATAAAAATATTGCATGTGCTATAATTTTATTCAAAGTTACTGGTAACTGTTTATAGAGATGCATTAGCACTCTTAAATTTTGTGTACATGCCCTCTAAGATTTTGCTTACACAGCCTCTCTAAGGTTTGTCTTCACACAACCTCTTGGGATCTATTGTTGACTTTGTGATTTGAGTATAGTGTGTATGTTTCATTTTTAATCAGTCACTGTACCAGCAGACTGAGTTTAAATCATTGTGTCATGGATGACATCTGTCCATGACAAGGGAGTTGACTGACTAAAGAATCCATGTTCCACCCTTGCTGAACTAAACAGGAAATTTCTGAGTTATGGACTAATTAGTCAAATAATCAACACATACAGAAACTGATCAGGTTCAATAAACAACATGTCAATTACCAAGCAGACCTCGGTCATGTGTAGGATTTACCCATCAACTGGTCCTCAAGAAATATTTTCCTGATTTTTCATGCTTTAGTTAATGCAATGAAGTGATTTCATGCACTTCACATGTATGTTCAATTTGATACAGATGTTGATTATCAATCAGATCATCTTGAGTGGACTGTGCATTTGGTTTTAAGCAAATGCTAGTGATATGAGATGTTGAATTTGGTTGGTCAATAGGACAGGCATAGAACAAACATAACTTGCAAAAACCACTAGGCCTAAAAAAATAAATGTTGTGGTTCTGATTACCCGACCGACCCTTGAATTCTGGTGCCAACCCTATTCTTTTTAAGCAAAATGAATGAAATATGCTTTCAGATGCCATGTTTTTTGCTAGCACCAACAGACATTGGTCATTCTGATAGAGAAAGTCAATATGATGGCTGCAAGCCTGATTGAATAAACACATTACACATTGATAAATTAGTTATTGGTTTGTACTTTACTTCTAAAAAGAATATGTAAAAAAACAAATTCCTACCTACCTACCCTAAGTTTTAAAGAGGTGTAACCTTTTTTTGGTTTGGCCCTAGTGGCGGAAAGTGGAGCTACGAAATTCCAGCCTGGTTTGGTCAGGGTGGAATCTGAATTTTGTCGTTAGTTTACTTCCTTCCCTCAAGACAATGCATGGATCACTTCAGTTCACCTTTCCCGGACAAACATAAATCACCAGCTATGACATCTGACCTGCTTTCTCACCGTGTTCTGACATGTTTCAGAAGGACCAGAGGCAAATTTTGGCCTCCCATGCCTAACCCAGCTGGACATATCTCACAACATGTTGAAGAAAATTCCAGATGAACTTCGCTTGAGCAGTGCTTTGACAAACCTCGATGCCAGTGACAATGAGCTGTATGCCTTCATCTCAGCATGGAGCTGCCCACTGGTATATAGTACACATTATGCATGTTTCATGTAGGTGGTTGATAGCAGGGGTGGAAATAACCCATTGCCTGATGCCCGAGTCCAGTGTTTTTTTCTGTCAGGCAAGCAAATTTGTATATCACACTGTACCGGTGTCCAGTTGATATTCCAATGTTAATTATGTTGTTTAGTTACAAAATCAACAAGAAAACGGCTGGTATAGTGGAAAAATTATCAGGGAAAGTGATTTTACATGTGCCACTGTACCGGAGTACACTAGCAATTTTAAAGTTATTTCCACCCCTGGATAGCACGTCCCTTCCTGTTTATTTCTATTTGATGGTGAATGATACAAACAATCTGTCTTTCATTGATCCACTAATTCGCTGCTCCACTAATTCGCTGCTGTAAGACTTTTATGCCCAGTGGAATACTTTATTTTGTAATCATTACGATTAGTTATTCTTTTGTATGAACGTAAAATATTATAGGAAAGATAAGCATAGTGTTTCATGAGTTTCATCACATCTGATTCCTGTGACTCTGAGAGTTGTCTGAGAATGATCCTCTCTGTCCAGCACTACCTGAACCTAAGTGACAACTGCCTGGAGCGTTTCCCGGTCAGTGTGGAGGAGTTCTGGAGCGGATCTCTTGTCACCCTGGACCTCCAAAACAATAACCTTGAGGAACTTGGAGAGAGCATTGTTAAACTTAGTGAGTTCTGGTATATATGTGTCCTGTTGATTGGGGTGTCATGTCTCTGACAAACTGTCTCTTGTGTGTCACTAGCGTGAGGGACACTTACTGAACCTGTAATAAATTCATACCAGTATCAGCAACTCTGATAATACAGTACAGTTTACTACTTTAACAGAAATGACTAATTATTTTTTGTGTGTGTGAGAGACTGACAATTTTACATTCTTTTGGTGAATGAGATTTAATAAAAAGTATAATGGCACCAGAAAATTCTTGAATAACTAATCATGCTTCTGAAATGTTGAACAAAAAGAAAATGTCAGACTCAAAGAATTTATTGCTGCAAGCTTGGATTTTTTTAAAAGAAATATATTTGGGCTCATAGTTTTAAGTAAGAGAATATCTGATTCCCTCAATGCATAATATAAAATTTCAGTCACTAATATATTAACGTTTGACTCATAACACCAGTATTGCTTCCTGTCTAGTCATTGCAATATCTCACGTTACAGAAAATGAATATTATAACACGTTGGATAAGAATGCTTAACAAAGTTTATGATTCTCTAATAAATGCATTGCCACAGTTTGAAGCTGACATATGTGAATGTGTTGTGACATAAAAGCCTTCTTGAAGGTGAGTTGCGGAGCTTAGATGTGTCCAACAACAGGATTGACCACCTGCCTGACCCGTCCGTGTGGGACTGTCGTTACCTGGAAACCCTCAACTTGGCTAACAACTACCTGGGGACTGCGTACACTCCGGATGAAATGAACAAGAAGTTAGTGTCATGCATGCTGCAAGGAGTAGCCAGTCCAGGATTATAGAGTTCCTTTCATTAATATTGCCTCAAAGTCTGCCTCAAAACCTGGCAAAACACAAAACAGTCTTTGAACAATTACTCTTATACTCAATGAAATGAATAAGGGAACACATGAAAGTACAAGTGTTCCTTTATTTATTTCCAGAATTTCACTCACATTGCAATACACACCTTGTGAAGAAACCTGGAAAAGAATAAAGGAACACTTGTACTTTTATGTGTTCCCTTATTCGTTTCCATGAGTATATTTTATCCATTTAACCACTAGGGAAAGTTATGTCCGTTGTTCATGGAAGTGTTTTATTAGCATAACTGAATAACTGCCCAAGGGCAATTATTTCTATTTCAAAACAATAAAATTGTACTTATTTTGATAATCTTCATCATGCCTAATACATTACATGCGTATTAAATAAGTATGCCCTCGTGGTGTAAGCCGTTTAATCACCCTCACTATGGTAGTTATTTAAATAACTACCTTGTAAGGGTGATTAACCTATACATACCAGAAAATGACATTTGTCTACAAGCAATACCAATCGCACTGAAAATTGCAAGCATGTAAAATCAGATGGTCATCGCTGGAATGCTTTGGATTTAAAATTAGTATTTACTGTAAAAAATACCTAAAATGTTAGCTCTGGGTGCACACCAGAAACCCTGAAGGACCTCTTGGTTCAAACACTGCTTTTTAATGTTATATGATGGATGTAGCAGAATAATGGAAGAATTTTTTTAAATATCTCTGAAAGGTAATGCTGTGAACATGAAAGAAACTTTGAGCTTTGACAGAGTCTGCAGCTGGGACAGAATGAGCTGGTCACTTTCACTAGTTTTTAAATTATGGGAAGTTGCGTAAGTGAGTAAGTACTGTTTTACGCCGCTTTTAGCAATATTCCAGCAATATCACGGCGGGGAACACCAGAGTGAGTGAGTGAGTTTAGTTTTACACCACTTTTAACAATATTCCAGCAATATCATGGTGCGGGACACCTGAAATAGGCTTCACACATTTTCCCCATGTGGGGAATCGAACCCGGGTCTTCTGTGGGATGAACGCTTTAACCACTAGGCTACCCCACCGCATCCGGGAAGTTGCTTAAGGAACATGGGGATCTATGATTGATGTTTTGTTTATGGATTCCACATTCTTTATGACAGTGCTGTCACATCACCAAAGACACTGAAGAACTACCTTCGGGGCTGGAGTGGCATTGATCAGCCAACTTCCAAACAAGTTGTGTTTCCAGAAATCCTGTCCTTTAATCTCAAGTACCTGATTTTGAGAAACAATAACCTCATCCAGGCTCCTGTCAGTGTCAGTCAACTGCAGAACCTTATGAAGCTGGACCTAAGCCAGTGAGTTATCTCCTTTTGAATATATTCTTTAACCTTCTGTTTAGTCATTTAAGATTGAATGCCTTTAACACGAAACAATACACCTACTTTTAGCTGTCCAGCCGCCGCCATTTAATTTGGCAACGTAATTGCCTGTTGCCACAGCGTCAGCCTCACAACAAACTTTGGACCAGCAAGGGAGTGCCCGTGTGAAACCAGAGGATTCCCCTTGAATTCTCATATTTGATCAGATTATGCCTATGAAAACCTGTCACCTTGCAAAATTGTATATGTGTGTAAATGCGTATGTACAAATTTTTTCCTTATCCTGACTCATGCTCTTTTGCTTGTCTTCTTCTTCTTGCGAACATAGTGGAACACTTGTATCTCCTTATTTGAAGCTCCCTTCAAAATAAAATCACTAATTGGTACTCACCACGAGTTGCTCCCCTTTGCTTCCCCTGGCGGGAAAGGTGTCGCCACCCTCTGGCCATGTGCTCCACTCTCTCCTTCTTCGCCCAGTGAGCAGGATGTGAGAGCGCCTTGTGTCTCCTTACACACCATATCCTTTGATAATCTCTTAGTTTTTACCTCTCATAGGTTACTATAGAGGTATAGCTAGTATCCTTTACTATTTGTATTGATTAATTATCGTATTTCTACTGTTTATTCCGTGTATTAAGTGATTGTTCAGCTAGCTTTCGTTGATGAAAATCTGTATGCGATTTGTAGATTACGTTTTTCTGCCTCCGATCCACATGTAATATGCCCTAGTTGTTCTACGCCGTGTGCGTTTAATTCACGTTGCAGTTACTGCATTAATTTATCTCATTCTGCATTTAATAAATATCATCTTTGCGTCTTAAGGCGTGCTGCAGATAGATCCACGCAAAACAAAGGGCAAAACATGGCAGAGAGTCCAGATATTCCATCCAGTCAGCTGCTAGCGATCGACCCTCTCCCGTCTGGTGTTCTGCTAGAGACCCCTGCGGCAGAGGGCGTGGGGCGCAGTCCGTTACCTCGAAGAAACGACCGGCTTCCCCAGACATCCCGTCATTGCAGACCAAGTCTAAGAGGGCCTCATCGTCGTCTCAGCGCAGATTGAGGACACCCAGGGCAGCGCCAGACTTCCAAAGGGAAATCTACGAAGACAGCAAGAACTTTCTCAGCCGAGATCGTTCCAGCAGCAGAATTGGGCCTCTCACGATGATCAGCCGATAATCATCCCGACTTACGGCAGAAGAAGCGACCGGTGTCAGCGACTGTGACTTCTGCAGAGATCACCATGCAGCCTGATGCCTCTACACCCGGCGTCAGGCGTCATTGATGTGAACCCCATCGCAGAAAAGGCGCCCGGCGACTTCGTCACAGATCATCCCAGAAGACATGATGCAGCAGATTATGAACATCATGGAGGACCACTACAAACTCGCGCAAGCGAAGTCGAGCAACCGCCGCGAAGGCTCCAGCGTGAGACAGCACCCAGAGGCACCCCCCGTCAGCGTAGCAGCCAAGGCGATGTCACCTTCGCGAAGGAAGTCCCGCACCACCTTGGCCGAAGGACCTAGATGTACAGCCTTAGCGAAGGCCTTCAGCGGGAGAGATCATCACCATCTTCGATTTCATCTCTAGATATGGACTCAGACCATCAGACATCGCGGAGCCTTCGCCGAAGGTCATATCATCGATCCCCGGACGGACGCAAATGAAGCTTGAAGCGAAGGCATTAGCGAAGGACATATGATTCCAGATCTTCATCATCTAGAAGAACATCGAGGGACTGCCGAAGAGCTTGGCGAAGCTATCAACATTCACCTCACAAGTCTCCGAAGATCATCCCATAGGCGATCTCCGCCGTTCATCACCAGGTCGATCACCCGTCAGATCTCCACATAGAGCGCACAAGTCAGCTAGATCGCATACAAACTTCATCAGATATACAGACAGCTACACGCAGTCCCGAAGAGCATCTACAATTTGTTAATGATGATGGTTTTGAGGATGATGGAGGAATCATATTTTCTGATGCAGAGATCACGGTATTGGATGGTCAATAACCTAGATCTCACATCACCATCTAAAAGTGGCAATACAAGCGCAGGCGTATTTGATGAAGGAAGATGATCCAGATGCAATCACTCTACCCCCGATCGACCCGATTGCGGCAGTGCCACAGAATCTAGATGCAGCTTTCCAGAAAGCTCGAGAAAGTTCAGATACCACATCTGCCCAACTTTCAAGCCAAGAAGTTCTCCGCGATAACATGGACTCCTTCTACAAGGCCCAGGACATCGATGAGAACTATAAGATCATCAGCGATGTAAAGAACAAGATTTACAAGATGGATGATCGCAAGTTGGCTCATATAGAAACCATGGCGAGGCGTATGTTCTTTGGGTTAAATAGATCTAGGGCCGATCAATGAGACTCTTATTACTAGATTCGGATTCCACTGACGGAAGATGATAGAATGATTTATTCTGCCTTACTTATGCAAAAGAAAGATCAGCAGTTTTAGCGGATCATCTTACATCTGTTTCAGCAGCACTGACCTTAGCTGCGTCGTCAAGGCCTCCTCGCCTCCTGTAATTGGGGAGAGAACTTTACAGCCCACTTTATACAGCCCGTGAAATGGTCGACAACATCCATCTTTGGCGGAGAAATCGACAAAGTCGCCAAAGGAAGTCTCTAAGGATTCCAGGGAAGTCCTTATGATTAGATCGATGGACACACTAGCCAGCGTCATTCGTCAGACTTCACAAAGATACTCAGGCAGATCTAAGTTCACGGGCCTACAAAGAGCAAGAGACAGGAAGATAGCCAGCTCTAGAGGTAAAGATTCTTTTCGTAAAGCCCATATGGCAACTATAGAGGAGGATCAGGAAGAGGCAGGACACCCAGAGGTTCCCGCAATTATAGGCAGCTGAAACACAGGTTGGAACGACTGGAGTCTTCCACCCCTAACCGTTCCAGTACAGCCAGCTCAAGTGGGTGGGCGCCTCCAACTACACTGGGAAAACTGGGGAATATTGCAAGACCCTTACGTCTCCAACATTCTTCAACACGGTTTCAGTATCCCTCTACAGGCCAAGCCTCCGCTGACAATCAAACCCCCAAGTTCGATTTACAAGCGCGCAACAACTACCAAAGATAAGAGAGGCTGTTTCATCACTCCTATCCAAACAGGCCATAGAAGTAATAGATCAAGCAAGCGTCGAACCAGGTTTCTACTCCCCAGTTTTCCTAGTTCCCAAGAAAAACTCCACGAGAAATACAGACTCATCTACAACATGAGCTTTTTCAACAAGAACTATCTCGCGAAACCACGAAGTTTAGCATGATACATTTACCTCAGTTAAGCCAGATGATTAGATCCCTATGGACTACATGGGCAGCATAGATCTACAGGATGCCTACCTGCACATCCCCATTCATCCCGATTCCAGGAAATACCTACGATTTACTCTAGAAGGGCTACATTACCAGTGGAAAGTACTCCCCATTCGAATATCATCAGCCCCTGGCTATTCACAAGGATAACGAAACCGATTATCAAATTTCTACATCGTCAAGGGCTACGCAGTGCGTTTTACCTCGACGACGGGATACAAGTAGATCAAGATCCACTGCGTCTCAAACTACAGTTAAATTACATCATAAAGCTACTAACACAACTAGGTTGGTTAGTAAACTTACGCAAGTCGGACCTAGTACCATCGCAAGACCTGCAGTTCCTAGGTATTCGATTCATCACAAATCGCAACCGTATTTTGGTACCAGAAGACCGTTGGCTCAAGATACAGCAGACCATTCCACCAGCTCTACTCTCTGCGACAATGGCAGAGCCTACTAGATCTTCTCACATCAGCCCAAGACATGACTGTCACAGGCAGATTACAGTTACGTCCCCTACAGGTCCTCATCAACGCACATCTCAACGATGTACAACCATTCAGTCTACCGAAACATCTCAGACCGCATCTACTATGGTGGACCAAGAAATCGAATGTCTGCGAAGGGATTTGTTTAGCAGAGCAGGAATACAAAACCCATCTGTATGTAGACGCGTCACTCCAAGGTTGGGGAGCTCATCTCACCAACCACACGATATCAGGGTTATGGAATCAGCAAGAATGCAAACTCCATATAAACAGTCTAGAAATGAAAGCTGTAATCAAGCGCCATTCTACATTGGAGCACATTTCTACAAAATGCGGCCTAATGATCCATACAGACAATTCGACAGTGGCGTTCTACATAAACAAGCAAGGCTCAACGAGATCGATGAACCTTTTGAACCTAAGCTTTCAACTGTTCGATTTAATACAAGATCTAAATCTACATGTCAGAGCAGTGCACATTCCCGGAGCCAGAAATATACTAGCAGACGCTCTCTCTCGGCCTCATCTACCATCACCGGACAGAGTGGATGATCAACAGGAAATTTTTGCACAGATAATCAAGCAATTAGGAGCGCCAGCTAATAGACCTATTAAGCCACGCGATTCAACAATCAGCTACCGACATTCGTGTCGCGAGTCCCAGACCCCCAAGCTTGGGCAACGGACGCTCTAAGTCTATCATGGAAGGCCTCAATGCGTCTGGCGTTTTCGCGCCAGCAATAATACCTCAAGTATTACAGAAAATCAGACAAACACAGAGCCTACAACTCACTTTGGTGCGCCCTACTGGCCGGCCAGAACGTGGTTTCCCATACTAATTCAAGAAATCGGTCAACCAACACTGGAGCTACCCAAGCGCGCCAAACCTGTTAATTCATCCTCACACCAAACAAGTGCACGGAAACCCAGCAATGTTCCAACTACACGTATGGACTGTATACAAATGTGTTTAAACAAGAGGATATTCTGCCAGGGCGCAAAAGCAGTCACGCTTGCCTTACGTTACTCAACTCGTAAGCATACGACGACAAGTGGCACAGTTTCGAAAATTATGCAACAAAGAAAGGGTTTACAGCAAGAGAGGCTTCACGGCCTCAAGTGGCAGACTATTTGTGTTACCTACGCCAAAACAAACATTTAAAAGGTTCAACGATATCAACATATCTTGCGCGCTTAGTTCGGTAATCACCATGAGAGCGGGTGTCAAATTGACAAGATCTCCAGAGTTACTGGCCTTACTACGAGCTTTCGATTAGAGGACCAAAAGCGGAAGTTCCACGCCCCAGCTTGGGATCTGAATGTAGTGTTACAACACCTCACGAGTGAGGTCTATGAACCTTTGGAATCGACAAACTTTGAATTTCTCTCACAGAAAACACTGCTTCTGCTATCGCTAGCCACAGCAGCAAGAATGTCTGAAATTCACGCTCTGGATTACGAGAGGATACAGTTTGATGACAATCATAACACAAGCACCTCGGATTAAGATGGGATTTCATCGCAAAAAAATCAACTGCCAGGTCAACCAGACAGATTATTCCACATCCCGGCTATCCTCTATTCTCGGATCAGAAGATACACAAGACCTATCACTGTGTCCGTAAGAGCTCAAAGTTTATTTTACGACGATCCAAAACAAGGAGAAGATTTCTCAAACGTTTATTCATCCCCTTATCGCCTACGAATCAAACAGAAGTGTCACGGACCTACAATATCTATTTGGATAAGGACTGTCATTCTTCGTGCCTACAAGGCAGCAGGCTTGGACCCACCAACAGCATCAAATCCACATGAGATCAGGGCACTGGCCTCTACCTCGCCCTACACGGTAACTGTTCCTTGAACACGATTATGGAAGGATGCTATTGGAAATCTAACATGGTATTTGCTAATCACTACCTGAGAGACATCACTACAGAAGATGTCTCTGGCATTCACCATTTCGGACCACTGGTCCTCGCTCAGCAACTGACAGTCCCTCGAGGGCGTTAAAATATTATCCTCACAAGATTAATATGTATTTTATACATACTCATCTAGCTTATAACTCTACGAGTTTTAGGGCTATGTATATATGTTCAGCTTAAGTATTCAACCTTAAGCATATACTTTGGTATAGTCAATTTCAGTGCCTCTATCAGAGTCACCTATATATATATATATAATTTATATGTATTGTTCAATATATTCATAATGTAATTCCCTTTAATGGCTTTATATAACCTATGGTTTTCTTTATACAGGAAACATCCTAAATCTAAGCCTTCATGAAGTTCCCGTAGGGATATTACAGTATATCTATACAAAATCACTAATTATAAATCCAAAGTATTCTGTTACCCACCTCCGTTCCGTAGGATGCTACAAACAAAAGAGCATGAGTCAGGATAAGGAAAATATGTAATTTTTAGAGTAAAATTGATATTTTATACTTATCCTGACTCATGAGGTTAGCTCCTCCCATCCTCCCCACATAACACTTTGGATTTCCTGTAAATTCAAGTGTTGGGTTCGCTAAATCAGGAGAGAGTGGAGCACATGGCCAGAGGGTGGCGACACCTTTCCCGCCAGGGGAAGCAAAGGGGAGCAACTCGTGGTGAGTACCAATTAGTGATTTTATTTTGAAGGGAGCTTCAAATAAGGAGATACAAGTGTTCCACTATGTTCGCAAGAAGAAGAAGACAAGCAAAAGAGCATGAGTCAGGATAAGTATAAAATATCAATTTTACTCTAAAAATTACATTATGTATTTCAGTACACAGTAGTTACATTTACACATTAATTTTACATCACTGAAGTATGGTTAATGTACTGAAAACAGCGACGACTCTTACCATTGCAGTTAAGCACACAATACAACACTTACTACTCCCTACTTGTCTCCTATGTTTTATTGTATAACTCCTACACTTGTGTTGTTGTCAGCATTCACTTGATGCTTAGTTAATACCTTTGGCAATGATATACAGCAATCAGGGGTTCACATAGGCATTTCTCATGTAATTATTCAATCTAAGATTGGGTTATAAAAATGTTTGAGTGAGTGAGTTTGGTTTTACGCCGCTTTTAGCAATATTCCAGCAATATCACGGCGGGGACACCAGAAATGGGCTTAACACATTGTACCCATGTGGGGAATCGAACCCGGGTCTTCGGCGTGACGAGCGAACGCCTTAACCACTAGACTACCCCACCGCCCCTAAAAATGTTTGATGGTGTGAATGTATTATATGTTATGTAATATGCACGTGGCAGCGCAGCAAGAGAAATGCATTGATTGATTAATGACTGTTATCTTGCATAGTGAATTTGTGATTTTAGGACGATACAAATATAATTGGTTGACATTTCTTAAAAATATTTTTTATGATTGTATTTGGCAATCACAAATGTCTCAAAGTTCTAAATAACAATCAACTTAAAGACAAACCCTTTGATATCAACTTACAATTTTGCAAAGAACTATGTACAGCGTCTTTAAAAATGATTCCCTTAGATTTGAAAATATGTAAATCTACTATAAATGTGTTTGGCATGTATTGCTAGAATTCAGAACAACAAATCATAATCTGCCCATTGAAGCTGTCAGGTGGAAAAATATACCAGTTACTGAAACTATGCGAACTATGTAAATCAACTGATTTAGGTGGTGAAATTCATTACTTGTTTTTATGTTCATATTAACAAAATGATACATGTTATGTGAAGCTTGATATATATTTGTGCTTGCTGTGTAGAAACCCAATGATGAAGACTCTCCCACTGGAGTTAGGTCTGTTGAAGCAGTGTCAAGATTTGTTGTTGGCTGGAAACAAGATCACCGATCCGTCCATACCACCAGAACTTCTCACTGGTAGGAACTGAAACATGTTATATTTCATAAAAGTGAAATCTTGATTGGTGAAGAAGCGGTTTGCTTACTTATAACTAGTGTTGGAACGATTGATTGAATAATCAGTCAGGCGATTGATCTAGCTTGCGATTATCGATAGGCTCGGGAGACTAATCGATATTCATAAAAATGAAAGATAAAATGAAAGTATGTTTCTTATTGTTATGTTTGATGAATCAAGACTAGGGCTCTGACGGGTATTCGAGTACCCGGCAAAGGGGCCGGTAAGGCAGGACTCGAGTCCAAATTCCAGGACTCGAGTACCCGACAAAGATAGATAACTCTAAACTAAACGTGACCACGTGCCATGGATTATAAAAGGTCGAACGTATGGGCCCATTTTGATCTTTACACTTCAAAACACAAAACCAAGTGTCGCCTTTGCGGCATTATGATAAGTTATGCCGGGTACTGAACAAGCTCAAGGAAAAAATATCTTAACATGAAACACAAGTGTGGACAATTCTTCCCAAAATCCAGTCAAAAAGCAAGCCACGCTGACGTAGGGATATTTGGGGGTTACAACCGAAAAAAGCATGACTCAAAACCATACGAGACACTCACACACAAGGCCATGATGATGTGCGTTAATGACCTCAGACCTTTGAACCTTGTTAAAGGTAATGGTTTTTGTGATTTTTGTCACTCACTGAATCCCAGTTATATCGTACCATGTCCAAAGACCATCCATAGTACCTTATGAAGGAATATGCCGACACCAAAACTCAGCTGAAGGATATTCTAAAGCAGTCCCCTGGCGTATCTTTGACAACAGATATGTGGACCAGCTGTGCCACCCACGGTTACATCACCGTCACAGGGAATTACATCACAGATGATGGGATCTAAAATCATGCATTCTTGCCACTAGACGGGTGGAGGATCGTCCATGATGCACTTTGTTACAATGCGCAATCTTTTCAAAGAAATTCACATTTGATATTGGTTAAACGAAATGTGATTTAATATACTGAGTCAAAAAAGAAACTTCACATTCTTTCTTCAGGGCACTATAAAAGAACAAGAGATGGTAAGATGGTTAAATTGTTATTATTTCATTGCTGAGATCTGTGTGATGTACTCGATACACTGACAGTGCCATAATCAGTTCCATTAGGCTACACTGCCGTTCCAAAACATGGGTATACAGAATGTCAAGTCACAAGAATAAAAATGCGAAATTTCTCAGTTCAATATCGTGTATGGCCACCCCGCGCATTTACCACTGCCAAACACTGTCTCCTCATCGACTACCTGATGCTTGTGAACATGTGGTTGGGGATTCTGCGCCATTGCTCTTGCAAGGCAGCTCCAAGTTCCTGCAAATTCTGAGGTTGGTTCCTAAGACCACGAAGCCTTCTCCCAAGTGCATCCCAAACGTGCTCTATTGGATTGAGGTCAGGGGACCTCGATGGCCAGTCCATGATGTTGATTCCAGCGTTTTGAAGGAAATTTCGTGTCAACATCGCGGTATGCCGCCGAGCATTATCATGCTGGAACTGTAGACCTGGGCCATGAGCCGCCATGAAAGGAACGAGTTCAGGGGTGAACACCTGGTCGCGTAAGCAGCAGCTGTGAGGTTTGCACGGATGACCAGAAGTCAGGAACGGTTGTTCCCACAGAAAGCACCCACACCATGCAACTTCGCCCCGAATCTGTCGACTTCCTGTACACAACATTGGGCATACCGTTCACGACGTCGTCTCCAGACTCTGTGCCTGCCATCCGCGAATCTGAGGGTAAACCTGGATTCATCGCTAAAGGCGACTTCGATTCCAGTCTCTGGGTCCATCAGAGGTGACGTTGGGCCCACAGCAGAGGCGTTGACGTTGATGAAACGGCATCAATATTGGCGAGAACGATATGGACGTCGAGAATGGAGATTGGCAGCCCGCAACCCGATTTCGAATGGTCTGTGAGGACAGTCGACCTCTAAACATCTCAGCCCTGGTTCGTGTAGCCGGCAGAAATCTGTCACGTCGGTGACGAGGACGATTGACGGTCTTCTGCTCATGACGTCACACGTGGACGACCCGACCTTGGGCGATCAGAAGTGGTGCCAGTTTGTTGTAGATGACCTCGCAAGTCATACACAGTATGACGGCTGCATCCCATTGCTCTTGCGACGTCAATAACTGATCTTCCCACTTGCAACATGCCAACGGCACGTTCACGTTGCACATTTGACAATCGTGGCATTTCAAGTACCGTTAGAACTGTTGTTTAAAAGTGTTTTTTCAATTCTTCATATGCAAACACGTGCATATGAAGAAAACTTCGATGCAAGATCACGTGATCGACTGCACGTGCAAAACCTGATTTGGCACTAACATCATTTGCACGAGGAATGGATGGGTTTGAGTGGGTTTTGCTAACGTATTTCTAGAGTCGAAAGATAGGGATCCCATTTCGGATTCATAGATGTTACACGTATCATCACGTATCAGAGATGTTACACGTATTCATTATTTTTCAAATGACATTTTGTGAAGTTTCTTTTTTGACTCAGTATGTATGTTCTGATTTTGACAATGGCTTGTTTTTTCTGAGTTTTGTTGTCTGCATTGTGGGTTGAACCTCATTGTTACCCCAGTGTCAAAGCTTTTCAAACTCTCGATTTTGTGTATTCATAACCACGTGTTGCGACATGTGATGCTATATTTCACATGAACTGGTTTCTGCTATGGGCTGTTTGCGCCAGTGCTCAGTTGAGTAATGTGGCCCTGCATAGACCGATGCTAGTCAAATAAGTCAATGATAGTAGGTTTGTGTTGGTCAAATTGAGAACCACGCGTTTTAAGGAAAGAATTCGTGTAAGGTTTCAATTCAATATAAACGTTAACTTATACCTTTAAAAGTGCGGCATTCTTGTGTGAAATTCCATTGAAAACTACCTAAAACAGATGCACATATCTCTCACTAAAATTTGTACTATATTTTTTGGGTACTCGATTCCGGGTGGGGTTTTATCCCCCAGGTACTCGAGTCCGCTTTTTGCTACCCGTCAGAGCCCTAATCAAGACATAATGACTGATGCAGTTTCTTGACGCTTAAGACTGCAATGTAAACAACACACTCCTGGTCTCAACAGGAAGTATCTTCAGTTGTTATTGTAGTATTAGTCGATGTCTGTTTTGTATGCACATTGTTACGATTGTGTCCTGTTATTGCCTACATTAGTTTGGTGGAGAGGTTTACAATTACAGTTGATTATTGATTCTTTACTCAGCAACGATTATCGATCTGCATATTGTGAGCGATAGCCAGCTTTAATTATTACTGTTCCATGGTACGAGTTAACGGTGACATCAGTATCATTTAGATATATTGTTTGTTTATACATCTCCATTCTTTGTATAAATTATAAAGTGCAGTGACATTTGGAAAGATATTCGTCCTTGAAGGGATGAACCCGTGAAGATTCTGGTTAGAATCGGTCGTCAATAACCCATGCTTGTTGTAAGAGGCATGGGATGGGATGGTCAGACATGCTGACTTGTTTGACACGTTGTATCCCCATTGTGTACATCAATGCTCATACTGTTGATCACTGGATTGTCTGTTCCAGACTCAATTTCCAGACTGTTGCCATTTAGCTGGAATACTGCTGAGTGTTAAACAAACAAACCTTAAGGGGACAAGTTTACATGAAAGTAAACCTTTTTATCTTGCACTTTTTCAAATAAAAGTATTTATCTAGTGGTTTGTCAGCCCAAACAGTACAGATATCACAAGGAAGTTATTTTTGTGTGCATTATACTGATTTATATTTTGCACATTTACTGAGAGTTCTCTTTCCATAATAAGCACACAATGGCTATGTCCTTGTGATTTGAGATCACCAGTGCCAACTGATAAATGGATGATGTAATGATTAGATCATATCAGACCATTTCATGTTGTGTAGGTGCAGCCTACTGTTTTAATCCTCTTGTCCATATGTGAAGATACTGTAAAATATTTCTGTTGTAACAGACAAAAAGACAACAGAACTTATTGACTATCTGAGGCAACTCCTGAGAAAAAGTGAACCTAACAACCGACTGAAACTAGTTGTTCTTGGACCCCAGGTGAGGCAACAACACTAGTTTTCAGCAATAGGCATTTGGTTGCCTATTGAGGCTGTATAAGTATTTTTGTGCATGACAATTAGTGGTGGTCCGATTAATTGAAATAATCGAAGATCGGTTGCAGTGACCAAACGACTAAGCAATTGAACATGTTTTCTCATAATCGAACACAAACAATTTTGGAACACTTGTTTGCATCAACAATATTTTTTGGTTTTGTCTGTGTCATTAAATTTACATTTCATGAGCTCTACAGCTCATTCCAAGTCATGATTGGATTTATCTAAAAGACTTCAGGAAAATTATGTTCCTAACATACTAGTCCTCCTTTATAGATGTGACATTTGCAAATGCATTTTGTGCAATTTGAAAAAAAAACCCTCAAAGAACTACATATTTTTTCTTTAGTTTTTTGTGCAGTAACAAATATAACAGGAACATTTCATAAATGTCGCTAACCAATTATTTTCAATGGTTGATTGGATGTAATGGACCAATCATCAATTATTTAAGAAATACAGTTCGCTCTACCACCATGTATAGTGTAATAAAACACACTTTTGCCCTGAACTATTATAGTTAAAGTCATAATAGTTCAGGGAGAAAGTGTGTTTTATTACACTATACATGGTGGTAGAGCGAACTGTATTTCTTTTCTAAGATGCCCAATTTAATACTTTCTAAGGATAATTACGATTAATTTAAGGCAGAAAACAAACGGCGGTGTCGGTGACCTAAATTAAGAATCCTCACACAGGGCTAACTGGCGCTCTGTTCTATTGATGTGTCTGCCCCCCTACGTTAAGACGAACGTTACCAGAAAAACAAATGATAAACAGTTTCATGACGGTTTACGTTCGGATTAAATATCTTCTCTAAAGTATTTTAATTACATCTGTGATTAACATAAACCATGTGAACGTCGCATTTCTACTACCAACGTATGTTTAGATCAGTACATCCAGACGAAGCTGAGTAGTCTAGTGACATTCCACGATTGCATTGTGGGAATGTAAACATTGCTTAACGTTACCGTGTCGCTGAAAACTTGCGAGTAGAATTGAGACATTTAAAAAGTCAGAAAACATAAACGTAATGTTTCCACCAGTGATGTTAGGTGAGTGAAGCAACTGCAAACCAAGAAGCGGGATGCAACGCAGTAGTTTACTGTAGGAGGCTGTACGAGGCGATGACAACTGACATGCATCGTGACGTCGCTTACATTGTGACGTAATGTAAAATGGTTCGATTACGAGGGGGCACACTAGAATGGCGCAGTGACGGGATAACGTCATTCAATCGTTACGTCATCAAAAAACTATACCTTTATTGTCTGATAATGTTTTTTTTTTCGATTGTTCTAACCGCTAGGCATCTTAGAACAGATTTTAACCAATTCCAAGCTTAGTATAACAATTCTATTTCAAAGATTCAGGAAACACATGTAAATGTGCCACATGAAAGTAAGAATGAAACTGTTCTGGAAATATCAAATAAAGACATCCTAAATAACTGTGTCCTTTCTTGACCTTACTATGACATATGAAAAGACACCCTAATGTAAAGTTCATCTTGGGTCTGACTAGAGAAAACTGTCACTAACTGAACAACTGCATCAAACACATAAGCAACTGGATTCCGGAAATATTGTGCCTTAGGACAAACTCCTCCAAATACTGAGAACACTGTCAAGTAGGAACCTTTGAACCAAGGCTAACTGGGAACAGTTACTGCTTGCTTGGTTCTGGCCATGTCCTAATGTATCAGAGTCAGAAATATGTTTGGTTAGTTAGGAAGAGTCTGATTGTTTGTAGGACAAAGGGAAGACAACTCTGCTGAGCCTTCTCCAGGGTACAGCTGGACAGCAGCATGGAGACAAGATAAACACAACTGAGTGGAAACTGACAGCCAAGGGAGTCTACCAGATGTTGCTGCCATCAAGTGTGAGACATTTCATATGTGATTTTGTCCCTGTTGAAGTAGAATTTAATTACGTTGGACTGAAATACACGTTTCATCACAAATAACTATGACACCAAGAGATCTGAATGCCGTGCTAATTTCTCTTGTTGATGTCACGTTATTAAGAGCTCCATTGTTGAAAAGAATATCACAAATAGTACTACATTCTCATCATACATCATTCTGATAGCTGCAAACAGAAGTCTCCCAAGCATTTACTAACTTCATATAGAAGGATTAATGTTATTCACAGAAACATACTGTTTATTAGTTATCTATGTTTTTAAGTATTTGCCTTATACAATAAGAAGTGAACACAACTTTCCTTATCTCTTTTCCTTGTTCCGCTGGAATTTAAGGGAGGTAACTCTTACTGTATACTCGGTGTAGATGCCAGATTGCCCAATCTGCTTATACTGCTAGAACTACTCCTAGTGTAGATGTAGAAAGGCATGTGGTTGAGTGAATACGATGGACATTGTTTATACATGACTTTAATTGTTATAATTATGTCTGTCAAAATGACTGATTGTCAAAGGGTAGTCCCATATACTATCAAGTTCATCTTGTCATAGAGAAATAATTTGACAGTAATATTACTCCATTATCAATGTTAATTGTTACACATTTAGTAAATAAACTCATAAGTTTCTCTCTCTCGACAAATAATGAAATAGCATTTGATACATGTTCAACACCAGACAACAGCCTACAGAATGTTCCTTATAGTTTCGATTTTGCCAAGTAGTTGTTTTTTTCTTTAACAGAATCCTTTCTACAAAACTTTCAAAATAATTTCCATTAGGATTAATTACATATTTACAGTTTCTGCAGTGTGTGCAAGTCCTATTAAAAAAACACGAGTTGTATCCAGCTGCAGAACAGACAGGCAAGACACTTTTAATTGTTAACAACATTTGTAGCTCTTATGTTTTTAATATTCTAAAAGAAACCAGACATCAAGTTCAATGTGTGGGAGTTACCAGGCAACCCTGACCTAACCATCATCCATCAGTGCTTCCTCACCCAGAATGCTTTGTACTTGCTGGTATTTGACTTGCGGAAAGACTATCAGCATCTGCAGGAATGGCTCTGTCAGATTCAGGTGAGTGAAACCTTACATCAGATGTTTTACTCCTGTTTAGCACAGTGTACAAGAAGATGCTCAAGTTCCATTGTCTGGTACATGTTTGGGACTCCTTTCAAAATCAACAGATTTGAGACACTTAAACTATGATAAGGCCAGACCAATTATATTTCTTGTTTTACGGATCCGACGGTCGTATTTTTTCAAGAATAAGAAAAAAGAAAGTAATTAATTTTCCCCGCACCAAAAATAAAATCCTCATGTTTTTATTGGCAAAAAATGTAAACTTACCCAAAATTTTTTTATTGTTATTTGCCCCATATACACTTCATAACTTGCCAAAAATAAAATACTTTTAGTATGCAAAAGGAATATTACTTTGACTGGTGATTTTTATTTTTTATTTATTTCCCTCCTGATTTAGGTTCTTAGGACAAAAATCTGTAAAACAAGAAATAAAATTGGTCTGGCCTAAGGGTGATGTGTTATTTATCTATAATATTGTATAATGAAGTATAGCTACATCAGTTTTACTTGTCAAAATGCAGGTTCAGAATAGCCAGTGAAAACATGACTCAGAATCAATGGCAAAAACAGTTGCATGACATCATCAGGATGGTGTAGTCTTTTTCATGAAATCAGAAGCATGAAAATAGTGTCAAATTACCATCTTTGATGTGAAGGTTATCACTTGCATCAAATACCTTTGTATGTTCAAGGGCAAAAGTATTAAAATAATGAAAACTTTGATCATGAATATTATAGGACACACTGCAGTTTACTTCACTTCAGGCCATTTCCTGTCACTAGCTAAACAAATTACTCAGAATTGTTTCATTAGTTGCCTTGGTTTTCATAGGCTGCTCTTTGCCATGAACTTTCACTGCAAATTTATAACTTGTACAGTTTAATGGATATAAACATAGCTTTCATATTTGTTCTGCAGGCTAATGCACACAAAGCTACTGTCCTCTTGGTTGGTACTTTCTATGACAAACTTGACCCTGTGACCAGAAACATAAAAGTTACGGATCTTGCTAAAAAAATATGCAGTACATTCTCCAGGACTGCAGTAAAAGAACACTATCCTCTTCTCAGGGAATTCAAAATAGTGTCCTGTGCTACCAAGGAAGGTGTGGATGAACTCAAGAAAATAATCTATGAGACAGGTGTTAATATGGCCCATGCACGGCGAAGTCATGAGTGCTTAATTGGAATGAAGATTCCACAGTCCTATCGCTTGTTAGTGGACTTGGTCAGAAAGAAGAGGAAGGAGCTGGAGAAGATGAAGATGCCTCCATATCTCACAGAAGAAGGTTTTCAGAGTCTGCTGGATGAACTGCCTTACAATGACATCCTGGTGTTGGATGACACAAGTAATGGTAAGGTGGTGGTTTACACTCGGAAATATGTTGAAGCCACACGTTAAAATCCTGAGGGATCATATAGCAGATTTGCCTTGAATATGATCCTAGACATGTCACCAAAATGACATGTTTTCCAAGGCCTGTATCACAGCGGAACTTGCCCCCCTCAGCTGGCTGACATTCCGTGACAAAACTGAAATACTGTTTTGAAGGTGTTAAACCAAACTCCCTCACTCATCCTGAAGCAAAGGCATTCATATTGCCAGCATGTTGCTCTTATCTGTCATCATGCCCTGACAAAATGTATTATAGTTATGGACCATTGTCATCTGGGAGTCATAGTCCTGGACTATAGACTTGATTCTTCACTGGCCTCTGTGATAATCGCTGTAAAACAACATTAACTCTCTTCATTATTGATAGTCTCTCTCTTTGTGTTTAAGTTTCTAAAATCAGATTTCATTCTTATTGGTATGCTGTGTGTTGTGTTGTGCAGCTTTGAAGTACCTGTTGGAGGTTGGAGCTCTGCTTCACTTCAATGAGCAGCTGCAAGGCCTAAACTTCTTGTACTTCCTTGATCCAGTCTGGCTGCAGGAACTCCTAGCACTAATTGCCATTGATACAGTAAGTTGAGTGAGTGCATGAGTGAGTGTGGTTTTACACAGTCTTTAGCAATATTCTAGCAATATCATGGTGGGGGACAACAATTTTTTTTCTTCTAACTGTACCCAAGTCTTCAGTATGAACCCTTAAACCACTAAGCTACCATATCATCCCTGGTAATTTGACATATACTTAGTGTGATATATCATTATAAACGTTCTTTGATAAGTATGAGGTCATAACAAACTTTCTTTAACACGAATCTTCAGAAAAGAATATCAACAACTGCCAAGATTCCAGTAACACAGCTGTATCAGCGGTTCAAGGAGAAGATGTTTCCTGATGATCTGTTTCTTCAATATGTTCAGCTGCTGAAGCGGTCAGAGATTGTGGTTGAAACAGATGATGGCAAAAAGTAAGATGATGCGTTCTGTCCATGTGCACAGTCTACGCTTTAGTCACTAATCCAAAGTCTTGTAACATTCTGATGATCCAGTACTCTCAGCTGATAATAGTTCATATAATGATACTAATCTATTCAAATTGACATGACTAAAATGTTTTTGTACAGACTGTTACATTGTTTGCAGAGAATTACTGTGTTATGTACTTTGTTGTATTGGTTCCTTAGGACTGCCGGCTACACATTTGCATCAGTCACACTCTTCCTGAGTTCTTCCATCATATAAGGCAACTTTGACCAGCCTCAGCCTCTTCAGTTTGTTTCCCCTCCATCTGGCATCTCACAGTGGTTTACATACCCTGTAACTCTTGGTATTAATACAGTTTAGAAAATTGGCTAGAGCCAAAACTGGAAAGAAAGCTACCTAAGGCAACTACTCCAAAGGCAAGCTGAAGGCAACATATGATCCAATAATGGTCTAAGGGGACTGCTCTGGCATCTTTTGTAAAAATATGTTTCTCTGTAAAATTTAAATCAAATGTTATTGTTTCAATTTGATGCTGTAGCTTGCTGGTTCCATACAAACTACCCAAGGAGAAGCCAATGATGACAGCAGACATCAGCCAGAGTGATGGCTGTAAGAAGATCTACCGCCTGTACAAGCTGACGTACATTCCTCCCAGACTATGGAGCAGATTCATTATTCGCTTGCTGAAAGCTACTGAGAGATTCTCTCAGACTCCTTGGTTTCTGAACACACAGAAGGCAGCAGAAACGTCCAAGAGGCTGTCCAGTGAACTAAAGCATAGAAGCAGTAGGTGAGTAGATCTCATGCTCCTTACAAGTATACATATACCTAAGCTTTGTGATGGAGTGGTACTTGGAAATCTCCTGTAACATCTTATCTTGTTAGTTGGTTTGTAATGTTTACATATTGACCCCTTTCTGTTTGTCTGGTTCAACTCTACTAGATAAATAACAAAATAAATTTATGTGGGTTTATATAAAGTTAATACTCACCTGTATCTGTACCTGCTGTTTACAGTATGATATGTTTTTACAAATGATAAAACCCCGAGTAATTTGTGAATATCTAAAATATTTATGTACATCTGAACAATACTGTTCGAGTAAGTACAAACATTTTGAATGAACATATATTTGATAAACATGTTGAGGTGTATTGAAACATAACTTTGATAATTAATTTCATCATTTCAATTTCCTGATAGCAAAGGTCAGTGTTATATATTGCTTTATAGATATAAAAATCCAAGTCAATGAACCATGTTTATTTGCTATATGGGTGCAATGTGTGAAGTTCAATATTAGTTACTGAGATGTTGATGAAGCAGCATAAAACTGAATCATGAGCAATATTGAGTCTGGACCATACAATCCCATGATTGATATCCTGAGCATAGATCTATCTATGACAGCAACTATGTTACTAAGCCTGACCACATGATCCCATTAGTAAGCATAGGCTAATGGAGACCAATGGGTTGCCAACTGTTGTGAAACAACTAGTTAATTGTTACACTCTCTCACCTATCCTAGTCGAGGTTTTGTTATCAAGAACAAGGACATCACCTACTGGAGAGAAGGGATCCGGGTGGCATCACCAGAAGCTGGCTACTTCCTGATTGAGTCGGTCAACTACCGGAAACCACCCCCAGAAGACCTCGGAGTTGGCATCCTCATCACCATTGTGGCCCCTAGCAGCCGCGGTCTGTCAGCAATGGGTATCATCGTGGATGAGTTGGATGATATACTGAGGGACTATTTCCCAGGTAGATTTGTTTTACTATTGACTATGTAGCGCTTGAAGTAGGAGTTCAGGGCATCTCTTGTGTGTAATTTCTGTTCATATGAATTATTTGTTTGTTTTGCTTCAAGTCTTTTTCTAAATGATGAACATAAGGGAGAGAATTATATTGATGTCAACATCTTTATTTGTTAGGAACACACTGTTTCAGAGTATAAGTTTGCTCCTCCTTCGAGTGATTATAAAAGAGTAAGCACATACATCTACTCTGAAACGATAGCTTTTACTTAAATCAGGAAGGTTTGGTTCTATGGAGCATATTCATTACAAGAATTATGTCCAGTGAATGGTGACTGAAACATAGCTGTTTCAATGAGGTTCTTAAATAGTGTTGTTCTTTCAAGAAATGATATTTGAAAGTGTTGGTTGGCATGCATTATGTGTGGGTGTGAGGATAAAGTGGACATGCAGGATACATGTAGATTTTGCTTATTCTAGGTTTTCAAGATTTCTTGGATGAACTTCCCAGTGTGTTTACAGTCTGCCCACACTGTTATGACCCAGTGAAGGATGATGCTGGCATTGTGGTCAGCATGACCCATTTTGATATCCAGACATGTGCTCTGACTACTCTCAATCAAGGTGAAATTATCTGTCCTCGAGGAAAAAGAGTTCAATTGGAGGATCTTGTCCCTGAGATGTTCTTGAAGGAACTACCAAAGAAATTCTTCCTGGATAATTCCCTGATGAACATAAGTGATAAGTCCCTGGGAACTGGTGCAGCAGGGGCTGTGTTTCGGGGCCGGTATAAGGACACTGATGTTGCAATCAAGATGTTCCACTGTTCCATTGCTGCAAAGAGCCCACAGAGTAGTCTAGACAGTGGCTCTGCCAGCATGTCCACACAAGGGAGCCAGGATGCTGGCATCTATGGAAATGTTGCACAGGAGAGGAGTTCAGTAGAAGAAGCAAATAGTTTGAAGGTGAGGATTATCATAAAGTTTTAGATTGTGCAGAAGTTCTGCAGTTGCTTTTTGCTCAGATTGAGCCAACTAAAACAACCTTCACAAAACACATTGATCGATTATGTTTTTTAGCATCTTTTATTTCATTTTTAAGTGAAAGTAGTATATGTTGAAAAAATACAGAATCCGAGATTACAGGTGAGGTTATTTCGGGCACTCTTGACTGACTGACTGACTGAGTTTGGTTTTACGCCGCTTTTAGCAATATTCCAGCAACATCACGGCGGGGGACACCAGAAATGTCGGGCACTCTTGAGTGATGTTAATATTACTGTATATAAAGAAGAATATTGTTTCAATCTTTTGAAATTATTCAGCCGTCAGATGAAGTACTGAGGATTTCATTCCAGGCATACAAGGCTTTTTCTGAGTTCCGGAAAGAAGTTGCAGTTTTGAGCAAGCTTCAACATCCATGCATCGTGTCGTTTTTAGGCCTGTCCTTACAGCCTTACTTGTACATCACTATGGAACTTGCTCAGCTTGGCTCCCTCAGAAATGTCCTTGACATGGAGGTAGCAAAGCTACACTTCAACAAGTTCCAAGACAAAAACAAAACATACTCTTCAATTTTTAGTAAGGATATCACATACAAGATCATCTATCAGGTAAATACTTTGTCAATTCCATTACATGTGTTCACTCAAGTTAGCTAATTGTAAGCTCACCTGAATGTGAAGGCTTTACAGATGGTCCCAACAGTTGTATCTTAGTGTTGCCAATATTATGAGCTGGAAGGTATATTGAAAACATATTTTGTTCATTGTTTAAATATTGTTTGTATACAAGGTAACCTAATGAAAATTATTATGTTGTAAATGTGAAAAATTAAGTATGTCTCACTACACTGACAGATTTCAGGTATCAAAGTGTTAGTAATTCAGTATACATAATGTTACGAGTCCTTTATATGCATGTGTATTTCATGAGTACACCTGTATTATCAATGAACTGATGCCTCCTGGCATTGTTACTATAATCCTTGCACATCATGATCATATGTCAAGGAACTGGGAATACCTTGCATCATTCCAAGAGATGGTAACAGTAGTGATGTTTAAATAAATGCATTTCGGTTTCTGCAACTGTATGTCTGTACAATAGGTGGCCAAAGGCCTGGAGTATCTCCATCAGCACAGCATCACCTACCGGGACCTGAAATCTGACAATGTACTGATCTGTTCTCTTGATGTTGCTGACACACACAATGTCAAACTATCTGACTATGGCATCTCCAAGTTTGCCACATCACAAGGACTCAGCGGGTTTGTGGGCACACCAGGGTACATGGCACCGGAAATCATGAACAAACAAATATATACTGAGAAGGTGAGTGGATATGAGTGGATTCAAGGGAATACTGTATCACAGAAAATTTCAGTTGTATGAATGTGTCTGCATCCAGCTGTGATTCTTAAACATGTGGAGGCATGAAGCTCTAGAAAGTCCAATCCTAATTATGAAATATAGAAATGTTGATTATATAACTTCGGAAGGATATCTAACTACTAGCAGTCTGTTCCATTTTTAACTTTAACATTTACTATCAACATCTTGGATCAAAGACTTGGTCACGTAATTTTATACATGATTCCCGAAGCCCTTAAAACCTGTGGTCTTGCTTCTTTTCTCCTTCTGAAGATGAACCCTCACTTTCGTGAACACATCTTATAGCTTCATGTGAAATGCTTAGATTTGTAGTGTATGAAAGATATTCATGGAAGAGCATGCGAGAGGAAAATATAATCTATGAAATCGTAAAGTTGGCCATTATGTATATTAAATCATATACACAGACTGTTTTAGAAAGACTGTAGTCCCTGTTTGTAATATTGCATGATAACTGGAGTTTGATACTTTCTTGTGTGTTGATCTACATTCAGACAGGTTGATGTACATTTCAAATGTACCCCAGATATGCTGGTGGACATGTTGACAGGTGAATGTACATTTACAAGGGTTGAAATTCTTTCACATATGTTGATGAACGTTCATGTGTGTTGATAGACATTCGTATGTGTTGATGAACATTTATATTGGTTTATGAACATTCCGATTTGATGATGTACATTTAGAATAGGTTGACATACATTCATATGAGTCGATGTACATTAAGATGGGTTGATGTACATTCAGATAGGTCAATGTACATTCAGAAGGGTTGGTATGCATTCATATGGGTTGAAGTACATTAAGATGGGTCAATGTATGTTCAGAAGGGTTGGTATGCATTCATATGGGTTGATTTACATTCAGATAGGTCAATGTACATTCAGAAGGGTTGGTATGCATTCATATGGGTTGAAGTACATTAAGATGGGTCAATGTACAATCAGAAGGGTTGGTATGCATTCATATGGGTTGATGTACATTAAGATGGGTCAATGTACATTCAGAAGGGTTGGTATGCATTCATATGGGTTGATGTTCATTCAGATAGGTCAATGTACATTCAGAAGGGTTGGTGTGCATTCATATGGGTTGAAGTACAATCAGAAGTACATTAAGATGGGTCAATGTACAATCAGAAGGGTACATTCAGAAGGGTTGGTATGCATTCATATGGGTTGATGTACATTAAGATGGGTCAATGTACAATCAGAAGGGGGTTGATATACATTCATATGGGTTGATGTACATTAAGAAGGGTTCAATGCATTCACAATGTAGATTCAGATAGGTCAATGTACATTCAGAAGGGTTGGTATGCATTCAAATGGGTTGAGTACATTAAGATGGGTCAATGTACATTCAGAAGGGTTGGTATTCATTTCAGGTTGACATCTTCTCCTTCTCCATGGTCATGTACGAAATATTGAGTGGACGACTTCCCTATGACGAGTGCGTCAACCTTTCACAGATCATACATGCAGTTATCAAGGACAGGAAGAGGCCAGACATAAAAGTAATCTCTTAATTTTAATATTCAATGGAAACAAATTAATCACCTTGATTTGAAACAATAATTCTACCCAGATTCTGAGATTTAGTTCTGTATCATGCTCTAAAGTTTACTTCTTGAAGGACAAAGGTGTATTACTGAACATTTTGTTGCAAACTTCCCCAGATCACAAACAGTCCTGTTGGGACGGTTGTCGATGGATACATATCTCTGTGAGTGATACATAATGGACATCAGGTTTCAAATGTGTCAACTTATTTATTGTTACAACATTAAGTTTTCTTGAATCTCAGAATTGTAAGTCAAAATTTCAATATTGTTGAAATATTGCAGATATGGAATATCACCCATCCATTTTATAGGAATTTGAAAGGAATGTTCAAAGTGGTATTTCTTGAACATCATTATTGACCTAGCTAAAGTAATGTGCTGCATTTATAAATATTGTTTTAGCCAGGCAGATCATGTTCCTCTTTTACAGAATTTCAACATTGTGTCCCATTTCCCTTACCTGGAGTATCTGATGTCTGAATGCTGGAACCATGACGCCAGCCAGCGGCCATCAGCAAGGGAGATCACTGCGTTCATGCGGCAGCATCAGTTTGTGGGGCAGTGTGACCATCTCACACAGGCCGGACCTGGTGCCAAGTTCAGAGATGTCACCTGCACAGCAGTCACCTCAGAGGTATGGAGGGTATACATTACTTGAGAACTGCCTACATTATTGTTGGCTTTATTGGGGAGTACTAAAAAATCTTCTGTATTTGCTTAAAGTATGCACACCTTTGTATTTAATTAATATTTCTATAAATTTAAAGACAATTGAAATCAATTTGGAATAATGAGCATGTAAACAATAATAGCTTCCTTGACAGCTCATTTTATAATTAACACATAATGTAGGCAGTATGAATTGATGCACACCATCCATCACAATGATTCAGCACAAGCTCCACCCATTCTCTTATCCAAGTTAGGCCATACATAAAGATATTCTTATTTCTCATTACCACCTGCTCTCAAAATGTGCGTGAATTTTTCATACTTCCAAGGTTTGATTTTATATTGGATAAAAGTTATATGTTTCCACATAAATCTAAATAAAAGTAAATGTAAAAATAAAACCCATATTTTTTTTAAAAAGTGACAGGGAAAATTTTTTATTTTTTATGTGGCCTTAAGTGCCCTTTTTATGATTCGGTAAACAGAAGTCGGACAGTAGATGTGGCCAAGTTTGTTTTGGATTTAAACTAAACATTGCTTGTTTAGCCCATCAAATAGCACAACACGAAGAGTTGTAATCTGATTTCATAAATCATAGAATCTGTGCATTTTATGATTTATGAATTCATATTACAACGCTTTCAAACATGCTGTGTTGTTTGGGTACAGAGCTAGGCCCTGTTTCACATAGTGATCACGGTGTTAACAGAATGCTATAACAGAAATATGATAGTCTTACCACAAAGACTGCTTGGCCCTGTTATGATGGTTTAAATAATGATGTGATGTGTGATGCACAGACCCGCTCTGCTGACACAAAGACCAAACTGTGGGTATGGGAGGCGGCAGGAGAGGAACAAGTTCGGTGCTACTCTATCTTCAATCTGGACACATCCAGTTTCCATGTAGCCCGCAAGGAGTGCCCAGGAGCTGATGTCCGCTGCATGATTAAAGCTGGGAGGTCAATGTTTGTTGGAACTGAGGTAAACATATAACATCAACACAAGAGATGAACCAGTCTCAGTAATCTGCCTAAAATATTCTACTGCAAATTATATGAGTGGATCGCTATGACGACACCAGGTGTTAACAAATACCCTACCTTACTGGTAGCTCTCACCACTTACAACTTGGAGGAAATACAGATGTTTGTTTTCTATTGTTGTACATCACTTTCTCTGGTTTTGTTTGAATTTGATCACGTATATTTATAGACAAAATTGTGCATCTTTGTGATGATGAACTTGCCAAGCCAATAGTAGATCTCTGTAATGTCCCTCCAAAAGTATTATAAGACATATATAATGTCTTGGATACACCCTTGTTTGGAGTGTATATTTAATACCCATTCCTTATAATCCTTTGCTGGCTGAAGATCTTTTAAACAGTTTTTCAACATGGTAATGAAAAAAATACATTGGTTGATTAATCATCCTTATAACAAGGCCATGGCCTCTTCAAGACTGATCTGCATGCAATGGTTGCTTTGAAAGTCATATATAGAATAGGTTTGCCTGTGTTGTCTGTATTAGCATCGTTTGGTTGTAAGGTGTTTTGCAGTTATTGAAATTCAGTACAGTGACAAATGTACTGTTCACAAAAGCTGACCCTTCTGTTCATTACTGTGAATATTAAAATACTTCAGATGAGTACTAGAGTATAAGAAAATTAACTAATTCAAGAGTTGGCATGTAATATGAACAGTGAGTCAGTGACATATATATGAGCTATGTTTGGTACAGCAGGCTGTGCATCTGAGACTGCTAGAATAACAGACCTGTACCTTCACCATGTGAAGCAGCTCAAAGCCAGTTCAGTTTTAAAGCCTGGTAAAGGCACATGTTCAACAACTGACTTCAGTAAGGTCATACTTTAGGGACCATCAGCCATTGTGTGTTTATTGAGGAAAAAGAATACACTGTAACTGTGATGATATGAATCATTTTAATGAAAAAAGACCTGTTAGTTTCAGTTTCACACTTAAATTTGTTTGATCTAAATCTGTCGCTTTCAGGCATCTGTGATAGAACTGTTTGGTTGTGGGAGCATCGGTGTTCCAAAGTGTCAGGAAAAATTCTCACTTGCTGCTATACCAACATCAATGATCTTTCACAAAATGGTATGTAACATGACTATTTTATTATTAATTTTTACAGAATTATATAGTATGACCAGAAATTATTGAGAATTTTAGGAATATGTTTAATTGGATTTCTAGTATAAACAACCTTGACCAGCTATCAAGTGCTTTCATTCAGGAGAGACAACTCTGTTAATCCTTTTTCATTAGTTTGTGAAGAGTCATCCCCCTTTGTTTACTTGCTAGCAGACGGCATTTTCAGTGATCCTCAGTATGGATGATGTAGAGAAGAGGAAGTTGATGTTAGAGTATTATAACAAGGACATCAGATCAGCTAAAGTGATTTCAAGTAGAACAGGCAACCCTTTGTCCAATGTTTATCGTGTTTTGAAAAATATTGCAAATGGATATGGCATTGAGCACCAGGGAGGCGCAGGTAGGCCCAGAAAATTGACTGTTGGTGACAGGAGGCGGCTTGGTATTCTTGTTTCTAAAAACAGATGAATGAGTTTAGAAAACTTAAGGCTGGATATGATTGATAGAGGAACTGTGGCTGTCTGTAAAGAGACAATTAGAACTGAGCTGCATACAATGGGTTGGCAGAAAAGTCGAGGAATTCCATCACTGATCATTAAACCTGAACAAAAGGAGCGAAGGTTGAACTGGTACTTACAGCCTAGAAATCTGAACTGGGACAATGTGATTTTCTCAGATGAAAGTTCTGTGTGGCTGTTTCCTAATACACTAAAATTCTGGACCAAACAAACTGAAAAACCTTTGTATCAGCGCCCAAAGTACACTCCGAAATTTAACGTGTGGGGTGGCATATCGGTGTTAGGGGCAACGCCCCTCTGTGTATTTGAAGGGAATATGAACAGTGAGTGATACACAGATATTCTCGAGGCACATTTACTTCCATCTGCTCACTTATTCTATGGAAATGTTTAGATTTTCCAGCAGGACAACGACCCAAAACATCGTTCAAAGCATTCACAGGCCTGGTTTCGGACCCAAAATGTGACATTATTAGATTGGCCAAGCTATAGCCCTGACCTAAATCCAATAGAAAATGTTTGGGGACTTATGAAGGAAAGTGTCAATAAGAAAAATCTGACAAATATTGCTGAAATGAAAGAAGAGGTGGTCCGATATTGGGACAGCATGGACCACGACTTTCTAACTTCTTTGATCAGTAGTATGCCCCGCCGCATTGAAGCCTGCATTGCTGCCCATGGTGACTTGAGAAAATACTAACTGTTCACCTGTCTTTGAATCTGGAGTTATGTTCTGCTAATATTCCAATTTAATACGTGAGTAATAAGTGAAAAAATTAAAAGAAAATTACAATCATTAAATTTTCAATAATTTCTGGTTGTACTGTATCATCATACATCTGCAAGCTAGTAAACTTTCATTTTCTGCGTTTGTGAGATGTGGCTGTTTTCATCTGTTGTTCCATAATATTGCTGGCATCTTGGTCGTTCAGTTCTATTTTAATGTGAATATTTTTTAATCCATTCATTAATGCTTTGATGTATTTATTTTACAACTAAATATTTTGTTTGATACATCTGCTTCAGAGTGATAATGGAGAGGAGAGTATAGGTCACGTCTTTGTGGGACTTGACAATGGATCTGTTGTCATCTACTCACATCAGCCCAACATGAGGAAAGCCAGCAAGACATGGAGACTAGTGAAGACTTTAACACTATCAGTTGACCAGTCAGTATGTAGTATGACTTTGGTCAACCAGGGCAGAGAACTGTGGGTAGCTTGTGGACACATGGTGGTGATTGTTAGCACCCAGACACTTCTCAAAGAGGAAGAGATTGACATAAAGCAAGAGTGTATGGCAAATAAACTAGCAAAGCATCCTGTTATTCAGCAACTAGTTTCTAATGAAAACCAGGTCTGGTGCTCTTTCAGAAAGTCCTCAAAGATTCTTGAGTATGATGCGGAACTGAGACAGCTGTTGTTTTGTCTGGATGTGAGGAACAGTGATGTCAAGTATAAACACTTTGCCAGTTCCACAGACAGTGAAAGTGACACAGAGTCTGATTTGGGCTCTGATGATGATGAATTTCATGACACTAACTTGGCAGCAAAATCGTCCAATTTAAGTACTTCCTGTCCATCAGCATCTTTGGTCGACTTGAGACCAGCTGCCCCAACGCCAGGTGCAAGTGAACTAACAAGGCCTAGCCAGAATGTGTATGATGAAGTGGATCTAGAACAGCCTGTCACAACTAAGCATAGATCCTTTGAGCCACATGACTATATAACATTGATACCTGACAGCCATGTAGTGGATGAAGCCAGTGATGATGATGACACCAACTTGTATGAATACATTGAGTCACCAGGAGTAGTAACTGACAAATCAAGGATTCTCTCCTCTGCAACACCTAGAAAAGTGACACCATCAAAGTCACCTAATGTACCACCCAGGCACTCAGCATTGCCTAACTCTGATTTAGGTAATAAGCCACTCAGTGATTCAGTTCCAGTTAGGCCACCCAGGAATAAGAAAACAACTACTTTGATAAAAGCAGATCCACCTCAGAGCAGTGAGACAGATCCTCCCCCTCGTCCCCGCGGACCACGTTCGGTGTCAATGCTAGCAGGGGAGACTTCACCTCCCCCCAGACCACCCAGACTATCCAGATCATTACAGGAGACCGTGCCACCTGTGCCACCACCAAGGAAATCTATATCCACTGAGCACATCAACAACAAAGCCAGTGACAAAGGTGAGGGATCTAAGTGTAATAAGGATATGTCAGGTCACGACAACCCACCGCCAGTTCCACCACGCAGACTGACTCTGATAGTGCCCTGTCCACCTGATATACCAACAAGATCAGCATCTAGATCCCCACGACAATCACACAAGCTGGACCCACATTCAAATGTATCATCTGCCATGCCCCCAACTATACCACCAAGAAGCCCAACTGCTAAGAAAACAGGTGCTTCTTCTCCCTGCCTTCAACATCATGACATTGGGCATGGTGAAGTTTCACCCAGTTTATCCACTAAATACAACACAATACCAGCAAACTTTAAGTCCCGGAAACCACCTGTGACACTTGTATCATCCATGCAGGTTGGTCATGATACACTATGGGTGGGAACAAGCAATGGCAAGATATTTATTATTGGTATCAATGAAAACCTACCTAATAACCGAAGACCCAAGCTGTCAGTACTTGAGAATGCATCAACCCCAAGGCTGGAGGAAGGACAGATTAAAAGAGGACCTGTATATATGATGACAACAGCAGGTAATATGGTTGTGTCCAGTGTTCGGGTGAATCCCAAGCGAGAGTCTCTGCAAACTGTGCTGACTGTGTGGGAGACAATGGGAAGAAAAAGGCTGGATGATATCACCAATTTTTGGAAAAGCATCTCCAACGAGGAGAGGGAGTTGACACAGAAAGACAGTCTTGCTTCGTAGGTGCCTCCTGTTTCACAGAAGATAGGCTAAGTTATGATACTAATTTTTGTCCCCGCTATTGGGTCTGCTTTTAGATGCCAAGAACACTTTTGTAGCATTAATGGTAAGAGATGGGTTCATAACTTGATATGTTTCAGGGCAGTAGTGAACGATGTTGCCCATATTTAGTTTGTACACATCTTTCATAAGGGTAGGATGTATTGGATATGGAGCGAAGTCAGTATTAATATCAATATCATGGCAAATTGTCACTCACCAACCAGCATTGAGACCTGTGTTAAAGTTTTACAGATATGTGAGTATTATCAGGTTTTGTCATAATCCTCTTGTTTACCTATCATTAACTGTACTTGATGTGTCCCTGCCCATACCAAGTTTATAGTTTATAGTAGTTCTCATGATGATATGGTTGCCTTGATAGCCATGATCAGTGTGTACAATTCAGTCATATACATGTAGATACAGTGGAAGCCCTCTAAACCGGCATTCGTTAGGACCGGCGAAAAGTGCCGGTATAGATGGCGTGCTGGTTTAGAGAACTTTTCTGTGTGCCGTAAAACTTGTTGACATTTAATTCTGAAGCAAACTGAATAGATTTCTCTTTCAAAATAGGGCCAGAAATGGGCATGTGTTTACAGCGGGCAATCAAAAAACAATCATGCGTCAGTGTGTTAATTTTGTCAAATTTACTGTTTTCATTCACACGTTGTTGTTTTTTTTATTGATGTTTTGTTTGAATTTAGTTTCATACACTTGACGCTTTTTCAAAATGTCTGAAACTGTTTGCCTGCCAATTTGGTTCTTAAGTGCAAGATCTTTTTGAGTAGGCTGAGGAATTGCATCAAAATCTTTTATCAGTGAGCGACTGATAAATTGTGACCCGACAATTAATTTATAATACAAGTGACACGTGTCACTCACCAATTTACCTCGCCTACTTAGGCTTTTATAGTCCTTATCCATACTCCTTTTATCAGGCAACATCAATGAGCTTAATGCTGATGGTAATCCACTGTGTTGTCAATACATGTTCAGCCAATCAGCCAATCAACAGGAGAGCCGAGATACTGGATGCCGATTTAGAGAGCATTAATTGCTGTCCAAACAGTCAATTGGGCGGTCTTTATTGTGCCGAAATACGGAATAGACTGAAGCCGGACTAGAGGGCGTGTAAATTATCATAAATGAACTAGCTTCCTCCAGGACCAAATTCTCGTGCTGATATTGAGTGCATGCCAGATTGGAGGGCTGCCGGTTTAGAGGGCTTCCACTGTTTATGTTGTAGTTCAGTTACAGTACAGGGTCCCGATCCACAAAGCATTCTTAACATTGCAACCTGTTGTAACTCTATTATTTTTCGTAGGCTTATGAATGTCATAGCACTGCAAACGTGTTGTGTATCGGGACCCTTGTACATACATTTTCTTTCATATGAAAGCATGTCACAGAGACAAACCAAGAATGCCAGACTTAGTTAATACTGCTGAAACATGCAATGTACTGGTAACATGTAAACCCTTCACATGTCACAATAGTGACAGGTAGCATTTTCAAGTCATTGCAAGCCTTACATCACACAAGAAGTGGTTTTTCTGATGTACCATTGCTAAATCTATTTTGTCATCACGGAGAATTCCGCTGCATATGCATTATAATTTCTTGGATATCTTTTCCCATATATGCTGCTCTTGTCCTGTTGTGACAGCTTGGCAGGCATTGCTTTGTGATGAGCCAGATATGATGGCGCCACAGATGAGGTTGTCATCAGAACTGGGACAGTTGTTATTGTTTGGATCAGTTGTATGTTATGATCTCCATGATGGTTACATTTTCTTACATTTATCATTTATAATGTGAAATATATTGGAAGAATCCCTCCCCAGTACCAAAGTTAATAATCTATCCTCGGGCGATTATTGTCATGTCAGCAGGTTCTGTTTCCTGTGATGCTGTTGGGTTAGTTGAGGACGTATAGTACCTGGACCCTAGCTACTCTAAGGTGACATTGTTCTGGTGTGTCTGGAATATATCATCAATATTATAACAAACAACACAAAACATTACTTTATATATTTTATTGAGTCAAACCAAGTTTGTAGCATAATGAGGGACATGATTTTTCTGTGTGTTAATCGCACAACCCCATGGGTTCTGTTTCAGCACTTGTGTTGATCTATATATTTCTCAAATGATTTTACCATTCCATATATATCTATGCATGTAGCCATATACATGTTGAAATATAATGAGGGTATTTTGTGTATTAACAGAAGTACAAAGTTTGTTTTCCATATTTTGGTAGCCATGTTTGATCTTTGTACTTACATTCCTGTTTTAACTCTAGTGATACTGATTATATGGACATTAATATGTCTGTGATATGTAACGGCATGATGACAGGGTTCCTGGTTTTAGACAAAGTCTTGAGGATGGAGTGCAGGGAAAATGTTGCCATGTTATGAGTATATGTAATTTTGTAAAATTGTCATGATGTGAGTGATGCTTTACTTGATGTAGACAATTATGTTCCAACCCAGTGTTATAATATATGCTATGGGACAGACTCTGTCAAGGGGAAGGTGATTGACAAGTATGGGAGGGGAGGTCTGTATGTGAGAGACTAGGACAGACCCTGTCTAGGGGAAGGTGATTGAGAGGTATGGGAGGGGAGGTCTGTATGCGAGAGACTAGGACAGACTCTGTGTTGGGGAAGGTGCTTGAGAGGTATGGGAGGGGAGGTCTGTATGCAAGAGACTAGGACAGACCCTGTCATGGGGAAGGTGATTGAGAGGTATGGCAGGGGAGGTCTGTATGTGAGAGACTAGGACAGACCCTATCATGGGGAAGGTGATTGAGAGGTATGGCAGGGGAGGTCTGTATGTGAGAGACTAGGACAGACCCTGTCTAGGGGAAGGTGATTGAGAGGTATGGGAGGGGAGGTCTGTATGTGAGAGACTAGGACAGACCCTGTCTAGGGGAAGGTGATTGAGAGGTATGGGAGGGGAGGTCTGTATGCGAGAGACTAGGACAGACTCTGTGTTGGGGAAGGTGCTTGAGAGGTATGGGAGGGGAGGTCTGTATGCAAGAGACTAGGACAGACCCTGTCATGGGGAAGGTGATTGAGAGGTATGGCAGGGGAGGTCTGTATGTGAGAGACTAGGACAGACCCTATCATGGGAAGGTGATTGAGAGGTATGGCAGGGGAGGTCTGTATGTGAGAGACTAGGACAGACCCTGTCTAGGGAAGGTGATTGAGAGGTATGGGAGGGGAGGTCTGTATGTGAGAGACTAGGACAGACCCTGTCTAAGGGAAGGTGCTTGAGAGGTATGTGAGGAGAGGTCATTATTATTTTCATTATTTAAAAAGTAAACAACATTGACAATATGTTTCACTTTCTGGGAGAAAGAGGGGATAAAACCCCAGCCCTTCTCAAAATATCAGATGGTCAGCCCATGACAGTATGGAGTTATATTTGGACATTTACAAGATGCTATTTCAGGTGATGGATGTGCTTTTATGAACACTGAAGTTCTGATACATAACTCTTTCATATAAAAGATCACAATACGTGCCAAGCCTACTGAATGTTGTGTGAAATGTTCTGCTGGTCAGAATATATGCAAGTTTATGAGTAGTTTTTGCATGTTTATTTCACATAATAATCAGTTACAGTGACACATCTGCTGTCAAACAAACATAGTGGATATATGTTGCAATGTGTATGCAAAAAGTTGTCATGTATTCAGTTTTTGGTTTGCCATATGTGAATTGTAAGCTCCAGTTGGAAGAATGATAATCAGTATTACCATTGCAAACAAGGTACCCAAGTAAAATGTTGCATAATTGGGGTAAAATTCTCTCTGTATAGTTTTAATTTTCGTGGGGAAATTAAGGAATATTTACTGTCCTTAAAGAAATCTTTGTCAGGTAACAGTTGTGCTTCTTAATGATTATTATAGCCCTTATGCATTTATATAGTAATATTTTGACTTAGCACTTGTAAACAAATGTTCATGTTTGTTTAATAAGAATCCAAATGTCTTCAATTTTGTACTTGAAATGGCACCCTCTATGATGAGTCATTAATTGTTTGAGTTGGCCAGGCAAACATGGTAGAACTGTAAAGGTAATAATATAAAGAATTTTATTGCTTTGATACACTTTACTGCTTTGATACAGTATGCACATTAATCAGTAATATTAGAATACACAAATATGAGAAATCCATCAAAATTGTTAGGTTTGTTTTAAATGATTTACAGTGATAATAAATTACAACATACTATTTTTGTTGTTGTTATTTTGCACTTATTCATGTGAATACTGCCGGTACCATACTGTCAGATGTTAATTATGGATGCCAATTAGGGCTGGGACGGATAACACTGATACCCGGGACAGGTGGGAAATGAGATGGACCCGGATACCCATCTCAATACCCGGACCCGTTGTGTTCATGTGACTAATAGATTAAACAATGTAATATGTTATTCTTCCATTATTAAAAGGTTGTATTCTCATTGAATATTTAGACAGTATTTCCAGTCACCTGTTTTGGATATAATACATGATTAAGATATTGAAAAATAAATTATCCTCCCAGCTGAAAAATATGTTGACATTTCTTACAAATTTGATGTCAGGAATTAACATATCAGGTATCTGGGTAGGGTAGGGTAATTGGGGTTGGGGTACCCGGGTAGAAAATTTGGTCTCGTCCCAGCCCTAATACCAATGATGAAAATGTTTTTTAGTTTAAATGAATGAGTGAGTTTGGTTTTAAGCTGCTTTTAGCAATATTCCAGCAATATCACGGCGGGGTGACACCAGAAATGGGCTTCACACATTGTACCCATGTGGGGAATCGAACCTGGGTCTTCGGCATGACAAGCGGACGCTTTGACCACTAGACTACCCCACCACCCCTTCTAGTCTAAAGCATCATGGTAGATGCTCCATTTCCACAGTTGCAGAAGCTGTGTCAGAGACCAGGATGGAGTCTCTCTGTATGTAGGGGAATCCTTGTTGGTTGCCCAGTGTGTACATCTTCCCTTATAAGGTGACTAAAAAGGGTAAGGTGGCTACAGTGTGTGTATTGTTGTGTTCTTATGGCATGGAGTACTGTTCATGCTATCAAGCACTGGTTTGTGTGGCAGCTGTTATTCAGCTGGGGTATTGCTGGGGCTATTACAGCCATATTCAATTTCTACTGTCCTTTCACCTATTTATCAGCCTATTTATTGACTATTGAATGTGGTGTACAGCAGAGCATGGTTACAGCAAATACATACATAACAGACATAACAAAGTATTTCATCTGGCTTGATTATTTTACCAATTGGTATTGTATAAAAACTCACATGAGTTCCATAATCTGTACAGCAAATTACCATATACAAAACTGATTGTTCTTCCGAAAGAGACAAACCTTGTACTAAAATGTCTGTGAAAGGACAAGAGACCCCACTCCAAAATTGTATTTCCCTAAACTTGATTTTCTTTGATTTTTTTATGGTGACCAATAACACCCTCCTGGTCAGGTTAAACACAAATCTGGCATGTTATCAGATATGTCTGGGTCCAATGTAATTTCTTCTGGACTATTAAACTGAGGGGCAAAAGAAACATAGGCTCCTAATTTTCTCATCCAATAATAACATATGACAAGCTGTGCCAACAGATATCAGTGTATTTCACAGACACAGCCATTAACATCAGATTGACCGACTTCAACAACCACATGATGACATTGTAAGGACTAGTGAGCATGCATTCTTGCAACTCCCTGATTCTTGTAACAGATGGTGGATTGTCCATAATTCGATCAGATTCCATTTCATGGTATCATTACACAGATCAGTTAAGTCACATTCCATCATCAATAGCGAGTGTGTCCACCTCTAGCAAGTATGCAGTCCTTGACACGACGTCGTACAGACGTTACCAGTCTTCTCACAATGGCTGGAGTGATGTGACGCCACTCTTCTTACAGTGCCTGTCATGTGTTGCTGACGTTGCCGAATCCGTCTCCCAAGATGTCCCCAGAGGGGTTCTATCGGATTCATGTCAGGGGATCGGGCTGGCCACGGAAGAACTTCTTGGACGCAGCAACGTGACGTTCTTTCGCCTCTACGTCGGTAAACTCGCACTCGACCGTTAGCTGGAACCAGCTTTCATCCGAAAACAGCACACCGTCCCGATGTCGTCTTTGCCATCGTTGCACAATATGAGCCCACCTTAATCTGTTGAGTCGATGTTGCCGGGTCAAGGTCATTCCCCTTAAGGGCTGGTAAGCTTTCAAAACTAAATGGCGGAGACGTCGGGCTACAGTCCTCCTGCTGATCGGGTGTAGTAAAGAATCATGTGCTGATGACGTCACAGTGAGGAATCTGTGAAGTAGGTGCAGCAGACGAAGATGGCGGTCTTCGTTGGCCGTGGTCACCAGTACGTGGTCTTCCACTTCGTGGTCTGTCTGATGTCCGACCAGTATTTCTGAGACGTTTCTCCAGCCTCTCAATGTGGTTTTGTGACAACCCATGATTTGTGCAACTCTGGCCTGAGGTCTTGTGAAAAGGAAATTTCATTGGTCCCTTGGACATCATTATGACAAAGTTACACTGCAACATGTTTCATAAGGAAAGTTTCTATGCATGGCTTGTGAGACAAAGGAGGATGTCGTTTCCAGGGTTGGCCGTTGCTCATCCTTATTTGACAGACAAGTGTACAAAGTGTTGTTTTAAGTGAAAAAGTCTTGTAATATGAAACGACAGTGTGTGGTATTCAAACACAAGGTTGTTCAAATATATTCATGCAAGTAAAATGAAAACACACATGTGACTATATAGTCAGGACGATACTCTTGAACTTTGACTTTGACTTGTGTGTGAATTTAGAAGTTAATCATGTTTTGTTAGTCGAATTAACAGCATATTTTCTTAATGAAAAGTGATGATTGCAAAGGGTACCTATATCTAAAGAAATGGCTTCCATTGTTTGGTTACTAACATATAACCAGAAATACAATGGTGCGATGAAGGTCTTGTAAACATGGAACAATAACGTCAAAGACTGGTACATATTTTGTAAGGATTGTGGAATGTGGTAAAATAAATGGTACACTAGGATGAAGAAAACAACATGAAATGTTCATTAATTGCTTATTTATTGACAAAGCATCACAAAACATACATACACCATCACAGCAATCAAACCTAATTCCATAGTATTGCGATACATAATCAGATATATATAGATGTAGTCAAACATGTTATCAATCCATAAAATGTTGCTAGTTTGTAAAGTGTAACCACAAATGATATGATAAAATGATAGCAAAATGGAGATATTTGTGTGGCATCTGATTTGAATAAATAGTTTGGTGTCACCTTAAACTGTGGTCCAGAATCAGTTAACATGCCCTAAGACCACAATTCTATATAACATAGTGCTACTATTTAACATCAATGCATCTGACCTTTGACTGCTGAAGTTATGTATGTTTAGGTTCACTCATCTGACCAGAATGAATGATGTACAATACAGTCTATATGACCCAGTGTTTATTCTGGTGTACATGACTTGCCTGTGCCACTAGTGGAGCAGGATACACTCACCTGGTTCCAAATTTTAGTGTTCCTGAAGTGGAAGCACCTGAAGTGTGTGCTGTGTTAGACAATATGGCGAAATAACATGGGTGGAGACAGCATCAGGGTTACCCATAGCGGGATATGAACCTGATTCCTCGTTGTGACCGTGGCTAGAAATAATGGATGCTGTTCAACGAACATATGGCCAGTATGTTACATGCAGGAATATGACACCAATTACTCTCAAATATGTGTGTTGATCCCCGAAGCAGCTAATCCTTAGTGATTTGGGACCCATGTTGGCCGCTCAAGTGAAGGAAATTCTCAATGTGAAGGCTGGCAGCTTAATCTTTACTGATCTAAGACCCATGTTGGCAGCTCAAGTGAAGGGAAGTTCTCAAGGTGAAGGCTGGTTGTAAATACTTGGTGATCTTTTTGTCCCGGTTATTCCACCATAGCGAGTCACGATGTTCACAGCCTGTGTGGTAATCATTAACGTCAGACAGGAAGCAGCAACACTGACAACATATCGTCTGTTATTTGCTATGAAACATAGTTGTTCTGCCTATTAAGGGTGAGAAGTCTTGTAGTTGGACTTGTAAGCAGATAGTGCTGACATTACCAGTATTGAGAGTCTGCATAATCTCTTGGACACACCATGTTTTCTTTCATAGGACCATACTTCACAAACACATATTGCATTACCTAAACCTCTGTTTACATACAGATGAGAAATGGCTGTATTATCCTTTACTTTGTTTACTTGATAAAATACATAACCATGAAGGTACATTCATGATTTGAACAGTTTAAAAGTAAAATAAAATGTCTAACACTACATAGTATAGATGAATGAAAAGCTGATTACTGATCTATTGTCGCCGAATAGCTAATGCTAAAAGTGAAATTCAAGATCTCTTTTGAAGCTTGAACCTCTACACAGAAATTCTAATTCAAAATTAACAACTGGATTTTCTGGTTCATCAATCCCGTTATTGGTTTGTTTACATGAGTACTGCTGTGTGACACCAGGTTATAAATGATTTCATATATGTTGGATCTTAGGCAAATTGAGTCAATGACGGACACTACCGGCGCGACATATTTACCCTGGTGTCATCACTGATCTTCAGTGGTCCAGTTATATGATTTTAACAACTATTTTACCTTTAACACCATATGGAATATATTGAGGATAGTCAAGACTGGGTACTCTTTTGGGTACTCTATATTTTCAGCCCAAATAAAAACATGAATTAAGGCAGTTGAACAGCCTGTGGCATCTAATAGTTAGTATGGTGTATGTAATGAGATAAATCTGGACTTTGGGTTCAGGCATGCTTCAGGGTAGGTGATACCAATGAACAAAAACCTTCCTTTTGACGTCTGTATGTATGTCTCTTGTTATGTCTATTTTCATTTGTCACTACTCACTTCCTTGTATATCTTGTGTGCTGGGGGGCAGGTCCTGGCTAGTCGTTCTTCTGGAGTTGTGTCCAGCAGTCGCTTGGCTTCCACTACTGCATCTGGTGGAGCTTGGTCAATGGAGACCTTCAAACGATGGAGCAACTCATCTGCCGAGTGTCGTTTCAGTTGAGCGAGAAGGTATTGCGGATCCTGAAATTGTACTAATGTGATTAGCGATATCATTTGGCCAGGACCACCCTCTATGGAAACAGTGCACAATATACCAATAGACTTATAATTTCTTCTGACATGTTGTGCAACAGTTTTCATATTACATTACAACCTTCTGTGATGAATCGGAACTCAATGTCATGTGATTCATAATGATAATGTATGTGATGTGTGGACAAGGATTACCCATGGCGGCACTGATTATCTGGACGTGTTATTGTTATCCTCCCACGAGGTCTAGCATGTACCTGTAACGTCCATCTGTGTTCTCCAAGCAGTAGAAACACTGCAGTCAGGACATTTCGGAGAGGTACAGTTAGGTGCCGAATGGCTTTCAGTTCAGCAATGTTTCTGTTGTTGACCGGTGACGCTTTCCGAGGATTGGCCTGATGCTGCAAGAGCTTCATGAGAACCACCTCAGCTTCATGGATATTCGTCGTTAGTGTCTCCGCAACATCGGATGATTTGGCTCGCCCGATGGCCTTGTACAGCTCGTCCGTTCGGTTTCTCAGCACGGCTTGCCTGAGATCTTGGGAACAAAGGAACACAAATAAAATGTCAGAATGTGATTGTTGTCTCTCTTTTGTACAATGTACTTTTGTAAACTTTGTTTTCGTTTTCGTTTTAAATGTATTTGGCCATGTTTTCCAACAGCATATATCTGGCTTCATGGTATCATATCGACTATATGCGTCATGCCATGAAGTCTATGTGAGGTGAGGTGAAATTGGGTTTTACGTCGTGCTTGAGAATATTTCGCTCATATGACGACGTGCATGCGTGTGTATGTGCATGTGTGGCTGCTTGTACTAGCCCAGATTTAAGCTGGTTTTATAGTGCTAGCCCACTGAGATACCATGCCGCAGTGAAGCATGAATACCCCACTCAGACACATTATACTGACTCCGAGCCGACCAGTCCTTGTGCCAGGCAGGGACCAACAAGTACCATATTTTAACGTCTTTTGGTTTGACGCGGTCGGGGAATGAAGTCTATGTACAGTTTATGGTTTTACAGACAGATTTATATCAAACCTGTGACCAGGAAGCAGTGCAGGGGAACTTGGGGATCACATAGGTAACATGTCGGATTGTAAAGGTGATAACGTTTGGTTACCAAGAAATACCTGTGTTGGAGAGGCTAGGTACGTATGTTATTGATGTATTCCCCCTATGAAATAGAGAAATGAGTTTCTAAAGGACAGTATTTCCGTTATTCCATAGACCATCAACTTCATGTGGAGTTATTGATCGCAGGTCTAAGACGGTTAACACTTTGTTGCAATCCACGAGCACGTCAGATTCGAACCCACCATCACACGTTTCTGACACACCTAAGGTACACAACTTTGCACAGCGAATTTCAGCACTTTAGACGACTGGTCCCACCATGGCCAGTTTACTGAAATCATTGTTTAAGTATACCTAAGCAAGATAACTTCCAGCCTGTCCACGTGTAAGTACAATGTTTGATACGAATTCCTTACGTTGTTTGATTTCTAAAATCTCCAGTGATTGTCTAGCTTTGGTGTACACGCTGATATCTCCCATTTGAAGCTGTTTGAACCGTTTCATGTATTTGATGAGATCCTCCTGATTCCCCTCACGTGACGCTTCCAACAAGTGTTCACGGACTATTCTCTCATCAGTGGGCTATTGGTATAAAAGAGCAAATAGAAGCAACAGGTCACAGATCTCTATCTATATGGTTTCTCATACAAGCACTGAATGAAAATGGATGATACACATGAGGCGTTATTCTGATTAAAGTGCGTGGCATTACGTATGGCAACTCTGAATCATAATGTAAACTTCATCACATTACCTCTCTGCCGCAGTTCAGTCTTTTGTTGGTAGGCCCCGATTCTATAACATAGTTTAGGATGTTTTTCCGTTCGCTCGTCTTTCGACCGGCTGTGTGGATATGCAGAGCATATGTCCCGATTTCAGGCCTCACTGTGATTTGCACATGCTGGTTGATGATTGTGGTTGAAACATATTGTTTGGTTTCAACTAATGGGAACGTCTCACTCGTCAGACTTGCCTCGATTTTCTGACCCTTCTTGACATTGAAATGAACCGTCATGTTTTCATCTCGCTTAACAGGGATAATCCCGTTTCTGTGAGAAATACTTGTGATCCCCGCGGTCTTGGCAGCTGGACCAGGGCCCCAGTTGATGTCAGGCCTCGGGGGTGGTCTGTAGTTAGCCAATGTTTCGTTGCATACAATCTTGAAGTCGCATAGGCGCGAACTTATGACATCTTTCATCAACCTTAGTCTGTACTGTCCTGTTTTTGGAAGATTTAGGGTGAAGTTGATTTCATCCTCATCGTTTTTGTTCTCCAAGATTACATACCTATCAGCTGACGTGGCTTCTGGGAACTGTCGTTCTTGATCTGTCTTGTAAAATAATTCATACGTCAGGCCGTGATTCAATTTTGATAAGATTGTTACTTTACACTGGCCCAGTCTCGTTTCGAGCACTCCGGATTGCCTGCCCTTGAAAGTAAAACCGCACTGAGAAAACTCCGGTTCAATGTAGGGGCATTCAAGAAATGTCTTTATAGTGAAAGACTTCTGCAGTAGTTGCCATTGTTCGTTTTCTGATCTACACAACATGTTTAACTGTTCTGGTTCTATAAAGAAGTAATCATCATCTGGCGCCATGGTCCATGCCTCACCTTTACTTTGTTGGATGTTTTCGCGTACTTGCTTCCCTTTGTGTTCTACCTTTAACCAGCCCCCCGTGTTACTGCCAAACAGGGCGGTGAAAGCCCAGAAACAATGTACGAACCTCCACGATCCCTCTATATATACAGCGTTCCAGTGACTGATGTTCTGACTTATATCCGCGTCTCCGACCTCGTAATTCCCTGCCTTGCAGATGCCGGTCAGATTTACACATTGCAGCCCAGCCTCTCTTGAACAGCAAAGGTACATTCGAATCAGGACAAAGGGATATGAAAAAATCTGTTTACGTTATTAATCTGTACCAACTTCCAACACCAGTGAATTATCTCTAGTTTAAACTCCACGTATACAATCGTCAGACATTCATAGCACAGAAGAACATTTCAAAATCAGAATATCCTTAAGGCTGCGGATGAATCACTCGCATGGCAAGCCGGTTTCACATCTTGAAATGAATTATGCACCAAGCAAATACAAATATAAAGTTCTACAATTGTTAGTAATTAAGAAACAGGTGGATCTTTACTCCAGGCTTAAAGGCAGCCAAAGAGGAAACAGTAGTTCCAGAATGACAGATTGACCTGGCACCGAATGTTTACAAAATGTTTGGTCTGAGACATTAATACTCACTCCCAGAGTGTTGTAAAATAAATCTTTTTCGTTACTCTGTACCTGTACACAGCATTCATAGGTCCAGTTTATCTAATCACTTGATTGTGTAGTTTGATTGCATATTAGGAATACTACTATGCAACGTCAGGCATAAAATACTTCCTTTTTTAGGCATTCTTTGTAAATGGCGGCTGCTACCGGGAGGGCAGGACATGTTTACCCTTATCGAGAGCTGAACACTGATTTTCAGCGATCCATTCATATAATTTTCACAGCTGTTTTCCCCTTTACACCAAACGGAATTTGTTCCTGAAGATAGTCAAGACAGGGTATTTTTGTACTGACGTTCTATACCAAACTGGTAGGGAGGTACAGAAAGGAAGAATTTGTTAGCTGAACAAGGATGTCTGGGAGGATGATACACTTCCGTAAGAATTTGAAGATATGGAGGGGAGATCTTTTGGAATGATTCGTAGGCAAGACAAAATTGTATCATTTGTGAACTTAATTTAATTTGAATTAATTTAAGTACAAATTGGAAGTCTTCTCAAGAACTGGTCTTCGTAATTAGCCTTTTAGCTGTATTCTGCAATCTTAGCCGTCTGTGAAGTTGATTATTAGAGTGAGTGAGTGAGTGAGTATGGCTTAACGCCGCTTTTAGCAATATTCCAGCAATCTCACGGCGGGGGACACCAGAAATGGGCTTCACACATTGTACCCATGATTAATAGAGAAGAAGAGACTATTGCTATAATCCAGGAAAGAATTATAAGTTATGTCATGGGTGTTGCAGTGGCGTTAATAAGAAGATGCCAATATATTTCGGAAGTGGAAAAGAAACGTTGCGCGTCATACCAAAGGAACATAAAATATAGTACTTGTTGTTACCCAGACTGACATTGGCTTTAAGGGGTAAAACAAAACCGAGTCGACTCTTAGTATAATATAATATGTCTACATGGGGTATCAGTTATCGGTTTACGTGACGTATCTCAGTTGCCTAGCACCACACACACATCACCACGCACGCGCGCATGCGCACGCACACACACACACACACACACACACACACATACCTGCATAGAATGGCAAACAGGGTTGAATACAGTTTAGAGGACATGGTCTCCTTCATATGCTTCAAATATCCGTTTGGTGAGTAGCGATATGTCTTTTTGTGGTATTTAACGTCCTGGTGGTTCTGTTCACCCATCCAGGAGAAGATGGCTCGGACCTTCTGGACATCCGTAGTCAGACCATCGGTCAGATGACGCACCAAAGTGGGGAAGTCGCACTGTTTGTCCTTTGGTATCTGCAGGACACATATATTTACTGAGGTGGAGTTATGGAACTCAACCACATTAGCATAGGCCAAGCTGCAAAACGTTCACGCGCTGCTTGACTTTGTCCATGGTGGCTGTAGTTTGAAGACATGATTAACCTTGTAATATTACCATCAGGTTCTTTGATTTTGGAAACAAACCGCAAGGTTTGATTCCTCTGTTAATGGGTCAATGTTGACAATAGTTTCTTTATCATCTTTCATTTTCAGTATTAGGTTCGAGACTGAAAATTGATATTGCTACCATAACACAACATCCCTTTTAATTGTTGGCTAGAATATGTACCTCGAGGTATAGTTACAATCTGTATAAACAGTCGCCCGTACATGCGTGTATATCAAGACACACTATAAAACTGAATGTTAGTGACGAATTATTCTTATCTGATCATGTTTACTATTCTAATACCTTGTTGTCAACTATCGCAGCACATATAAGGGCGTAATACAGTGTCACGTCACTTTTAACAACAGCATGAACGGCAACCAGAGTAAAATAGTTGTTGTATATCGTAGATAAATGTCAGGTATCATGGTATGTAACATACGTGCTTCACTCGCTCGTCTAGGTCTTTGTAGTCATCTACACTGAAAATGTCCCAACTCCTGGTCTTTGGAGGTTCTGGTTCATGGTAGCCTTCCACAAAGGCAGGGACCTCAACGTATTTCTTGAGAATACAAAAAGCACAGTAGGATTCCCTGGTTATCCATTTAGTGATATAGTTAGTATTCTAGGCACTTTGTAATATTCAGATGTTTGCCTGTTTATAGTATGATAGGTTAGAGCGCAAAGACTTGTTTAATCGTTGAAATCATTGAACGTCTCATTTCAAACAATTAGATTCAAGGTCCTCATTCTCTATTGTATACTTTTATCCGTGAGCTCCAACCTACGTTTAACCATGATCAACATTTAGAGAATATAGCACCTACGATTGTTTTGATAACTGTATTTAATCAGATAAAAACTGTGCGTGCTTCTGTGCGATGTACGTGAGATATACACATGGGCATTAATTAAGCACAAACAGTGTGACAATCAGATTGGCTGTGTGGTCAGGGTGATCATGCTTTTATACATTGTTGATATTCATGCGTTTGTGTATATTCCTCTCAGATTGCAAGAATATTGCAAGCAAATTTCAGGCTTGTTTTTGTTTGCATCAGAGTATAATATCTTTCAGTTACCATTTTTAATACACGGACACATATTGTTTTCGTACTTAAATAGAATAGGTGGGTGGAGCATGTTAAAATATCCACAAACAAATTATGATACAGGCATAAGACCAATTGACCCTCCTTCACCCAAATAATAGATATATACCCCTCCCGAGTAAATACTATGCCAGCTTGTCTTGCATTTAAAACATTCAACCTCACTAGCTGCGACCTCGGTGTGTGTATGAACACTACTGCAACAAACATAGGTGTCCTACCTGTTTATCTCTTGTGTCCATTACCGTGATCGATCCTGTGTCAAAATATGTTTTTAAATAAGCGTTTCACACGTTACCCAAATGATCAGTTCCTAATTGTGAAGAACTACAGAGAAAACAACTTATCACACAGATATACACACACATACACATATATGAAATGCTATGATATTAAGATATATTTGAAATTAAACTGAAACATATTTTTTGCAATATTAATCTGATATTTATAAACATTGATGTGATTTAGAAAAGATTTTAGGGAGCTACCTATATCAGAATGACATTGTGATGAAAATATATTGAATTCATGCTGAGAAACACTATATACATACTATTTTATAAACCAATGTCCAGCAACTAAGTGAAAAGAGAAAAATAATGCGTTCTTTAATTATCTACACGATGAATAAATTACCGTTCTGTATTTACGTGACATTATCATAATTGTACTGATTAATATATATCCATTGACATATGTGAAAATACTTACGTGTTTCCGGCTATTAAGGTAGATCATTTGGAATGGTGTTACATGTGTATCTAAGCTGAGACGTTGTCACCTGACGACTTTGTGGCAACACTGTTATCTGATACCTCTTACTGGTTGCACACTAGACCAAAAGGCAGATTTTATACCTTACAAACAAACTCATACACAACAGCAAATGTATGCAATGACCGGAGTTTTGACCATTGCCGACATCAGCTAACTGGGCGTTTGCTCTCATGAGACCAAACTTTCACATCACCAGACATGGGGTAATTGTAATTTGTAATTGTAATTGAATGTAATTAGTTACAAAAACCTATGTAATTGCATGTAATTTGTAATTGAATGTTTAAAATGTAATTTGTAATTGTAATTTAATTAATTAATATCTCAATGTAATTGAATTTTTCAATTACTTTTTCAGTTACCTCAAATTACATCTCACTTTTTTATTTTGGTGGTCATCAGGCAAGCCTTGCAATTATATTCTGTACAATAAGGAGGACAAAGCATTGTTTTTCAATAAGATGCTTGTTGTCGGTATATACTCTAGCAGGTGTTAAGTTTTGAAAGAGATTTGAATGTCTAAGCCTTTGTAACTATCACCATCTGCACATTTGTGAAACAAAGGGAATCAGTAACGCATGACTGAATGTAGGTTGGTATTTGAGGAAATGGGGATTAACAGTACTATTAGTCAAGTTCCTATCAAAATGGCCTCTTTGTTTATTTCTCATAGGATATGATATTCAAAATCTTACTGAACTGTAGTCCTATTTTTATAATCATGAAAGGTAATAAGCCATAAATCCAAGTTGACAAATCCTTTAGTATGTTAATGTGGATTATGTCAGATAGAGAGACCGGCTGATTATATATTGTAATGTAGGCCTGTAATGATGTCATGATACAGTACACCTAAGGTAACAGTGGTGGACAAAGTGTTTTTTGCAACAAGAGATGATAGAGGCGTGTATTTGATAATAAGCCCAAAGAAATATGCAAAATACAAATTTGATCAAATAGTGTACATTGTAGATATAATCTATTTTTCCATTTCACTTTTTGATGACAAAAATATGAATTGGATTTAGTGACCACTGTTTACCAACATCGATATCTTGTTGATTAAAGGAATACAGAAATATATATATTTTTTTTTTGTTTGTTTGTTTTTTAAAAAAGTAATTTGTAATGTAATTAATTACATTGGTAATGTAATTGTAATTTAATTAATTACATTTTAATTTAAGGTGTAATTGTATTTGTAATTGTAATTGAGGAAAATCAAAGTAATTGTAATTTAATTAATTACATTTCAAAGTAATTGAACCCATGTCTGCACATCACCATCGTTTGTTGTCATATGCACCAGTACCAATGTCGTTTGTGATATGGCCGGAGTTTAAGAAATTGTATAAATTTTCAAACATTCACATATCCCCTGGTTTGCAGGTTCTGGTTGGAAGATTGCCAGCAAGTTGTGATTGACCAAATGGTCATTGAATAGATGCGTGTTCCGGCTCGGTGATTTGGCTTACTGGGTGTCTTCGTACACCCGAAGACGTGGACTGTTTCTATCAATGTAAAAATTGAGCAAATTCCCAAATGAAATAGCTACTAGTATGTTTAAGTTTGTAACATGCAACACTCAACACATGTTATGTTCTTTAGTGTATTAAATGTACGGATAACACACACACACGCGCGCGCGCGTGCACACACATACGCACACACATTGCCTATTTAAGAAATACAGTTCGCTCTACCACCATGTATAGTGTAATAAAACACACTTTTGCCCTGAACTTGCGTCCGAGTGCTTTAACGTTAAAATAGTTCAGGGCGAAAGTGTGTTTTATTACACTATACATGGTGGTAGGGCGAAGTGTATTTCTTTTCTAAGATGCCAAATTTAATACTTTCTAAAGATAATTACGATTAATTTAAGGCAGAAAACAAACGACGGTGTCGGTGACCTAAATTAAGAATCCTCGCACAGGGCTAACTGGCGCGCTGTTCTATTGATGTGTCTGCCCCCCTACGTTAAGACGAACGTTACCAGAGAAAAACAAATGATAACATTTTGATGACGGTTTACGTTCGGATTAAATATCTTCTCTGAATTATTTTAATTACATCTGTCATTAACGTAAACCATATGGGGCAATATGAACGTTGCATTTCTACTACAAGCGTAAGTTTAGATCAGTACATCCAGAGGAAGTTGAGTAGTCAAGCGACATTCCACAATTGCATTGTGGGAATGTAAACATTACGAACGTTACCGTGTCGCTGAAAACTTGTGAGTCGAAATGACACATTTTAACCGTCGTAAAACATAAACGTAATGTTTCCACCAGTGATGTTAGCTGCGTGAAGCAACAGCAAACCAAGAAACTGGATGCAACGGTGTAGTTTACTGTAGGAGGCCGTACGAGGCGATGACAACTGACATGCATCGTGACGTCGCTTACATTGTGACGTAATGTAAAATGGTTCGATTACGAGGGGGCACACTAGAATGGCGCAGTGACGGGAAACGTCATTCAATTGTTACGTCATCAAAAAACTATACCTTTATTGTCTGATAATGTATTTTTTTTCGATTGTTCTAACCGCTAGGCATCTTAGAATCCCATTTCATTATATTTGTTGATATGATTTATATATGTTATAAGTAAGGAGAATTTATAATCCAGGTAAAAGATACACGTTGTTTTTATTGAGTTAAAAAAGCTTTTGATTTTATAATTAGAGATAAACTTTGGAAATTGCTCAGTGGTAAACTGTAGAATGTTACAAGCTTGTGTCAGAGTGCAATCCGAGTCAAAGGAACATTTTAATTGTCCATTTGGTTTACGGCAGGGATGTATGTTGAGTCCAATGTTGTTCTCATTATTATTAAATGAATTTCCTGTAGAAATCACAAATCATGGTAAACTTGGAGTCCATTTGTTTCCAGATGTACTTGAAATGCTAATGTTGTTATTTGCGGACGGCGTAAATTCTCGTTCCAGATACTGTTAATGGTCTTCAGTGCCAGTCAGCCACTTTAGAACCGTGTGCAGATAAGTGGGGATGAACAGAAAATCTAGCAAAATCTAAAGTTCTAGTTTTTAGAAGAGGTTGGGAATTAGCTGGTATATAATGGGAGTAAAATTGAAACGGTAAACAGCTACAGATATCTAGGTTTTGTGTTCACTTGTAATTTTAGTCTTAAACAAGGAGTCTTAGAACTTTCAGTTCGTAGTAAGATCGCTTTAGTGGAATTAGCTATTAACTTCAGAAAATTGGGACCAATGCCTATGGAAGTATTTTGAAAATATATGTAACATCCAAATACAGACGAAGTTGGCCAAAGTACATCTTGAAAATACGGAGCGTCCCTAAAGTGTTTTCCACAGTAATTCACTCAAGGTGAAATATCTCGTGATTAAATGTAATAGTCCCTACACAGATTCAATATTGTTTCATGCAGAAAACATTAACGCTAGATGAAGATTACTTCAAACCCACCAAATGTACCTTATCGACCATATGATGTGTTATTCGTTCTCCAAAACAACAAAAACACCCCACAGGGTATCATATACCAAGTTGTCGAGCTGAATTAATAGTACTTATATTTTTGTATGTACATGTAGCATCATGAGAACAAGTGTATGTCCTTATACACACACTAATCATATACACTGATTATTTAGCCACACTATACGAGTGTAACAACCCCCGGTGGCTTCACTAGATACACGATCACTTGAAGGAAACGTCCCTCAGCGTTACCGCATGGAGTAGCCAGACATACCAAGGCACCTGGAGCAGTGGGGTAGCCTAGTGGTTAAAGTGTTCGCTCGTCACGTAGAAGACCCGGGTTCGATTCCCCACATGGGTACAATGTGTGAAGCCCATTTCTGGTGTCCTCCGCCGTGATATTGCTGGAATATTGCTAAAAGCGGCGTAAAACCATACTCACTAACTCACTACCAAGGCACCTATGCTTAGGTTAGTACAACAAACATCAAATGCATCTGTAGTATATTTTTATTGTGATGTTTAATGTTTATTTGTCACATGGATCTGGAATTACATGTTCATTTCCTCGCTTGAACATATTCGGGAAACACTGTACTTTCACGTTGTGTTGTGCAACTGGGATCAACACTGGCGAAGATAATACCTACTGGATCAAGTGTGTCGATCTGGTACTATCATATGCAGAAGGTAGATTGTCACACATCAACAATGTTCAACAATAATCACTTAGTCCACCCAGTCTTGTTGTCATATACTATTTAACCTGCTTTCAAAGACAATCTTCTGTCACAGTAATCTGGAAATCTACGGTAACATATAACCCTTTGTTAACAGTTGCTGAGGCTTGAATGCTGGAACCCTGATCAACCTGCCTTTGAAGTATAGTGACACGTTTCGAACTCTTCTTACAAAGAGCATGCTGTACATGTTCATTATACCTTAAATGTGTGAATTATAGACATCGAACACTTGAGCTGCTAGGATATTACCCAAGACAAGGGGAAAGTTGAAGTCATTATTCTTGTACCGGAGTGTCTGGCGGGTTACTGTCTCTCCGGGTCTTTATGTCTAAATATGTAACATGTTCACTTTGTCTGGGTTTTGTCATTCCTACTTCAGACATCCGTTAATCAATATTAGTTAAAACGTTGCCAAATTCCCATGTTGTGATTTTCTCAATTTCTCAATGCCATCTGCTTTCTGTTTTCAGTTATCCGGGAACAAAGAGGTGCAACTATATCTATGGCCACCGCGTGTACTGGAAATACCCCAGAGGATCAAGGAATAAGGTTTCCCCATAAGTTCGTCATGTAAGATAATGGCGTGCAAAGCTGAAAATTAATTGTTTGACATAACTGACCAATGTATTTTGAGAATTTACATAGTATTAATTCCACTTGCCTCAAATAATTCTGTGATTGTAAAGTTATATCAGTGGGAACATTGTTAGGTAATAAGGCCACTTATATCGCGCTGAACGCCATGACGCCGGACATGCTCAAAGTGTACATTACTATCCCCGATAACCCAAGCTGCCTGTGAGGCGCAAGGAAGTTATCAGTCATATGACTTGATTTTGTAACCTGGTCCCTTATTCTCGAAACGCTCGTAGTCCTAAGAATTCTTAACTTTGATCGTAGCGAATGTGTTAAGAATGGGCTTAAGAAGTTCGTAGGGCTACGAACGTTTCGAGAATAGCTAGCCTTGAGTCTATGCTCAAGACCACACACCACCACAGGTAGGACAGCGCTTTCTCTGTTTGAGCGTAGACAACACAACACTTTGCCTTAACCCGAAGGCCATTTAACAGGTTCTCCTTCTCTATTGGCCTAATGTTTTGGCATATGATTCAGAAACCTGCACACTGACTAATTCAGATCCAAGCTGGCAGCTGGTTCATCAGACATCTGAATGTCTTTATTTAAGGCTTACATAGTACCCCAATAAAGACATGCCAAGTTTGAAAGTCAGATAAATCGGTCATTAAAGGAAAACCAAGTTCTATGTATAGTCAACTTCTTTATTGCAATGAGTGCGACGTTTCGGTGTAAGTACAAACTCCGTTATCAAGCAAGTGATGTTCTTCTAAAAACTTCTAAAAACGCCTCTCAAAGAAGAAATCGGCCATTACATTTGAATGCCAGAGGTTACATAAAAACTGACCTTGGACTATTTCGATTACTCGAGAAAAGTACTATCACTACTGTCGAATATTCTTTAGAAGATGCTACTTCTGAGTAGATTATATTCAAATGTAGGTACTTTGTAGATGAAAATCTCTTCTACGCAGATATGAGTAGTATTCTATACGTAGATGAAGGTTATGGCCCTAATACGCTTCCATAGATGTAAGTATGACGTCACTGGACGCTTGATATTGTTTTAAACAGAACTAACAGGTTTCCACAGAAACTGATTCTTTTCTGACATTACAAATTCAATAAACATCAACAGTTTCTTTGTTTACAAATTTTTACATTCAGAAACATTAGGTCATTTTCTGATTTTAGTGGAGTCGATGCTGTGGGCTTATGTTGTTTTAAGGCAAATCTATGGGCAAATGTTGCTTGCTTGAGTCTTTTGATATCTTCAATAACAAAGAATGCGGTTGATGCGCCTTGCGGGTCCAAATGCTTCCCGAACAAGGGGTAACATAGCTTCCAACTCAAAGCAAACACTACATAGAATTAAACTGGTCGCTTTATTGACTGAAAAAATCAATGCAAGAAAGAAATATTTGCAATGATTTATATCCTGTTTATGTGTGTGCAGGTCCCGTATCTTCGCCATAACGGAATATACACTCGGAGTCATAACGATGCATGTATGTACACACACGCACAGAAAACACTTTATAGGCACCATGATAAGGACAGCGTTTCCAAATAATTGACCTGTCTGTTCAGTGCATCGTGACAAAAACAAATAGAGTAATAAAACAAAAGAAATACATCACATGACATTTCAATTGTCAATATATGTAACTAAAATGAAAATACTGTCCGCATCACTGAGAAAGAAGGAAGGTGTAAACCCCAGTACGTATTTTGTGTTATATACGTTGTGTATTAGTTGCCCTGGGCTGAAGACTGTATGTCCACATCTCTATTGTCCGCCTGTTGGTCCTCCACGGCTGGAGATGAAGAGCCATCGTTATGAATACTAGGTGACCGCGTCATTGTATATCGGTCCACGAGGTCCTTGCCCTGAAAGAGGGAATTAGTTCCGACAGGGTGACACCGTTCAGTATTGATATGTAATAATGTTAAATCTACGTAACATCTGTTTGAATCCACATACATGTCAATTTATTTATGAACTATATATCCACCTTCTGATATACTTTCCCGACTGGAGCGCAGATTCGGGACACGTTGTCTCCCTGATGCCTCTCCAATAGTTCCTTGGCTTCATGGACAACTTCCGGCCTGACCTGACTTGGTTGGAATCGTTCCAGCCGTGGCAGTAACCCATCTGGGCCACTTCTCTTTAGCAATGCCAACACGTAGCTACTGTCCTGGAACAAACGTATGTAACATTTCAGACAGAAGAATAAGTGTTATAATATTGACCTGATTCTGGAGGAGACGTTATCCATGTACGAACTGACTACAATGTGCCAAATGTGCAATTTGTGACCGTGTTGAAGATGTGTCATCAGTCCTCGATGTCTCGGTTGTGGCCTCTGCTGTTAGGCCTGCCTAGAGTGGGTTATGTACTTATTAATGTCATGGTTATTCGGTTATGCACTGAGCAAATTTGGTTATCAACTGACCAGGTTTCTATGACGTAGTGACCAAGATTCAATGGTGTACTGATTAAGGGTCTATTTCTAAGATTCCGTTATATACTAACCGAGATGAACTGACCGCCCTCAGCAATTTTCCAGCTATGTGGCGGTCTGCGGACAATCGAGTCTGGAACAGACATTCCACTGATTGACATCATGAGCACTGATCTGCCCAAATGGGAAAAGATGACATTCATCAAACAAGTCAGCCAATCTGACCAGCCGATCCCGTTAGTCTCCACTCACAACGTGGATGTGATGTTGACGATCAGCTCTAACCGGATCTTCACGGATCCCGTAATTAGATGGTTGGCGTAACACAGGTTACCAGCTTACACAACAACTACCAATATTTTTATATATAAACTCTTGCATCTAAAACAGATTTTGAATCAAAGGCAAAATTGAAAGTCACCACTGCAACAATTGCGTGAAACAATTACAACGGCAATGTGCTACAAAGTGGATGTCATTGTCATTGATGGACATTTGCACCCAAATGACGTAGTGGACATAATGGAACACGCCATTGTAGCAATAGTAGCTTCTTAACTGTTTATGGTGAGGAATCAGTGTAGGAAAATAGAGAATAGACAATCTCACTTCTTTTGTGTTTACCTGTAAGCTGAATCTGTTTTCTCCCAGTAACAAGAAGAGAGCAGTGAAAATCTCTTGAAGTGGAAGGGTCAGTGTTCGTAAAGCTCTTAGCTCGGCAACGTTTCTGTGGGTGACCGCTGACAGATGCCGCGGCACAGAGTTGCGATGGAGAATGTTGTTCAGGGCTGATTCAGCTCTCTCAACGTCAGCTTCCAACTTCACGCCGACATCTGATGATCGGGCTCGCCTTATCGCTTTCTCTAATTCGTCACTTCTCTCCCTCATCAAGGCGAACCTCAGGGCTGCATACATAGCGTGTATAGATTTTACATCAGATATATAAAGTCTGTGCCTAAATGTACAAGCAAATCTCTACGTTACAAGTTCTTTCCTGGTGTAAGAACAAAAGTGATGAAATTAGAACAAAGAGATGCTCACTGCAGCTCACAACTTCCACGAACAAACAGAAATATTTATTTTCAGGAACATTTTTACGCCGTTACAGACAGTAGAATGAGGGGAGAATTGTTTCCTACCTACAGAAGCATGTGCAAACCTTTCAAGTGTAATTTGAGAGTTTAAACAAGGGGTTCAGGTTGTTAGGGGTTTTGATTTTACGAACCGTGAGCCCCCGTACTCCGGCTGTGGGAAGGTTTTCAGGCTATCAACCACCGATGACCAATACTTAATAATGTCGCCGCGATATAGTTGGAATATTTCTAAATACGGCATAAACAACATACAAACAGTACTAATCCTACACGCTGAATCCCTAATTGTCGATATACAGGTCACAGTGAACCTTTAAATACTGTATATGTATTAGCCATATTAAGTACCTTGTTCCTATAAGCACCCCCGGCCATCCTCCAGCAGTTATATACCGATGGAAAAAAATAAGGGATCACATGAAAGCACAAGTGTTCCCTTATTTTTTCCAGGTTTCTTCACAAGCTATGCGATACAAAGCTTGTGGAAAAACCTTTGAAACAAATAAAGGAACACTTGTCCTTTTCATGTGATCCTTATTTTCCCCCCTCAGTATATATAACCGCGCACTGTAAAGGCCGAATATTCACATGACAGTCTGTATATTCATGAAAGCAGCAGATCAAGAGGGGTATGTACTTTCCTGAAGATTCATAGGGTTTGAACCCTAGGATTTTCACTACGTCTCGATATATTTTAACATATTAAAGGTTTAATAAGCACCCCGCTTTGTAATTTTAAGGGCACAGAGCGCTTATCACGGCGAATAACGAACAAGAGACAAAATACATACTTTCTTTGATCTCAATACTCTCCAGAGTCTGCCTTGCTTTGGTTAGATGTCCCTTGTCCTCCAGCTTCATCTTGTTGAATCTGGCGATGTAAGCAATGATGTCGTCTTTTCGTCTCTCCCTCGTCGCCTCCTTCAGCTGCTGTCGCGTCATTCTCTCTGTGGCATTCTTAAAACAAACAACATCCCACCTCACGTCATTCTAAATTATTTTGAAAAGGTTCAAATAAAGTCTTTAAAACGCTTTCATTCCCATGGTGAAAGAGTAAACTATTAAGGACATACACCGAAACATCGTGTTTGTTGACATCTGAAAATTTTCCCCCTTTTAAGGATCAAATAGTATGAAACAATGACTGATATGCTTAATATGCATTGGCAGCAAATAAAGCAACATAACCCTTTCCATTACCATAAGGAGTTTCTGCTAAGAACAGTCCATATATTAGTCCGAATATTATCATAAGCATTACTAACACTTTCCAATTCCTACGACACCAGGCGTTCGCAGACCATACCTCTCTGAATCCCACTGGCCTTCTGTTGGGCTGGCCTGCGTCGATAATGTAGTTAAGAACATTCTTTTGACCCGCATGTTCCTTTTCATTGTCAATCACAAGGGCGTACTCCCCATCATCAGGCCTCAGTCGGATGTTGACGGTGCCATTGTAGAACGATGTTGAGATGAACTGCTTCATCTTATTGTCAGGGAGACGGGCATGCTTGAGACGAGGTTTGATTTTCTGTTTCCCCTTTACGTTGAATGACACTTCGATGTTCTTCCCATCTTTGGATTCAATTATCCCTTCATTGTGGGATATGTTGTATAGTCCTTCTGATCGTGCAGTGATGCCCGGCCCCCATCCAATTGCTGGGGTTTCTGGTAAAGGTTCACAACCTGCCTTGCGTTGTTCACATTCAAGCTTGAAGTCACAGATCCACGAGAACACCTTACCCTTTTTCATGAACAATGAAAGTTTGTATGTACCTTCTATTGGAAAACGCACTCTGAACTTGACTTCTCCATCGAGGTTTCTGTTGATCATCGCAACATACCTGTCAGAGCCCTGAGCATCTGGAAACTCCTTGCCGGAGTCTTTCTTATAAAACAATTTGTAGTTGAACTGGCACTTCCTCTTCTGTGCTCTGATGATAACGTCGCACTCCCCCATGTGGGATTTGATGGTTCCTTCCTGTCCAGGTCTGAAGGACAAACCACTTTCTGTAAATGCTGGTCTCACGAAAGGCAGTGCCATGAAGCGTTTAAAAGAAATCGGAGACCGCAGAAGCTGCCAGGTGTCTTGCTCTGGGCGACAGAAGTAGATGAACACGTCTGGATCCACGAGGAAGTAGCTGTCGCTGAAGTTAGCTTCGTGCTTCCTCTCGCCATCACTGGTTTGAACATCTTCTGTTACTCTCTTCCCATCTTCTTCGACCTTTAACCAGCCGGACATGGTACGTCCAACAACAGAGATGAAGGCCCAGTTGCAGTGGACAAACCTCCATCCTTCTGCAACATACACAGCGTTCCATGTACTGTATCCTGCCTCTTTGTCTCCTATCTCGTACTTCCCGGCCTTCGCCCGTCCGTTCAGAACAACACAAGGGATTTCAGCCTCTCTGAAACGTACAGAATATTTTCATTCACAGAAGATACAGGACCTTTTATCCCATAAACTCATGACTACTGCGAACGTTTCACGACTGATTACCTGCATAGGATGGTAAATAGTTTAGCATATAATGACGTGTCCTCCTGAATTCCTTTAAGGAAAGCTCTAGGGGTGTATGGGTCTGTTGCGTCCGGGTACTTCGTATCGAGAACCTTCTGGTTTCCAATCCAAGAGAAGATGGCCCAGACCTTCTGAACATCTGTAGTCAGACCGTCTGTCAGGTGACCCACTATGGTGGGGAAGTCACTCAGCTTCTCGTCTGGTATCTGTGCAGAAGACAAACACATACCCATGATGCAGTCGAAATGTTACATTGGACTCTATTTTTAGAAGATATTTGGGGCGGTAGGGTAGCCTTGTGGTTAAATCGTTGGCTCGTCATGCCCAAGACCCGGGTTCGATTTCCTACATGGGTACAATGTGTGAAGCCCATTTCTGGTGTCCCCCGGTGCTATTGCTGGAATATTGCTAAAAGCGGCGTAAAACCATACCCACTCACTCACTTACTCACTTCGAAGATATTTCTAATGACCACGGTTTACTCTTTACGTCAACATCGATAACTCTTATTAGTGCAGTGGCTTAGGGTGAAAATAGATACTTGGCGGACTAAAGTATGAAACTTTGCATAGTACTGGGGAATTTTATGATGAAACATATCTTTGGGGGTGCCCGTTTTTGGGGGCAAATTTTTCGAAAATTCAAGATGGCGTCCAAGATGGCCGCCAAAAATCAAGGATTTCCAATTCTAGCACTATTGTAACTTTGCCCCGCTGGATTATAGCAGAAAACCTTGCACAATGCTTGGGAACATCATGATAAAACATATTTTTTGGGTGTGCCCGGTTTTATGGGCCCATTTTCCGAAAAATTCAAGATGGCGTCCAAGATGGCCAACAGAAATCAAGGATTTCCAATTCTAACACTATTGTGACTTTTCCCCGCTGGATTAACGCAGAAAACCTTGCACAGTGCTAGGGAACATCATGATACAGCATATTTTGGGGGTGTGCCTGAATGTTTGGGCCTATTTTCCCAAAAATCCAAGACGGACGCCCAAAATCAAAGAGTGCTGAAGTCCACCCAGAATGGTCGCCGACTATAAAAAAATCTTCATTTGTTGCAATATGTGAGATATATTCACCGTTCAAAGGGCTATTTCTAATACTTTCAAGAAATATAACAAACAAGATTTATGTTTAGTAGCAAAAGATTTAATTTATTATCCAATTAATGAATAAGTTACTGTCTTGATCAGTCAAGTGACATCATTTTGTTGATGTAACGATCAACCTCAAGATGACCTAAGCCACTGCACTAAATTATTTTATTACATAAGTTAATAACGAAATAGTGTCGATGAAAAATATAAATGGCTAAATGGCTATTAGATTGCATTGTTTATGGCTGGTTTGTTGTTTAACGTCGAAGGCAGCAATTTTCCAGCTATATGGTCGCGGTCTGTAAATAATTGAGTCTGGACCAGACAATCCAGTGATCAACACCATGAGCATCGATCTACGAGATTGGGATACGATGACATGTGTCAAACCAGTCAGCGAGCCTGACCACCCGAACTCGTTAGTCGCCTCTTACGACAAGCATGGGTTACTGAAGATCAATTCTAACCCGGATCTTCACGGGTATAGGGTATATTACCTATTCAGTACTGAATAACATTAAAAATAATGATTAAGGTATATTCGATTATGAAGTGATGTACAGACACTTTTATGTCAAGGTTCTTTGATGGTTGATATTTAGTTTCATATTCATGTTACAGGTTCATATACAAACCTGAGTTGCATGAATATCGGTGAAATCCTCGGGGTCGAAGATATCCAGCTTCCTTTGTACAGGCGGTGCTGGCCGAGGGTAGTCCTTCACTAGATATGGCACGTCTTTGGTCTTGGAAAAAGGATATCATGAGATCATATATCGAGTATAGAGTTTTAAATGTTTCAACAGCGTGAATGTCGTGCAGTTGCTTCATTGGTGTAGTGGATCAGGATGCCGTTACAGTGACATGCCAAAAGATGTTGAAAATGGTACTCTTGTTCCACTGCCTGGCACACATAACCACACGCACTAACACACACGCACGCACACACAGAAAGCGTGTGTATCGTTATACACTAGAAAGGCAACGTTGGATCTCATGGCATGCCACGCATTCAACTCATCTTTTAGGCGCCCTTTACCAGACACTTACAATGTACGCTATGTAACCTCAACAAGACATTTATACAAGATTTAAATGGGAACATTTTTTAAAAGGCATTTAGAAGTTTGACGAACATGAATACATGACACGTTTTCATGGATAACAACTTCTTTTATTCTTTACACGACGTTTCAGAGCTAATTCTTGCTCCTTCATCAGGTGAATGAATGGGGAAGACAGCTTAAATGAGTAAGATGAGTTATAGGTATTTGAATAGATTTGAAGAACAGACTGTTATGGACATTGTACATAGTGACGTACCGGTTGTGTGGTACCTGCATCCCTCCCGTCCTCCATTGCTCTTCCCCTCCTCCTGCGAAGATATTCCAAACTGACATGATTCCGACATTTTAGACAAGGCGTGGACATCGTCAAGCGATGCCCGGGGTGAAACCGACAACATCTTTCACCGATGATACTGAACTGATACATTGCAATTGATCAGGTGTTCTGTCTGTCTATTCCAGTCAATATACGTATTGCAGGGACCATGTACTGTGCTCTGTGGGACCCCATCTTTTGACTAACACCTAATATTAACTGTTTTAGCTGATCAAGTAATCTCTGTGAAAGTAATCAATCACGGTCTGAAATGGCGCATAGTCCAACTTACCGAACTTCCAACAGCAACAATAGCCGTCCTTGTTTTCAATGAATTTGTCGACATAAATTTTCACTTCACGCTAACTCCCTCGGTTGACAAGTTCTCATGGTCATTAAGATGGTAGGTGAGATAATTCGTTGCCTTTGTCGCCTGTGTAAACCTTAATTCCTATGACTATATTTAATTAGAGTAGTACTGATTAGTCAATACTGTTTCTGTGTATTTCTGGGGGCGGTGGGGTAGCCTAGTGGTTAAAGCGTTCGCTCGTCACGCCGAAGGCCCGGATTCGATTCCCCACATGGGTACAGCTTGTGAAGCCCATTTCTGGTGTCCCCCGCCGTGATATTGCTGGAATATTGCTAAAAACGGCGTAAAAACATACTCAGCCAGCCAGTCAGATGTGTATTTCTGAGACGGAACATCATTGGCGGATGGGCTTTGTTTATTGCTGTTAATCCTGTAAAGTACAGGATTCTGAATAAGTGGGCACAGTTTCACATTATATTGCTGGAATATTGCTAAAAACGGCGTAAAAACATACTCAGCCAGCCAGTCAGATGTGTATTTCTGAGACGGAACATCATTGGCGGATGGGCTTTGTTTATTGCTGTTAATCCTGTAAGTACAGGATTCTGAATAAGTGGGCACAGTTTCACATTAATGTTTCATATATCAATCATATATGTGTCTCCCTTACACTGTCTGTAACTGCCCACTCTTACTTTGCATTAAGGCATTTCTGTTACAACCGATACGTTGACCCTGAAACGTGTTACCCGCAGTTCGAATAACACAGTAATTGATGCCGATGTGGACTGTACAAGAAGAACTACCCATGTAGTTCAAAGTGGTGAAATTGCAGTGACTGTTTTCGCGTTCAACAAAGTGCAAAGTCACATCGAAATCCGGTGGACATTAAATATATGTCGAGTTTTCCGTGTTCGAGACAAAAGGATGGACCCAACACGAGGGGATATTTTAGACCATGGTTCCGAAAATAAAAACGGTATATTGAGCTATACTGTATTCGAATCAACAATGTTTCACTGAAAATGTTATGGGTGGATGGTGTTTCCAATATATTATGTGTCCATTCCTGGTGTCCCCGCCGTGATATTGCTGGAATATTTCTAACAGCGGCGTAAAACTAAACTCACTCCACTCAATATATTATGTAGACACGGGTCGCAAGAAGTCGCTTTACAGAGTTGCGCCCCTTGGGCGTTCCAGCGTAGCCATGTTTCTTGGTTTGTAAGTTCCACCCATGTGCAGATGGTAACCGCCAAGGCTTGTATCACTTCCGGCTTTCCTCACACATCGGTAGCTGAAACTCTACTCAGCGCAGTGCTGAGTCACTCATCTCACTCACAACATGATATAATGTTTGTGTTGATTGTGCATATCACAGATGTTACAAGTTCATATACTGAACAGCAAAAGAAACGCAAGTTTCGAAAAAATGAAATTTCATGAAGTTAAGCGTTCATGTTTATGGAACGTTCATGGTAAAGTGACGTAATGATCCCAGATGAGATGATGTCATGCAATTTGACATCCATACGAACCATTCGCACAAACACACCAACAGTGCAGCAAAACCATAATTTTAGCACGTGCGTCGACGGTTCTGGATGAAAAGCATGCATTTCAGGTATTCTTTATAAAGGTTTGTGTTATAAAACAGTTCAGTATTGACGCTAGGAGGGGTACACGCCACACAAACGATGCCTAGACTAACGACTGAGCAGAGGGGAATGGCTATTGGAAAGTTGCACGGAGGTAGCTCTGCAACCGCTGTAGCTAAGCAATTGGGCTGTCATCTTACCACATTACACGACTTGCTCAACGTCATCAGCAAACCGGGGTTGCTGCTGCTCGTCCCCGTACCGGACGGCAACGAGTGACAACTCATACGCAAGATCGGTTCATCCGGGTCACTCATCTAAAGAACCGAACTCAAGCAGAAACAGTAACAGCAGCCTTAGTTCTTGGGTCAAGTGGAGCAGTGTCCAGCGATACGATTAGGCGTTCTTCGGGCTGCTGGAATCCACTGCCGACGGCCATATGTGGGGCCAGTTTTGACACGTCAACAACGCCAGCAGCCCTCACACAGCAAGGGTGTTGATGGATCATCTGACTCAGAACAACGTTAACATTATTCCATGGCCGTCTCTTTCCCGGATATGGCTCCATTTGAACATTCTGGGACGAAATTGGACGAAGGATTGGGGCAGGTAGACAGCCACTCTCACTTGCTCAAATGGAATACAGATTGGTGTTTGAGCGGAACCAGTTGCCTCAGGCAGTCTTTCAGACTCTAGTGAACTCAATGAGGCCACGTAGCACGGCCTGTGTGCAAGCTCAAGGTGGCTATCCGCACTACTAAAGAGACTGTCACTTTTCGCGTTCAGGGGTATCTCCATTTGACGGACTGTGATCAATTTGAACTTATTGCAATTCAATGTCAACAGCAACTTTCAACTGTTAAATTGACAGTGTTTTCTATAGAATAAATGATTAGACATGATTTTTGTTGTCTTCTATTAAGAAACTTGACAAAAAGCCAGACTCGCGTTACTTTTGCTGTTCAGTATATTAAATCAAATGTACATGTATTTGAACACATATGCAGTGTGAAAAGTATGGATACTCAATTGTCACGTACTTCTCAAGAGCTTTACTCATACACTTTACTCAAAATGCGAATACAAATAACACGAACGCATGCGTATCGCATGCCAAAGAAAGTGTCTCAAAAGTTCACTGTTTTAATATCATGAGCTGATTAATCTCAATATCCCTATCCCCAAAAAGCATGGTTCTTTAAGTTTGTACTTTAATGATATCGTAAATTCGACAGAAATAGAGAATCTATCATAAAAAAATCACTCTTCATTAGTTTTCAATGGAAAATGTACATCTCTGAACACGGTGCTGCCATTAGACTTTCAGTGCAGCGATGTCATTATGAAAGCATTGTGACGTCATCATGGTTTTGACGTCATAGCATTGTGAGTCATGTAAATGATTATGTCAGGGCGATGTACAAAATCTACTGTCAAAACGATATCTCGTTTGATCTCACACAAGCAATATCTCCTGTGGAACACAGTTTTGGATGATAAAGCCTTATCATTTGAATCTTGTGTACTCTTCGTGTTACCGTACTCCAACTTACGGTACATCCCAGTATAGATACATCGTTGAGATCTACATTATTGCTGACTGCTTGTGTAGCAGGTTGTGGAGGAGTTGCCTACAGATGACTTCCGTACTTGGTCAGCTTGCCGCCGGGATCAACCTTAGTGGTCATGTTGGACAAGGTGTCCGACCTGGGATCAGAAGGTTCGTGGTTCGAATCCCATCACAAGACGTATTGCTCCCTCCGTTTAGTGTCCATGCTTACCAGGATCTACGATCTTGCTATCACAGTTACAGGGTGAACGGTTAGTGATGTGGTTTACTTGAATGAGAGGTAGAACAGGACTCAGTTCTGTCTGAAATAGTGTAATGGATTAGTGACCGCATGGGTCACTGGTTTACCTGGTCCTGTTATAGGTAACTAATAAATGACTTAACACTGATCACCGTTATCAGAAGAGGAATGCTCCTTCGATAATGATATATATCCTACTTCAGTGTTACTGGGACAATGTACATCTGGGTTTATAAGGATTAGTGGCTAAAGTCTAAGTATTGATGGTTGTCAGGTGTAGTGTCTGCAGTGTTTGGTATGCACGTACTCCTTCGGACATGTTTTGTGTTGAATACATGTTTAATTTCTGTTTCAGCTGTGATAAACGTTTATGGAGCTTCTCTGTGCAAACAGTCCCGGCAGAATATAACAGGCATAAGTTTCAAAGCGTTCTATCAAAGCGACTCAACTATCACATAAAAATTTGATAGCTCGGTTGTAAATATTGAATAAGTTGACGGTATTTGATAAAATGGTGACGATTTAACCATTAAGCTATCCCACCTTCCCCCTTATACAAGTTGACCTCCTTCTAAAGGATTTGCATTTATGCGTTGATCTGAGTTGATTAACTTTCGTTCTTAATGGATGCACATGAAAGCAACCTTTCTAAATACGAAACGTCAAACACCACACAATCAGCATTCGCGGTCATCTTCTCGTACAGTGTACACCGAGCCCAAAACGTAAAACAAAACAATTTCTGAATTGGTGTTTGTGAAAAGGACAAGCACGTCCTCCCCACCGGCAGAATCAACCCTCACACACTCTGCACAAAAGGCAGGTGTCTGTTGTCTGTCTGAAGCTACTAAAGTGCTGCGTTACAGATAATAATATTCAGTAGTTCGTAATACGGGTTGTTTGTAAACAGTACATCAATATTTTGAGTCAGGTGAGTGAGCTCGATATTAAGACGTCCAATTATATAATATGTCCAATAATAGAACTTAGCATGGGTAATATAGTGTTTTTCCCCACAATGATAAATGCATTTCAATCTTGACAGACGTACACGTCTGTCTCACAGTCCACGAATGTCTGTCTGACATTCCCCAAAGTCCACCCAGCCCTTGGTGTAACGACATTGTCCGAACGGAAACAAGTCTGGATTTGCCACGGTTTCTGAATCTCCCATTGCACTAGGCCTCTTTTCTAGGTTACATTGACTTGTTTGTTTCTATCGAAATCCTATAGTCTTGCTCTTAGTCTACTGTCGACCAACGCGTTGCATATATTCAGGCACCGGCAAGCATGACGGGCCAGCTGTAGGAAGGGCGTAGCATGCTGCAGTTTGTGTATCATGTGACGTGAACTAACAGGGTAAACCCCTATCTTCAACAGTGAGGAAATAATGATTCATAACATCGCACTTGACAAACGATAAAGCATACGGTTGTATATTCAGTGTGGAGATGCAAAACTGTCGCCAGTTCCAGTGGTAGTTTTACCACAGTATTGCGACGGCTGCCATACACGAATGTCTCTGCTCTATACAATACCACTACTAAATGAAGATAAAGAATTTCCGACTGTTTCATATTACCAACGTTGATATGTCATGTCGAGATCGGGTGTTAAATTCTTTTGAGTAATGTATCTCAGCATCTTCTGAATCATTAACGTGACCTCCCCAAAACTAATCCTTTCACCTACCCAAATACTAGCCGTTTCACCTACCAAACACTGCCCAAACACTAACCCTTTCACTCACCCACACACACTAACCCTTTCACCGATCCAAAACACAAACCCTTTCACCTACCCAAACACTAACCCTTTCACCAACAGAACACAAACACTTTCATCCACTCAAACACAACCCTTTCACCTACGTGCACACGTAACCTGTTAACTACCCACTATCTCTCGACAGAAGAGATATATAATTTACATATACTTTCTAGAACATAACCCCCTATATAAGGGACAGGTGTAGATATCCAATAGACCTTATATACATGGGAATGTTTTCTTCTTAAAAAGACTGACTGACTGACTGAGTTTAGTTTTACGCCGCTTTTAGCAATATTCCAGCAATATCACGGCGGGGGACACCATAAATGGGCTTAACACATTGTGCTCATGTGGGGAATCGAACCCGGGTCTTCGGCGTGACGAGCCAACGCTTTAACCACTAGGCTACCCCACCGCCCTTCTTAAAGAGATGTGAACGACATGATTATTATAACATGTTCAGGTAAACGCATTCATATCACATATATGACATGTACATTATAACCAAAAGAAAATATTGTAAACTTACTGTGTGGAGAGACAGATGTGTTATGTCTGACGTCAAATGTATAGATAACAAACCCCAAGATACCCCCCACTATGATAGGGTCTTGGTACAAGGGTGGCTTTGGGTCAGGATAAATGCATGTCAGTTGGTATAATCCGCTCCAGTAACACTCGTAGGTATGCTACTCTGACCCCGTCGCATGGCAATACGACTAACGACACACGCATAGTTAGGGCCACCAAGACACGTCTTCACGTCTTGGGAAATAGGACAGTAAAACAATATATCACCTTGTCTTACATTTAGATGTCGGTATAATATGAACATTTTAATCTTTCTAAAAACGTCGTTGCAAAGAATATAAAAGTTAACCAAGATATTTTATGGATTTAAGCTTCTTTATTCCATAAAATATCTTGGTCATCTATAAGAACCTCCAAATGCCGCTAAAAGACATAATATAAAAGTTGTTACCCAGGGACGTAGTACACTTAGTAGAGACGGTTCCTGTTGTCTTAACATGGTGTACATTTCAATATTGCCACTTGCGTTCCCTTAAATGATTATCTCGGAATGATCATGTCTCCCTGACACACTGAGTTACTTCAGGAATGTATACGCTGTGCACAGAGTTTACTTAAACATACACAATAAACATACAATACACAAAGGACGACACATTTTAAACGATTGGACGAAACTTTAGCCCTAAGAGGAATACAGTTCCATGGTAGTATCCAGTTATCTTTAAGACTATCAAAGCATAATTTGTTTTATAACACAAACAGTTCTTTATATAACCAATCCTGTTTGTCCGTCTCTAATTACATAATGTCTTGCAGCTCATATTATGAATTTTTTATTAGTACTCATTCACCAAATCAAAACTGTAAATTAATATGCAACTTGGGTGATCCATTTTGTGAATGTAAAAGAACGCCAACACAATTACGCATACGTAAAATTTAATGAAATGCATTCACGATTACAAGGTACAGATCCACACTGGCTCATGGTTTCCTATACATTCTACATCAACATGTATATATTCATATAAGCAGAACTGGCGCGAGACAAGTGCATACATGCAGAGTAAGTAGCTCAGTATTGTTATGTAAACAAACAATATACATATATATTGACATTACTTTAACATCATCAACAGTAAAAACTACAACATCAGCTTAATCTTTGACTTCTTCTGTGGGTGCATCAACTGATTTTTGTGCTGCTATGAAGATTAACATTAATGCCTTTGGCATTAAAAGGGAGTGACCCAAAGCGCTTTACTACGGGTCCTATCTTGTCCCGACCTGTACAAAGAAAGAAAAACAATGCGGTTCCGACCTGTTCAGACAATAAGGAACAATACGGATCCGATCTATACAAACAATGAGGAACTATACGGACCCGATCTATACAAACAATAAGGAACAATGTAGACCCGATCTATACATTATCCAAGGAGTTCCTTCAGTACTTTGGCCACATGGCCTATTGTACAACAACACGACAGAATACAATTGTATCTATACATTAGACAAACACTGACAAACAATACGGAACCGATCTATACAGCCAATGAGGAACAATACGGTCCCGATATACAGAGGGATGAACAGTAGGGTACCGATCTATACAGCCGATGAGGAACAATACGGTCCCGATATACAGAGTGATGAACAGTAGGGTACCGATCTATACAGCCAATGAGGAACAAAACGGACCCGATCTATTCATACCATGAGGAAAAATACGGACCTGATCTATACAGACAATGAGGAATAATACGGTCCCGATCTATACAGACAATGAGGAACAATACGGTCCCGATCTATAAAGACAATGAAGACAGTACGGACCCGATCTATACAGACAATGAGCAACAATACGGACTCGATCTATACAAACAGTGAGGAACAATACGGTCCCGATCTATACGAACAATGAGGAACAATACGGATCCGAACTGTACAATGAAGAACAATACGGTCCTGATCTATACAGACAATGAGGAACAATACGGACCCGATCTATACTAACAGTGAGGAACAATGCGGACCCGATTTATACAGACAATGAGGAACAATACGGATCCGATCTATACAAACAATGAGGAACAATACAGACCCGATCTATACATTAGACAAACAATAAATACGAACCAGATCTATTACAATACGATGAGGAACAATACGGTCCCCGATCTATACAAACAATGAAGAACAATACGATCCCGATCTATACAGACTGAGGAACAATACGGTCCTAGCTGTACGAGACAATGAGGAACAATACAATGAACAATACGGTCCTACTGAACAATAATGAGGAACAATACGGATCCGATCTATACAGACAGCTCTCTGAACAATACGGTCCTGATCTGTACATACAGTGAGGAACAATACGATCCCGATCTATACAGGAACTGAGGAACAATACGGATCTATACAGACAATGAGAACAATACGGACCCGATCTATACAGTGAGGAACAACACCCGATTTATGAGAGGAACAATACGGTCCTGATCTATACAGAACAATGAGGAACAATACGACCCGATCCCGAACAATACGGTCCTGATCTATACATACAATGAGGGAACTACGGACCCGTACAGTGAGGAACACGGTGACGAACAATGAGGAACAATACGGTACAACGAAGAACAATACGATCCTGATCCAGAGCTGTACATACAGAACAATGACCCGATTTATACAGACAATGAGGAACAATACGGATCGATCTATACAAACAATGAGGAACAGACCCGAACAATACAGATCTACATACGATGAGAACTGTGCCCGATCTATCCAAACAATAAAGAACAGTGAGGAACAATACGGAACAATACGGTCCTGAGCTGTACATACAGTGAGGAACAATACGGATCCCGAGCTCCTGAACAATACGGTCCTGAACAGTGAGGAACAATACGATCTATACAAACAGTGAGAACTGTCCGACATACAGTGAGGAACAATACGGTCCCTAAGTCAAACAGACAATGAGGAACAATACGGCCCTACGATCCCTGAGCTGTACATATAGTGAGGAACAATACGGATCCAGAGCTGTACTGAACAATACGGTCTTGAGCTGCTGTACATACGGCCCTGAGCTGTACATACAATGAGGAACAGTGAGGAACAATACTGAGCTGACATACAGTGAACAATACGGTTCTGAACAAACGGTCTGTAATGAGACAATGAGGAACAATACGGCCCTGAGCTGTACATATAGTGAGGAACAATACGGTCCAGAGCTGTACTGAACAATACGGTCTTTAGCTGTACATACAGTGAGGAACAATACGGCCCTGAGCTGTACATACCTTGAGGAACAATACGGCCCAGAGCTGTAGTGAACAATACGGTCCTAAGCTGAACAGACAGTGAGGAACAATACGGCCCTGAGCTGTACTGAACAGTATGGTTTTCAGCTGTACATACAGTGAGGAACAATACGGTCCTAAGTCGAACAGACAGTGAGGAACAATACGGCCCTGAGCTGTATATACAGTGAGGAGCAATACAGACAGTGAAAAACCTGGTGAAAGTAGATTCTTCACAGGTGAGACATTTACACAAACGTGACTGTTATATTATGGACAGTATATACTGACTGAGCCTGAGGGCTCCTACAGAACAATCACATAATGTATGTGCATCATTCAGGCAGTTAGGATTATACAGTACTGTTAACGCTATTACTATAATTTCTGATTAAATACTGATATAAAATTTCCAATAAAATACCATATTGTACATATTCCGAGTTTTAAGTCACATTAAATCACAAGCTAGAAATAGTATTTTTCCATAATGCACAACAGGTATAAAGTATCATGTTAAGCTCTCCAATGCTGCTATAAACGTTGGTGTACAGGTATACGACACACCATCTGTGTCACCCATATAACATCTAGACCACACTCAATACATATTTCACGGCATAATACATTCAACTACCTTCTATGTAATATCATGTCAATGTGTCGAGGCGACCCGAAGATCTGCCTGTCGTCATCCATCCTCGGAACCCGGTGGAACCTTAAATTGTTTTTTTGTAATACTATTTGTGCTAACATTACATATCGTGACTCACGGTTAAAATAGTATATATGTCATATATACAAATTACAGGGCGGTGGGGTAAGTCCAGTGGTCAAGACTGCAGGCCCATGTTCAATTCCCTACATGGGTACAATGTGTGAAGCCCATTTCTAATTGTCCCCGTCAAGATATTGCTGGAATATTGCTAGAAGCCATAGCCACTTTTCCACTATACACACAATATCATTTAGAACTATAAGCAATTCAACATGTGCTGTAGACATTCCATTTTCACAATAGCTTTTAGCTAAATTTACCCACAGCAAATATCTATACATTTTCCGTTTATGCTAGTTCAACATGTATGTCAAGTTTGATTTTATCGATTGCCAGGGTGAAGGCCACGCAATGTCAGATCGATCACTAAAACTACATGTACCATTAAGCTGTTATGACAAATGGACCTGTTGGGATACATAGAACAGTTTGTAACACGGGATACACCATACTACACTGAACCTTGAGTACTGGTATGAGATACAGGGCATTGTGTACTGTAGATAAAGGCTTATCGCGAGAACAATACAGTTTGAGGTACCCTCCGCGAGGCTTGTACCTGCAGTTAAGAGCGTACATCAAACACTATTCCCTGACGGACAAGCCTACAATAAATCCATTTAATCTCAGTGCTTATCGTTTAGAATTTGAAAACAAACGGTAGGTCGTCATGACCGCAATTGACAATTTAGTTATTTTAGGCTCTCTGCATAACGCACATCTAAAGTAACTGTTATAACACATTAAGCGATAGCGTTTCGCTATTAAGAGATTGAACTGTAGAGATTACGGATATCGGACAGAAAGGTGCAAAATGTCAGTTGCCACGTGTTTGCAAGTTGTATACCACTGAAGCCTACAAGGGAACTGATCACAACGAACAAATATAATGAAGGTATTTTACATGTCAAGTAACACAAATACTGGTACTGATGCAAACCACTCATCACAATAAGCACATTCACCAATAACACAACGCCATGGTTCCAAATCACACAAGGTTAAAACTGATTGTCTTATGTCGGACGGATAGACAATACCATACACAGGTATCTGCCTCTTGGGATTTAACGTGCCTGTGCAGAGGAAGAACTTGGTCACATTCATGGTTAACAACAGAAGAACTTGGTCACATTCATGGTTAACAACAGAAGAACTTGGTCACATTCATGGTTAACAACAGAAGAACTTGGTCACATTCATGTTTAACAACAGATGAACTTGGTCACATTCATGGTTAACAACAGAAGAACTTGATTGCATTCAAGCTTGGCGTCGTCAGTTTTCCTCCTTCCGTTTGAAAGCGTTTCTTGTTGTCGAGATCTCGGATTCTATGACAATATCACGGCACTGAAAATAGAAATGAACCAAATACCATGTACTAATATTACACTGAAATCAGACCGCCACTGTGGTACAGTGGATAAAGTGTCTGCCTCGCTTTAGTAGTTATCCATGTCAACATGTTTTGTATATCTACTTGATCAGATGTGTAATTCCCACATTAGTCAGCGTATACAGCCTTCATGGGGTAACCACCAGTATATATCCCACAACAGTCAGTGTATACAGTCTTAAAGGGGTATACAGTAGTATATATCCCATAACAGTCAGTGTATACAGTCTTAGTTTGGTATCCAGCAGTATATATCCCACAGCAGTCAGTGTATACAGTCTTAGTGGGGTAACCAGTAGTATATATCTCACAGCAGTCAGTGTATACAGTCTTAGTGTAGTATCCAGCGGTATATATCCCACAAGTATCAGTGTATAACAGTCTTAGTGGTGTATGCAGCAGTATATATCCTATAGCATTTAGTGTATACAGTCTTAGTGGGGTATCCAGCAGCATATATCCCACAACAGTCAGAGCATACAGTCTTATAGGGGTATCCAGCAGTGTATATCCCACAAGAGTCAGTGCATACAGTCTTAGTGGGGTATCCAGCGGTATATATCCCACAGCAGTCAGTGTATACAGTCTTATAGGGGTATCCAGCAGTTTATATCCTACAGCAGTTAGTGTATACAGTCTTAATGGGGTATCCAGCAGTATATATCCCACAGCAGTGAGTGTATACAGTCTTAGAGGGGTATACAGCAGCATATATCCCACAAAGTGTTTGTGTATACGGTCTTAGTAGGGTATCCAGCAGTATATATCCAACAAGTATCAGTATATAACAGTCTTAGTGGTGTATCCAGCAGTATATATCCTATAGCATTTAGTGCATACAGTCTTAGTGGGGTATCCAGCAGTATATATCCTACAGCAGTCAGTGTATACAGTCTTAGTGTGGTTTCCAGCAGTATATATCCCACAAAAGGTAGTGTATTCAGTCTTAGTGGGTGTCCAGCTGTATATATCCCACAAGTGTCAGTGTATACAGTCTTAGTGTGGAATCAAGCAGTTTATATCCAACAACAGTCAGTGTATACAGTCTTAGTGTGGTTTCCAGCAGTATATATCCCACAACAGTCAGTGTATACAGTCTTAGTGGGGTATACAGCAGTATATATCCCACAACAGTCAGTGTATACAGTCTAAGTGGGGTATCCAGCAGTATATATCCCACAACAGTCAGTGTATACTGTTTCAGTGGGGTATACAGCTGTTTATATCCTACAGCAGTTAGTGTATTCAGTCTTAGTGGGGTATCCAGCAGCATATATCCTTCAACAGTTAGTGTGTATACAGTGTAAGTGGGGTATCAAGCAGTATATATCCCACAACAGTCAGTGTATACAGTCTTAGTGGGGTATCCAGCAGTATATATCCCACAACAGTCAGTGTATACAGTCTTAGTGTGGTATCAAGCAGTTTATATTCAACAACAGTCTGTGCATACAATCTTATTGGGGTATCCAGCAGTATATATCCCACAAGATTCAAGGTATACAGTCTTGGGGTGGGTGTATACAGTCTTAGTCCACAACAGGGCAGTAACCAGTGTAGTATATATCCCACAGCAGTCAGTGTATACAGTCTTAGTTGGTTATCCAGCAGTATATATCCCACAACAGTCAGTGTATACAGTCTTAGTGTGGTATCAAGCAGTTTATATCCAACAACAGTCTGTGCATACAATCTTATTGGGGTATCCAGCAGTATATATCCCACAACAGCAAGGGTAAACAGTCTTGGTGGCGTATCCAGCAGCATATATCCGACAAAAGGTAGTGTATACAGTCTTAGTGGGGTATCCAGCAGCATATATCCCACAAAAGGTAGTGTATACAGTCTTATTGGGGTATCCAGCAGTATATATCCCACAACAGCAAGGGTAAACAGTCTTGGTGGCGTATCCAGCAGCATATATCCCACAAAAGGTAGTGTATACAGTCTTAGTGGGGTATCCAGCAGCATATATCCCACAAAAGGTAGTGTATACAGTCTTAGTGGGGTATCCAGCAGCATATATCCCACAAAAGGTAGTGTATACAGTCTTAGTGGGGTATCCAGCAGCATATATCCCACAAAGGTAGTGTATACAGTCTTAGTGGGGTATCCAGCAGCATATATCCCACAAAAGGTAGTGTATACAGTCTTAGTGGGGTATCCAGCAGTATATATCCCACAACAGTCAGTGTATACAGTCTTAGTGGGGTATACAGCAGTATATATCCCACAACAGTCAGTGTATACAGTCTTAGTGGGGTATCCAGCAGTATATATCCCACAACAGTCAGTGTATACAGTCTTAGTGGGGTATCCAGCAGCATATATCCCACAACAGTCAGTGTGTATACAGTCTTAGTGGGGTATCCAGCAGTATATATCCCACAACAGTCAGTGTATACAGTCTTAGTGGGGTATCCAGCAGTATATATCCAACAAGCAGTCAGTGTATAACAGTCTTAGTGGTGTATCCAGCAGTATATATCCTACAGCATTTAGTGTATACAGTCTTTAGTGGGGTATCCAGCAGTATATATCCCTCATCAGTCAGGGTATACAGTCTTAGTGGGGTATTCAACATCATATATCCCACAACAGTCAGAGTATACAGTCTTATAGGGGTATCCAGCAGTGTATATCCCACAAGAGTCAGTGCATACAGTCTTAGTTGGGTATCCAACAGTATATATCCCACAACAGTGAGTGTATATAGTCTTAGAGGGGTATACAGCAGTATATATCCCACAAGTGTTTGTGCATACGGTCTTAGTAGGGTATCCAGCAGTATACATCCAACAAGTATCAGTGTATAACAGTCTTAGTGGTGTATCCAGCAGTATATATCCTATAGCATTTAGTGCATACAGTCTTAGTGGGGTATCCAGCAGTATATATCCCACAACAGTCAGTGTATACAGTCTTAGTGGGGTATACAGCAGTTTATATCCTACAGCAGTTAGTGTATTCAGTCTTAGTGGGGTATCCAGCAGTATATATCCCACAACAGTGAGTGTATACAGTCTTAGTGGGGTATACAGCAGTATATATCCCACAACAGTCTGTGTATAAAATGTTAGTGGGGTATCCAGCAGTATATATCCCACAACAGTCAGTGTATACAGTCTTAGTTGGGTATCAAGCAGTATATATCCCACAACAGTCAGTGTATACAGTCTTAGTGTGGTATCCAGCAGTATATATCCCACAACAGTCAGTGTATACAGTCTTGGTGGGGTATAGCATATATCCCATATAAAGGTAGTGTATACAGTCTTAGTGGAGGTATCAAGCAGCATATATCCCACAAAAAGGTAGTGTATACAGTCTTGGAGGGGTAAGCAGCATATATCCCACAAAAGGTAGTGTATACAGTCTTAGTGAGGTATCAAGCAGCATATATCCCACAAAAAGGTAGTGTATACAGTCTTAGTGGGGTATCCAGTAGTTTATATCCCACAACAGTCAGTGTATACAGTCTTAGTGGGTGTCCAGCAGTATATATCCCACAAGTTTCAGTGTATACAGTCTTCGTGTAGTATCCAGCGGTATATACCCCACAACAGTCCGTGCATAACATTTTAGTGGGGTATCCAGCAGTATATATTCCACAACAGTCAGTGTATCCAGTCTTAGTGGGGTATCCAGCAGTATATATCCCACAAGTGTCAGTGCATACAGTCTTAGTGGGGTATCCAGCAGTTTATATCCCACAACAGTCAGTGTATAACAGTCTTAGTAGGTTATCCTGTAGGAACCATCTAGAAGCCGGGACTGGAACATGTTTGTCACCGTGTGTTCATTAACCCGATCTTGCTAACTGTTAATGCCAATGTACACTATAAATGTATCAGTTTGCCGTTTGCCCTTTAACATTACCAAATAATATTTTCAAGACATTGTTCGCCACGGGTTTTCGAATGAACAAAAAAGAATATTTTAATTGTGATTCGGGATCAAAAGAGAAGCCTTTGTGGTAGCTTTAGTATCCGTTTGGTCGTGAAGAGGAGCGGCAGTTGATTAACCTTCTTAGGCGGCGGGGTAGCCTAGTTGTTAAAGAGTTGGCTCGTCCCGCCGAAGACCCGGGTTCGAATCCCTAAATGGGTACAATGTGTGAAGCCCATTCCGGTGTCTCCTGCCGTGATGTTGCTTGAATATTGCTAAAAGCGGCGTAAAACCAAACTCAGTCAGTCAGTCAGTCTTAGAGACCATAATCCCTTATCTTTGGTTCGAACAGACAGCTTGTGACCCTAACAAGTAAGAGACCCACCTCTTCGTGGCGTATTTGAGCAATGGATTCCTGGTGCCCGTCATAAAGAGCAACTATTTAATGGGGCATTTAAGGTGTATTCAACATTTTCGTGAATTGTGTTTGGCGCATATAAAATAATACCTAAATGCAAAATCATCTTGTGGAATTAAATGGGTCATAACCATTCACGATACGAAATTCTCTTGACAGTCTTTATGACAGATTGTACAAGCGCTTCGCACAGTGTGGACACATTTCGACTCCTGTTATTCTCTTTGGTACAGTTACCGGACCCTTTAACCAAAAGGTAACTTCGATACCATAGTACGCCTCTCAAATTTCACCAATAGTAAATGAACCAATAGTTCTTTTAGATAAGCAATCGTCTTAAGTTTGAAATATATACTGAACCCCGGTATACAGTTGCATGTCTTATTAAAGTAATCTCTGGCCCTTTCCTGTTGGAATATAAATGTACATACCCAGACATAGAAGTGACCAGCGACGATACTGGCTTGGGTAACAGTCTGCTCGTTGAACTGATCCAAGAGAGCTTGTACTGCCTCTATTTGCTGTTTGGAAGCTTGGATAACGTCAAACTCCATCAGTCGATAGATGAGGCTGTTCTTGCCAACCTTTCTCATCAGATTCTGAACAAACTCCCACGACTGAAGCAGACAGACATTAACCACATCAATACCTATAGATGGATGACAAGCTATAATGATCATGTCAAATCAGTATATCTAATTTACGAAATGTGATATCCTGGATATCAGACAAATAAAGAGTCTAAACCTATTTCCACAATCATAACATATCTCTACATAATGAAGAGGCCATTGTAAGCTTTCTACTGTACGTTAACATGCGTTTATGCATCAAATAGTGATGAAACCAAGTGTCCTGGAGAAGGTGAGCTTATCCTGTCAATTGTTTACCTGAACAAACACGGCAACATAACGTACCACGCAAGGTAATGGCAACGATAATACTGCAACCCTGCGCTCTTTGACATCTTCGCAGAGAAATTAATTTCATAATTACTCTCTGTTCTTACGTACATTGTTGTTAAATACTCACCAAAGGCTGAAGCTGCGGAAACAATGCTCGATAAATTTACCTTCGTCTCTTAATCAGTGTCAAGTTTCCGTCTACTCTCACCTCAAGTTCAATGGCGTGCTCTCCAAGAAGTATGTAGGTCCCTCTCATTGTGGCATGGATGGGGTCAATTGGGCGCTTGTAGTTGTGCAGTTCCGAGAGGGTTGGCTGTTTGATCTCCAGCACGTGGTGGAGATACTTCCTGAGTCTGCCCAGTTGCTCGCGCACCTCATCCGCTTGTTTGATCAGATAGTCGAGATGGGTGGTGTGTCGAGACTGATGAGCGGCAGCAAGCGCACGATCCAGGGCGTCGATGTTACGTCGGAAAAGTGCAGCTTTAAGATCTGGAAATAAAAAATGTGCTACGACTTATACTACATTCCATATTCTGCTTATATATGTATACTTACAAGGTTGATTAAGTAATGTCTTGTTGGAGTCGTGCCAAAGGGAGAACAAACAATAGTGGAAAGAACTAGATCCACATTTAAAAACATATCGTCATCCCAAGTGTATAAAAAGTATCAGTTTTCAGACGAAACAGATTCCTCGGGAGCAAAAGATATAATAGCAGTAAATTGATGTGAACAGATCACGGAAAATCACTGATAACACCAGGTGTTCGCATTGATATCTCCACCTTTTTTGAAGGTTATCACCCTTTGCGTGTCCAGGATTGGTATACACCCAGTGTTAGGAATAACGAATGTGTTTTGCAAGGCTTGGCGGGCTCAAAACATAGTATGTATTGTTAATACGAGATATTGGCCATCCCACAATACACAACCATGTTAACTTCTTCACCATATACTGTTAGTTGTTGGTCAATCGTACAGCGACAACGGATGTACAGAACTGCGTTTTTGGCATTCCAGAAGCTAACGATCTTAGGTTCCAATCCGTGTTCGCCTCAAGTATGTTTCTATGTTGACTCCACCATTGACGTTCTTGCAGGTTTCCACAGAGTGGATAATATCAGAGTCATGTGTTACTCCGAACTTTCCTTCCACGTTATGCTGGTACTCAGGTCAATAACTGAAATACTGTTCAAAGCTCACTCACTCACCCATCACTAACTCACGTGTGTTACTATGGAACCATACCTCTCTCGAGCATAAGTATTTCTCTCCTGCCACTGGCGCCAATGGAGACGAGGCTACCGTTCTCCATCGTCTCCGTTTCGGGCGTGTCGCATGTAGAAATGATGTGCTCAAAATCTGCGATGTGCTCCCGACCGTTGATCTCGCGGACATTGAGACGGTTTCGCCACTCCATTGGGTCCTGTAACAAACAAGTAAATGTATACCAAGTGACACCCATAAAGTCTTAAAAGTAAGTTCTGATTTACAACATCGAATAGGAGCATGAAGACATATGCCAGGTTCAATGTTTTCAGTGTGATGTCAGTACATATGCTACTACTTAATCAAGTAAGGTACCGATGAAGTTGGCGACTAACGGGATCGGATGGTCAGGCTCGCTGACTTGGTTGTCAGCGGTTCCCAATTGCGCATCGGATCGATACTTATGCTGTTGATCACTGGATTATCTGGTCCAGACTAGATTATTTACAGACAGCTGCCATATAGCTGGAATATTGCTGAGTGCGGCGTAAAACTAACTTCACTCACTCACGTATGAAGGTACCAAAATCAATAGATATACACATTTTGACACTGCCTTCCATTTAAAACCACGGCTCTAAAATGTCACTAAAATTAAATTGAGGCAGTGGCATTTCTTTGTAAGGTGCCCAGTCACGGAGACCTACCCTTGTAGAGTTCTGTTTCCTGTCAATGATAATCAGGTAGTTGACGGCATTCCTGTACTTGGCAGTAGTTCCTGCTTCTCTGGTAAAGATCTGGAGAACGTATTCTTCCTCTGTCTGGGTCTCCGGGATGTATACATACACAGACACCGTGAGATCCTTCATCTTGCATGTCACATATTCCTGGACATGCACAACACTCATTGATGAAAACAACCTTATCAAAACAACCCTATAGTTTTAGTCAATCCAACAAAACTTAAAGTAGTCCTAAACGTTGTCCTTTACACAAATTTAATACTTGCTTCATGGTTTTTAGCTTTGTATTTAACAAATATAGAATGAACCAGAACTTCATTTACACTCAATACTATACTCATATATTTTGAATGTTACTAAAATACAACATAGTTTGAAACTGATTACGTCTAGTCATACTACGATATCGCAAAGACACAGTAGACAAGGAACAACAGCAATAAATACTTACAAACAGAATATATTTTAATGTTACCTTGAGGAACTCGGATGCAAACTTAGTATGAAGGACAGTCGTCATAATTTCCATCTGTCTGATCATGGTGAAGTTGAAGATCCTACCGTTTCCTGATTCGACCCTCACGACACCACTATACTCTGAGGGGAAATCCAACCCTGAATCGCGAGCTTTCTGGGTAAAACCGAACCCTATTGGAGTAAACAGCGGTAGGGGTCGGCAGTTTTTGAGGGGTCGGTCACAGTCCAGGCGGAAGTCACACATGTGGAACAGACGGTTGATGCCTCCGTATATCCGTAATCTATAAATCCCCGCTACTGGAATCCTCACGAAGAAAATCTTCTTGTCCTGTTTCGTCATCACAAGAACATGTCTGTCTAACTTGATTTCCTTTGGTATTCTCTCAAATGAGGCTTTTTGGTCAAAGAAAAGTTCACATGCAAAGTTCATGGGAGAATGTTCAGGTGCCGTAAACACAATTTCAACAGTTCCCTCCCTTGCTGGAAGTATACAACGATGCAAGCTGGTCAGCGTAAGTTCATAAAGGAAGTACCTTTGACGGAAGTAGGGTGCAGTGACAAAGGCGTCCCATGACCACGGCGTTTTGAGCAGTTGCCATGCAGTCATGTCAGCGGATGGTCTGCACATGTAAATAAATACTTCAGGTTCTACTAAGAAATAGAAGTCGTCCGTTGCACTGACTTCTGTACCCTCCGTCATCTTTTCCTGTTCACTGTCTACATGTGACTGTTTCTCCTTGGTCCACCTGCCTTTATCGAAGCCCTGAACCTTCTTGAAAGTCCACAATGGGTGAATGATTCTCCACGAGCCGTCCACATACACACAGTTCCAGCAATTCCGCAGGTGGTGGATGTCGCGATCACCCACATCATAGTCAAAGCCTTTCGACACACCGTACACTATCACACAAGGAAGTCCAGCTGCCCTGAAATTATAGCTTCAAGATTAATATACGTGTCACAGATGTAAAACATGCATACTACAGCGAGTCACGGCACACCCAACAACTCAACCATATGTCACAACATTATCCATCATACGGGACCACATTATCAGAGATACACCCATAATAACATTTGTTGCAATGCAACAACCACATATATATTATCACTACAAACGCAAGTTAGTAACACAGTCATTGCACGCAACGTCATCCTATCTCCATTAATGAGTAATGATGGCGCACACTTATTATAGCGTCAACGATTATCCTCCGAAGCAGATCCCTTTGGGCGTGAAACTGATCACTGATGACATAAGGTGTTTGTAAGATGATAAACATTCTCTGCCAAAATGGTAGCATCCTCGTCTCACAATTTGTATAAAAATGGAGGTCGGTCACGTACCTGCATAACAACGCGAAGAGAGCCGCATAACTTCCTTTGCCCTCTCTCATAAGCTTCATGTACCCACGAGGACTCTCATTGGAGGTCGTTTTGCCGTAGTTGCCTCCGTACACGTCCTGAGACCCCAGCCACGTGAACACTGACCTGAGCTTCTGAAGGTCGTTGATGCAGTCTTCAGTTAAGTATTCCATTAAAGCATCGTACGATTGGACATGCACGGCCGGACACTGCCAGGACAATAAAACGTTAAACAATATATTAGGACATTTGGACATGGATAAAATGAGGTATTATATACAGAATGTGACAGAAATGAAGTATTAAAGTTATAGTCGGAATTACTTGACTTTTTGTTAGTTTGGACCATGTACGTTCTGTAAAGGAAGTGGAATTGTTTGATGGGTCAATGAATCAATAATACATTTTGCACTTTGTCCTTGTGACTTGAGGAGCATTGGAACCACTATGTTCAGCTACTGACATTAAATAAAGAAATAAATGCTAAAAACCCAAACTTTCAAAAAAAAAAATCAAATATTTGCTAAATGCAGATTCCATTGTGCGACTGTACCATAGGCATATATTCTTAATCATTACAAAAGAGTGACAATGCCATGTGGAGCGTATCTTGTACATGTCATGCATGTGTCACAGACACATGCAAGAGCGAGTCAGGTTTTCACCTGAAAAAACATGCACGTACGAGACAAAATAGGGAATTACACCTGGAATTGTCCGCCACATGTCAACAATAAAACCTTTCGAAACCTTTACTGAAACCTTGTCAGAACGCACAGATCACAAGAGTTGTGTGAGACGCTGATGCATAGAATAAATGCTGAAATATTCAATGGTTTCTACAATAGACAGGTTAACGATCATAGCAACATACGTTGACAGCCTTTTCATCTATTTCCTTGAAGTCGTCAATGTGAAATATATCTGCTTTCTTGCTTGTTGGTGGACAAGGAGCCGGGTACCAATCTTCTGTCCAAGGAATGTGCAGCTGTAAGGGGACATAAAATGTTAACTCAAATTTTAAAGCATCATTTATCAGTTTATTAAATGATTACAACACCGTTCCAATCGCAAGGGAATTCAAAGAACTTATGTGTTTGTATTCAACTGTTTGACAAAACCACCTACATATAACATTAGTTACTCACTGGTTCATATTCGGGTTCCAAGTCCCCTGAGTCACTTACTCTCCCAGTGCCCAGACTGCACCCCATGATGACGTGCTGATTGATGGGTAGAATGAAATCAACACGTCATTACCTTATCTGGAGAAAAGCAAAATATGGGGCACATGAAGTCCAGTTTTAGAGTATACGATAGCAAAGATTCGTACAGCGTAGCTTGTCTAAACGATATTGGCATTATAAAACCAGAGAAGAGTCTCATATTGAAATAATCCTACCGTAAGAAATAGAAACAGTACAATTCCGCCTTACCTTAAAAATACGTTTCCTGAGAAAATTGAAAAATATATAAATGCCGGTGTAAGTTGCATTTTCTAAAAACTCCATTTTTTAATGTGTGAACAATATCGAAGGTAGACATTATTTTTAGAAAAAAGCATAAAGTTCTGCTACTTTGATGATGAGTCTTTTTCAGCAATCAGAAACAAAACAAAGAATCTTTTGCAGCATTTAAAACAAAAGTCTTAAATATAATAATGTTTCAGAAAATTTGGCATTTATAACATCTTTCAATGTCGTGGTTCGCCAACAATATTGACAGTAATATATATGAATTAATCCTTTACAAATTCATAAATATATCTGGTTGAAGCATTGTCCGATTCCGACTATCGTTTGAGTATGTGTTTATTATTCGCGATCATTTAGTGATTATACCAAGACTATTAAGCGTATTCACCAAGGTGTCACGCGTCCCATGTTTGTTTAGGAATCTACCTACTTTATACATTTGAGAAAGAATATATTTTATGATAAATGAAAAGGAACTGTGTAATATCATTCGTACCTGAGGTCTTTGAATTCAGAGTTGTAGGACATGATTCACTCTTCCCACAGTGGTAGTATACAGGTTTGATATATGCGACCTGGAGCTTATCCCAGGGGAGTCATGATCATGTGACACGAGGGCCAACATCAAACACAAGGACAAGCGATTGGGCTCAGCGATAAGCATGTATACACCAGACCAAGACGGAGAAGCTAGCTGGTGTAGTAGGAGAGATGGAAATCGTCTCTTGGTACAATAGTTGTTCTCTCATATTTGGACAATTTGCGTGCGCTTAGAACTATCTCCGTTATCTTGATGTCTCACACAATCTCCAGTGTATATATATGTGGGTTGCTAAGGGATACTAACTGTAGGTGATTACTTAGGAAATTGAATACTTTGACTGCATGTTTCAGGTGATATCGTGACAGTGATAAACTGGATTACCATGTATTCACACAGCTAAGCGGCGGCGAAGAACTAATTGTATAAAACGTGTAAACTAATTGCTAAACACGTGCATTAATAGCTGGTATATATGTCTCACGAATCTCAATTATCTACTATTCGCCGTAAGGTTTCGTGTGTATTAACTGTTATAAATGTATTGAAAGTCACTTAAACTAAACGAATGAACAGCTACAGATATAAGTTTGACATAACATTGTTTACGACATTACGGAATAACTATGTCCTTTCTGGCAGATTGGCATCAAATTATTAATCACAAAAAGAGTTTAAATATGTTTGATCAAACATTAACTCACAACATATTTCATATTTGTCAATGTAATCATGATTGATCAACCCTTTTTATTATAGGTTCATGTTTTGTATTCCGGTTAGCGTCTTATACGTCCAAAATACCATTTCAAAACGCAATTTAGAATGTGTTTCCACATGGGTGTCGCCTCGCAGTATCCTGTAACATGTACGATCCATTATGAATCTTTCGTATTGTTCAAAGAAGACGTTTCAGATCCCATTTGTCAGCGGTATGAATGTCGCACGATATTGTGTTCAAGGTGTGCCTTACGTATCATGAAACTTAAAGCTCATAGATTAAATCGGATTTTTCTGTTTTGGCCCACAGTACTCGTGGTCATAGTTGCTAATGCAGGATAGTATTGCAGCCGACCAAGATAAACGCTCATGTGCTCAACGTCATGAAGCCATTGGAATGGTTCGACTGACTGACTGAGTTTTGGTCTTACGCCGCTTTTAGCAATATTCCAGCAACATCACGGCGGGGCACACCAGAAATGGGCTTCACACATTTTACCCATGTGGGGATTCGAACCCGGGTCTTCGGCGTGACGAGCCAACGCTTTAACCATTAGGCTACCCCACCGCCCCGGAATGGTTCGAGCAGGCATGAGCCAACAACAGGTGACAGAACATTTCCAATGCCATCGTTACACGATATCTGCATTGGTCAGGAGTTAGGGAAACAGTAATGACGTCGCCGACCACCCACGTTCTGGGCGTCCCCGAGTAACGACGCCAAGACAGGACAGATGGATTCGGGTGACTCATATCAGACACAGGTTCCAGACGGCAGTGACCACGTCCCAAACCATTCCCCAGGCCTTCATTTGGAACATTTGGTAGCCTCTATGCGTCGTCGATGCACTGCTGTGCATCACGCGCATGATGGTCATACCCGTTATTGACTTTGTGACTTCGACGTGTGACCCCGACTCAATTTTGAACTTCTGACGTCATCGTTACGGATATTGTTCATGTTCTTTTGACATGTTGTTAAGGCCCGATACTTCAGTGTATAAAGTGTCTACATCATGTCGTCTTTTCTGCGTTGTATTCTGAAGGAATTTTCTGTGTGCACAGTTTCTTTATGTGGCTAGTATAGTATGGTTACAAACAATACATACTCTTTCGGGCTGGCGATACCGCCCTGTATCTCCTTGATGTATACCTTAACGAACAAAAGAAATGAAAGTCGCACTTCAGTGAATATATTGTTTATTGTCATCTGAAAGTTTCATTGTGAGGAGCAACACCACATCAAGCTGACTGCAAGAAACCGTATTACTTATATTTACTGGTATTTAATCTAAAATGAAGCAGTATTTTACACTAAATTAGCATCAAACTATTCGACGCCATAGTATCATGGAATTTCTTAATAGCTTGAGACATAATACCTCAAACTGTGGACACATCCTCGTATACATTCAAACAAAAAGGAAGTCACTCGGTTATATAACTCTGCACACACGAGTAATGACATGTGGACATCCATGGGCATTATCATCTCTACCAGTTGTAATAGGCATGTAAATATACTAAACAAAACAAGTTAAAGATCAAGTATATATAGTGGTGTCTGGTGTGCGGTGGTAGTGGTGTGGGTTGTTGTGTGTGGTGGCGGTTTGTGGTGTGTGGTGTTGGTGTGTGGTGGTGGTGGTGGTGGTGTAGTGTGTGGTCGGGGTGGTGTGTGTGGTGTGTGGTCGGGGTGGTGTGTAGTGTGTGAAGTGTGGTGTGGGATGTGGTGGTGTGGTGTGTGGTGGTGGTGGTGGTGGTGTGTGGTATGGGGTTCTTTTATGAAATTGTGTGCTCAGTATACACACCATGTATATAGGATTGTAAGGGCTTGAACTCGTATTTGTACCAACTGCATCCCACACGTACCTACCATGCTATCTATCATTTGATCCCCGAATTCGTCTGTGTGGTGCTTTGGAAGATTACAGGAACAGTCTTGGACTATATCTAATAGCTCCACTGATGCTGCAGCAGGCATTACAGGAACAGTCTTGGACTATATCTACTAGTTCCACTAATGTTGCAGGATTACAGGAACAGTCTTGGACTATATCTACTAGTTCCACTAATGCTGCAAGATTACAGGAACAGTGTTGGACTATATCTACTAGTTCCACTGATGCTGCAGGATTACAGGAACAGTGTTGGACTATATCTACTAGTTCCACTGATGCTTCAGGATTAAAGGAACAGTGTTGGACTATATCTACTAGTTCCACTGATGCTTCAGGATTACAGGAACAGTGTTGGACTATATCTACTAGTTCCACTGATGCTTCAGGATTAAAGGAACAGTGTTGGACTATATCTACTAGTTCCACTGACAGGATTAAAGGAACAGTGTTGACTATATCTACTAGTTCAGGATTACAGGAACAGTTGGAACAGTCTTGGACTATTACAGGAACAGTGTTGGACTATATCTACTAGTTCCACTGATGCTGCAGCATTACAGGAACAGTGTTGGACTATATCTGCAGCAGGCATTACAGGAACAGTGTTGGACTATATCTACTAGTTCCACTGACGCTGCAAGATTACAGGAACAGTGTTGGACTATATCTACTAGTTCCACTGATGCTTCAGCATTACAGGAGTGTTGGACTATATCTATAGTGTTGGACTATATCTACTAGTTCCACTGATGCTGCAGGATTAAAGGAACAGTGTTGGACTATATCTACTAGTTCCACTACACAGGAACAGTGTTGGACTATATCTACTAGTTCCACTGATGCTTGCAGGCATTACAGGAACAGTGTTGGACTATAGCATTATTGGAACAGTGTTGGACTATATCTACTAGTTCCACTGATGCTTCAGGATTACAGGAACAGTGTTGGACTATATCTACTAGTTCCACTGATGCAGCATTACAGGAACAGTGTTGGACTATAGTTCCACTGATGCTGCAGGATTACAGGAACTTGGACTATATGTTGGACTATATCTAGTTCCACAGTGTTGGACTATATCTACTAGTTCCACTGATGCAGGATTACAGGAACAGTGTTGGACTATATCTACTAGTTGGACTATATCTACTAGTTCCACTTGTTCCACTGATGCTGCAGCATTACAGGAACAGTGTTGGACTATATCTACTAGTTATATTACAGGAACAGTACTAGTTCCACTGATGCTTCAGGATTACAGGAACAGTGTTGGACTATATCTACTAGTTCCACTGATGCTTGCAGTGTTGGCATTACAGGAACAGTGTTGGACTATATCTACTAGTTCCACTGATGCTGCAGCATTACAGGAACAGTGTTGGACTATATCTACTAGTTCCACTGATGCTGCAGGATTACAGGAACAGTGTTGGACTATATCTACTAGTTCCACTGATGCTGCAAGATTACAGGAACAGTGTTGGACTATATCTACTAGTTCCACTGATGCTGCAGGATTACAGGAACAGTGTTGGACTATATCTACTAGTTCCACTGATGCTGCAGGATTACAGGAACAGTGTTGGACTATATCTACTAGTTCCACTGATGCTGCAGCATTACAGGAACAGTGTTGGACTATATCTACTAGTTCCACTGATGCTTCAGGATTACAGGAACTGTGTTGGACTATATCTACTAGTTCCACTGATGCTGCAGGATTACAGGAACAGTGTTGGACTATATCTACTAGTTCCACTGATGCTGCAGGATTACAGGAACAGTGTTGGACTATATCTACTAGTTCCACTGATGCTGCAGGATTACAGGAACTGTGTTGGACTATATCTACTAGTTCCACTGATGCTGCAGGATTACAGGAACAGTGTTGGACTATATCTACTAGTTCCACTGATGCTTCAGGATTACAGGAACTGTGTTGGACTATATCTACTAGTTCTAATGACGCTGCAGGATTACAGGAACTGTGTTGGACTATATCTACCAGTTCTACTAAAGCTGCAACATTACAGGAACTATGTTGGACTATATTTACTTGCTCCACTAACGCTGCAGCATCACTGAAACTGTGTTGGCCTATATCTACAAATTCCACTAAAGGTTCAGCTTATCGTCCTAGGCTTCACCATTGCCGATATCTTCATTTTCCTCTGTATCCTTCATCCGAGCTTCTTCTCGCCTTTCCAGAAGCAGCTGTGTCTGGGAGAAGATATTAATTATTATTTCATTTTCAGTTTTTGTAATATACGTGCACATATCTGTGTGGATCGGCAGTATCGACAATACGTTTGACAATCCTCATTCAGTATAAGAACCACAAGACGGCTTCCTGTGAAGATAATCGAGACTCGACAATATTAACTGACCACATATCATTGTGAAAAGCACAATGTGGAGGTTTGCGTAATACAACCAACTAACGGAGCCTGACAACTCTTTTCTTAATGTCACCTCTGACAACATGTTGCTGAGGACCAGAATCTAACCTAGAGTCAATAGAGATTACCTGTGAAAACAAAGCTTCGCCGGCTGGTGACATCTTGGCTACAGTCTGGAGATCATATTGGTTCAAGATGTCCTTAGCCTTGGCTTCAGAGAGAAGAAGCTCGTCGTTATCTACGTCAAAACCAGGATCATTCTGCAGTCGAAAGTCGAGGGACTCACGACCACTCTTGTGCAGCAAGGTTCTGATATTGGACCATGTCTGTTAAAGAATATATGATATATGGGAGATAGGAATACTGACAATCATTTTCTTTGGCTTAAAATACGATTTAATATCTTTTTCACAAAAGGGCGTGTAGTGGTGTAATAGTTGAAAAGGAATACTAACAGTCATTGTCTTTGGCTTAAAATACGATTTAATATCTCTTCACAAAAGAGCGTGTAGTGGTGTCATAGTTGAAATAAACTGATATCTATTAAATTTGTAAGCGATCCAAGTTTAGATATTACCTGATTTTAGTATTACAGTTATTGGTATCCCATATTAAACGTAAAGCTGAAAAATATATTTGTCAAAATGATACGATGCTCACATCCAGCATGTAGATTTTCTCTCCCAAAACCATGTATGTAGCCTTCAGAATTTGATGAACAACAGCAGGGGGTGTCTTGTAGGATTTGAGGTCAGCAACAGTTCTTTTGGTAACTTCAGGTCGTCCTTTGTTTGAAGGAAGCGGGACCTGAAGTTTATCCTTCTGTTCAATGGCTGCCATGACGAGTGTCTGGAATCGTTCACTTCTTGGAGAACTCTTCGCCTTCGTGATTGCATTCTCCAGCTTGTCGAAACGGTTTTTCAACATTGCAAACCTCAAATCTAAACAAATAAGCATACCAAGTATCATTATGAAACTACTATACATGACTTACATAAAACATTTTCACTCTTCCTATTCAGTATCGAATGTCTGTTTCAAAAAGGCATACATCATTGAGATGATAATTATGTAAATAATGACACCAGGTGTTCACCAAAGGGGTCAGCCTCGCCTGTTTTACCGGTAGCAGCAGCCACGCAAGCAGTTTTTATTAAAACGTACCACTTATGGCAATGCACCTGCTATAGGTCGGCGCCCTTTAAAGGAGATGAGCTTGAATTTGAAGATATAGTATTGTTAAAAACGTTTACCTTCTTTTGTGTCCAACTCATCCAGGACTTCAGTGGCCTTGGTTAGATCACCCTTGTCTTCACACTCTTGCTTCCGGAATCTGTCTATAGCTATAGAGAGGACAGTTCTGTTACCAGCACGGATGGCGTCTCTCATGTTCTGTCTCGTCTTCTTCTGGGCTGCATTCTGGATAATAGTGGATGGAATAATAAACTGTATTTGCTCCATATTGTAACATGGATATATTAGATCTAATCAATACTTCTATTGAGCAGTGTAGTATGTATTCCTCTCCTCATACTTACATCTCTGCCTTTGTACTTCCTCTGTTTCGGATCCGACTCGATCACATAGTTTAGGATATTTCTTGTATCAGTCTCCTTCTCACTCTCTTTCCTAGCATCGACCTTGAGGACATACTCTCCATCATCTGGCACTACCACGGTAAGTCTAACCTGATCATATCTGATGTCGAGTTTTGCAGCATGCATCAGTTCATTGTCTGGTTTACTGTCAGATTTCAACTGAATTTGAAAGATCAGCGTTCGAGACATTTTGAAAGACAGTTCGACCATCGTGGCATCATGAGTTAGGACCAAACCATCCTCGTGGGAGAACCCATACAGTCCATAGTGCTTAGCCAGTGGACCTGGACCCCATCCTATTTCCGTGAGGAATGGAAAAGAGGAACAGAATGGTTTTGCCTCCTCAGAGTCTATCTTGAAATCACACAGCCAATATTTCTTTTCTTTAAATTCTTTGTAGATTCTTAACCTGTAAGTTCCTTTCACGAGACATCTTACGAAGAAAGGTATAATGCCAGTGGATTGTATGTTGCCTTGGATCACCAAACTCTCCTTTCCGCTCAGAAGCGATGTGTCTGTGAACTCGTTTCTTTGTAGGAACAGGTCATAGGAGAGTTTTGGTTTAGAATCTATTGGCGCCGACAAGCTAATTCGACATTCACCATGCTCGGCCTTCTGACTGCAACTTTGGGATCGCTTAAAAGTTATCCCGGATTTGAAAGCGTGTGGTTGAGCATACGGCATCGACGTGAACTTTTCAACAGACACCTTCAGTTTGAGCAGCTGCCAATGAGGTTCATCTGGACAACAAAAATGGATGAATATTTCAGGATCCGTTAGGAAAAAGAATTCGTTAATGGCTGATTCTTCTTTGCCTATTTTTTTCGGTACATCCTGGCACATTCTCCCGTTCTCTGATTCGAGCATCACCCAGTCACAGTTCTCCTGCCCTGAGATCCTAGAGAAGGCCCACTGTGCATGAATGAACCTCCACCCTTCTGCCACATAGACAGCGTTCCACGAGCTCCTCCCATTGACCTCCTCGCCGACAATGTAGTTTGCCCCCTTAGCTGGACCAGAGAGGACGACGCATGGAACACGAGCTTCGCTGTTGTAAGGATACATTAAATGTTTACATAGAACGATTCAATACACACCTTACAAATGATCTGAAATGTAGTAGGTTAAATAAGAAGTTAAGGCATGTGAAGGTCTACTTAATAATAATACGAATGCTGCAGCTATGATACCTATACTCGAGACGGAACAGTGACTTGTAAATCATTATTCCTCAAGCACCGAAATATTTATGATAATTATGCTCATGTTTTAGACGATGGCTTTTTTCGAAAGAAGTTGAAAAACATATCTTACAACGTATTGTTTTCCGACGTTTATATGACTGACTCAGTATTTACCGGCACAACATGGCCATGATCTCAGTGTAGGTGCTCCTGTCTTGCTGGACTATTTTCAAATAGCCCTTGACTGTATCATGAATTTTAGACTTGCTGAAATCCATGCTCAGGACTTTCTGTGCTCCCAGCCAAGTGAAGATTGCTCTTACTTTGTCCAGATCAGTCACTAAGCCAACAGTTAGCTTGGTAACCAAATCACGCATGCTGTAGACACCATCTATTGACACCTTGTTGACACAGGAAATACATGACAAAAGAATATTTCAAATGACAAGAAATGAAGGGCAGTTGGACTGTTTGGGCACTACGACCGTCAAGGCAATTTTAGATATTCGTATGACATTGTCTTTTTATCTGGTTACTACACAGAAATACATGTAATGAATTTCATTTGACACAAGTACATGAATCACTTAACAGGTATGTCACTCATGTTTCTCTTATACAATCCCCCTCATATTCCCGTTCTTGACTTTAACCCTAGCTCCCCCTAATTAACTCATTCGATTTTTCGTTCTTATACCTGCTTAGTCTTCTTATCCTGCGTCCTGTACTGGTCAAGTAGGAATATTTCGTCTTTCTTCTGCCTTGGCAGCTCAGGTCGAGGGTAACGGTTGTTCCATTTGAAGTCCAGGCATCTCTGTGACATCATCAGCACAAGTATATATATGGCCATATACATTGTAACACACAGCTAGTGGGACACCATTATAAGTATATATATGGCCATATACATTGTATACGACCCTCGAGTGACATATATAGAGCAATCTGTAAATTTTGATTTACCAGTTAGAAATTAGATCGTTATTTTGTACATACAATATTTTCATGTTAACTGTGACACTAATGTGAAGCATGAATGAAGCAGTCTGTGCATACAGATAGATCAGCGGTACCTGTTTTGCCGTGTCGGGAAACTCGTCCTGGGCTCCAAGTGAAACCTCCATGACCCTATTGATGTCGAATTGGAGGTTATCAGAATTCCAATTCTTGTCGGAACTAAGAGAAATCATTGCGTTATCATGTTGTAAAACACATACATTAGTAGGCGCACATAACTTTCCCTTTCCAAAACTTCCAGACATACAGTTGAACAGGCTTTACAAAGAGCGTCCTAAAACATGCCTTACTTATGTTTATACATGTAGAAGGCGTTTATCCAAATTTGATGCAGCAGTGACGAAAATGCAATTCCCCATTTTGACTTATTTACAGGTAGAACAATTGACTTGCCTCTGTGTTTAAGACAGGTACCACAACAGTCAGGAATGATTCCCTGTTCGCGAACTCCTGCTGTTATTACTGTATCAAAGTGATAAAATATAGTTATGATTAAAATTAAATCGTATATAAATGTCCTTTGATTATGGTTCCCTCAAATTTAGCAAAACCGTAAAATTGTATTCTTCAATAGACAAACTTGATTTTTATTTTTGTTTAACGCCACACTCAGAAATATTTCAGCTGTATGGCTGCAGCCTGTAAATAATTGAGTTTGGACCAGATAGTCAAGTTATTGATATCACGGACGTCGATCGACGCATTTGGGAAACTTTGATAACACCATAAGTCAGCGAGCATGACAACCCGATCCAGTTAGTCGCCTCTTACGACAAGCATGGCCGAGAAGACGTCACGGGTCTCTTTCATAAAAAACTACAGTTAGAGCTCTGTGTGTTCCCTGAGATACACACGTCATATGTGTATCCTGTTTCGTACGCCTCATATAATCTATCGTACTTCAAAAGATAGGTCCTGCCCGATATACTTTGAACTGAAGTTAAACGGCATATCGAGCAGTGAGATTGGAATAACGTCAAATGATAACACTTGTTTGTCGGAAATAAGGAAGAATATGACAGCTGTACATGTCATTCATGTGCTGATAGAAATGTGATTTCACACAATCCATGACACAGCTGGTATGCCGTTCCCAATATAACAAACGGTGATTTAAAGTATATACAGGAGAGAGAGTGTGGCATACTAAAATTACATTTACAGTTTTCAACAGACCACAATGTAATTTCTAGGAAGATAAAACAAACTTACAATGCTTCGTGTCTACTGGTATCGGTGATTGTGAGTCTGTAGGGACGTGACCAGCAGATTACCAGCCTGATGTGTGTGTGTGTATCTATTACATATAGAGATCTACAGTATGTCTTTCACCATGTTAGCTACCATTTAGTGGAAGAATTATTTTTGTTTTCCTTCTATCAACTGCAACAATGAACTTAAAAATAATTCAATTTTAGATTCAGTCTGCTGACGACCAGTATGGTTTTGCTTGAAGGGAACCATTGTTTAACTGTGTTTATCCTGTTGGTAATGCTTGTTCGGGTTTCTGCTTTCGTGCTGTGGTTCATCTGATAACATTCACGTCTTTGTTTTCAGGTTGTGTTAGTTCTATGGTTACAGCTCATCGTTTGTGTTTCTGTTAGGTAGCAACGACTATTCAAGGAGCTACAATGGCATGCAAACGATGTATAACAAAATAGAAACAATAATTCAATGCAAGGTTATGCTAAGAAATACTTCATATTTTATAACTGAGATATAGTATTCAAAAGAACTAAATACTCCCCGCCGCCAATTCTTTCATCTGGTCTAGTTAATCTGTTATGCCATGTCATAGCAGATAAACTACATTAATATATAAAGAATTTGATGGTCTGAATTTCTTTTAAGTGGTCTACACCTGTACGTATATATGTTTATTTATAGATTCTTAAATGTTATATTCTTTGATACATCTTTGACTGGGTAGTGACGCAAAGACCAAATGTTAAATTGACGTTTTCTGATTTCATTTTGGTTATCTGCAGCGGACTATCTAACACCGGTGCTAAGAAGAACAAAGCGACTAAATGTAAGTTAAATGTTTGCATTAACTTGTATCGATTGAGCATTGGGTGTTTTCTCGACGTGATTTTACGGTGTATTTATAGCGGGGGACACATATTGTGCGGGGAATCGAACCAGTGTCTTCGGCATGACGAGCGAACGCCTTAACCACTTAGCTATCCCAAGGACCCTTACATTTTCGAAAAGAAGCAGATCGACATACAGCCATTATGAATGTTTGTTTTATTCTTTGTGCGAGTGTGTACCTTAACAGCAATCCTGAGTTAATGTGTCCGCCTGACAAACACGAAAACATGGCCCATTCTCAACTAAGTAGAAGCGACAAACCCCTTTCCGCATCCCATAAGAAATATCTGCTGAAAGCAGAGTCGATTGTACAATTCTGACTACATCAATCAATCAATCTTTATTTACAGTACTGAAGAGGACGTAGGCCTATAGTACATTTTACATACAGTAGCAGAGGGTGCAATATAAATGAAATATATAGTAAATAATATATCATCTGTAACTACATCACGAATATGTATTTTTCAGCGGTATTACAGCTGTACAATAGTGTTTGTTAACAGTCGAGTCAGGACCAGACAATACAGTGATTGTCACCATGCGATACGATGACAGAGCATGTGTTTATGAATCACTATGAAATAGTGATGACACCAGGTGTTCGCGACAAAGTGGGCGTATCCTGCCCTACCGGTAGCCCGTCATAAACACAATGCACAGTGTAGTCAATTGTTCATATGAAGTAATTCTGGAACGCATGGCACAATTATTAAATAGGGAATTGCACATCGGAAGTCATTTTTGTCACTGATGCATCGAATTTGGAAATTTCCCCTCACATGTACTTTTTGAAAGCTTTACTGAGGCCTTGAATGTTGTACCCTTGGTAGAACAATCTCTGAGCAAGAGTGGTACAGTGCTCTGTGAAATCTTGGTAAAAAGTGCATGCTCTATTGTACCTCAACAGCTGTAAAATGTATTCAACACAGGCTGGAGCTGTTGGAATATTGTTCGACATGAAAGGGAAGTTGACTTTTGGAAAGTTGAAGTCATCAATTTTGTTATACAGTTTTTGTCCCTCTGAATATATATATCTATATATGAAACGGTCTCACTTGTCGGCGGTCTCACATGTCTCCTTAATTTCAAGTTCAGGTGGGTAAACCGGTGGAAGGGAATTGGCCATTTGATGGTTACTGAACGATATTAAATCATCTATGTACGTTAAACTTCTTTGCCAAAGCTTGTCCATTAAAACATGTCAATTTCAAAGCTTGAAATGGTAATTTTTATTTCTATAATCCCTTGATAAGCATTTAATAACAATTAAAAGGACTGTACATAATTGGCTTAACAAGTGGCTTAGATTGCACTGCAATTGTACAGAGATGTTAGACGTATGGAGAAAGGTACTAGCTCTACACGTGCTTCTCAAAACTGCTATAGAGGCAAATTGCCGACTTTGAGGCAAAGGTAATATATCGAGAAGAAAAGACAAAATAGGGCCAATGCCACAATCGAGATATACTTGCGTTGCGAATTCTCCATATGATGGTGGGATGGTGTTTTTACACTATTAAACGAAGGGAGTCGGGACCGGAGAACAGGTTCGAGATATCGGTAAGTTCGAGTTAACGGATGTTTAAAAACATTACTTGATGATACTTTCATGCTTAAATGTTGACACGGAGATCAATACGACACATTTGTGTGAATTTAATGTATATTTCACTTGTTGGGAACAGGTCCATAGCAAAACAGAATGTTCAATGTCATACCCATGTTTCTTTTGATAATTAAGGAATATTTGAATAATAAAATCAACGCATAGCATGGAGAACATTTTCTATAATAATCAGCCGAATTACATATATATGTACATATACAGAAATTCTAAATCAGTCTGCATTCTTATACTTTCAGGCAGCGGCAGATCGTTATCAGAGATTTTCAGCAATCCACAATGTTGTCTTTTACGGCAATATAACGTTTCATAATAAAGGGCATGCGATTCTCCTGCGGTGATCTTGTATAGCATGACCTGAAATTATTGCGAATTTTATGAATATGTTTAATTGGATTTCTAGTATAAACAACCTTGACCAGCTATCAAGTGCTTGGTTTCATTCAAGAGAGACAACTCCGTTAATCCTTTTTCATTAGTTTGTGAAGAGTTATCCCCCTTTGTTTACTTGCTAGCAGACGACATTTTCAGTGATCCTCAGTATGGATGATTTAGAGAAGAGGAAGTTGATTTTAGAGTATTATAACAAGGACATCAGATCAGCTTAAGTAATTTCAAGTAGAACAGGCATCCCTTTGTCCACTGTTTATCGTGTTTTGATAAATATTGCAAATGGATATGGCATTGAGCACCAGGGAGGCGCAGGTAGGCCCAGAAAATTGACTGTCGGTGACTGGAGGCGGCTTGGTATTCTTGTTTCTAAAAACAAACGAAGGAGTTTAGAAAATTTAAGGCTGGATATGATTGATAGAGGAACTGTGACTGTCTGTAAGGAGACAATTAGAACTGAGCTGCATGCAATGGGTTGGCAGAAAAGTCGAGGAATTCCATCACCGATGATGAAACCTGAACAAAAGGAGCGAAGGTTGAACTGGTGCTTACTGCATAGAAATTTTAACTGGGACAATGTGATTTTCTCAGATGAAAGTTCTGTGTGGCTGTTTCCTAATACACTAAAATTCTGGACCAAACAAACTGAAAAGCCTTTGTATCAGCGCCCAAAGTACAGTCCGAAATTGGCATATCTGTGTTAGGGGCAACGCCCCTCTGCGTATTTGAAGGGAATATGAAAAGTGAGCGGTACACAGGTATTCTCGAGGGACATTAACTTCCATCTGCTCACGTGTTCTATGGAAATGTTTAGATTTTCCAGCAGGACAACGACCCAAAACATCGTTCAAAGCATTCACAGGCCTGGTTTCGGACCCAAAATGTGACATTATTAGATTGGCCCATTTATAGTCAATAAGAAAAATCTGACAAATTTTGCTGAAATGAAAGAAGAGGTGGTCCGATATTGGGACAGCATGGACCACGACTTTCTAACTTCTTTGATCAGTAGTATGCCCCGCCGCATTGAAGCCTGCATTGCTGCCCATGGTGACTTGAGAAAATACTAACTGTTCACCTGTCTTTGAATCTGGAGTTATGTTATGCTAATATTCACATTTAATACGTGAGTCATGAGTGAAAAAGAAAAGAAAAGTACAATCTTAAGTTCTCAATAATTTTTGGTTGTATTGTGTATATGATATGGAGAGAAGATGTGAGGAGTCCTCTGATGCTACAAGATCGGTAAGGAATACAAATACAACCTTCTACGATACTGTTACGAGATTCGCGCGTAAATGACCCATGTTGTCAAGGATGTGTTCCTTGGCATGTCTACCCTTAAACTACCTAAAACGTTAAAGCTTTAATAAGGCTTTATATGGTGTAACCTTGATGAAGACACGCAATCAACAAAGACACCCAACTTGCCATTACGATCCATTAAATCGAATTATACGATCAGCACAAATTGGGACCAATGCTCACCCGGACTCCCCATGAATGCAACATGCAACCAACGATCAAACACGTCTTGTATTGAATGCATTTATTTAACATCAAGCACAAAATGTTCATATTGAGTAAAATGTCTCAACATACAACTGGATATAACACTGAATAAATACGCGATATAAATAAGTCAGAGGATAAATGAAGATAACATCAGTTAGTGACTACCATACATAAAGTCATAGTTCCAGTACAGAGACCAGGATCAACTCATGCTAGTTATAAACACGATCATTTGGTCTACTGAGTGGCTCTGTATATAGAGATTTAACGTATACATTTGAAGAACAAAAGCTGGCTTTAGCTGTGCTACATGCCATGCTTACTGTTAGACTGATCAAGTGATTCTCGTAATCTAGGACATCAATAAGTCTGCAAGGGTTCAATCTATTTCTAGCGGTGTCACTGAATTCAACATTACATGGAATGTCTAGATCTTGAGCTGCAGCTGTGAGTATAATGAAGGCCAAATAATGATACAAGTAGACAATAAAACGGACATGCCTACACTAAATTACCAACCCTAAGTAATAGACTCTGCGGAAGAATGTTTCACAACACATTTATTCAGAGACAGGACATAACATACGCTCACGGGCTGTGAGCAAGATCACCTTTCCTTCTCAACCAATGTCTTATGCCTATGACAATCCTTTTTATGACCTCAGCTTACATCCCTGTGTCGTGCACATGTCGTAAGCCCTATTGTCTATAAATCCACACTTGCATGACACAGGCGCACACCAGTGGCATTTTGTCAAAGGTTAGGGTAAGTCAGTCGGGCCACACAGAGGTAGTTTCAGTTAGTGTACTGGACATTCAATTTAACCCTGAAATGTAGAATCAGATCTACTCGGTTTGAACTTTGGGCTTACAAGAGTAAATATCACAATGTCGGGGAGTATCACGACACTTACATAATCAACCATGTATTTATGAAGACACACAGTATATGAATCAACACCATTGATACAGTATGTTTACATATAAGAGGAAATTGTTGCAAAGTACTGTGGAATACGCATACAAAATTCATGAGTTCGATATCTCGGCCATGTGTATCAAAAACATATGATTGAATGAACATAAATCTGGATTCTCTGAGGTACTGACCAAGTAACAGAAATGACTTCAATACAATGCCAAACACAGAACATATGGAGTATTACACGTGGTTACACGTCACTTGGATGCTGTTTTGTCCATGAAATTATTCCCACTGTTGATGCCTCGGCACATCTGTGAGCGATGTCATCCACGTCTGGCTCGGTACTTCTGTACCTCGTTGTGGAGGGATACAGTCAACTCAACCACGATGTTTTGGCACTGAAAAGAAACAGTATCCCATTACGTACATCCAGCAGCAACTAATACGTGTAGTTTAGTGATTTTAACTGGGTACAAGTCAGTAGTAGAAAATATGCGGTAGAAGATTATATTTATACGTTTGGATGACTGGCTCAAGCAGATACTGGACATTATAGCTAAAATACATGGAATTATCATGAAACGGCCCTCCCATTATCAGAAATTTGCGGTCCGCTGCAAATGATATTGGACCGCTCAACCTTAACGACGGGCCACTATCAGTTCTGTTGTCAAGTGACGCCATAGTTCGACATTAATTTGCTTTCGACTGGCAGATATTCTGGGTCAAACAAGTCAAAACAACCCAAATTCCCGCTTCAAATAGCGGTAATATTGGCTTTCTTGCTGGTGCTAACCTTAACAATTGCACTATTAAGACTGTTGATGGACCAAAACCGAACACTGTCATAGTTTGACATGCTGCAGGCTATGGTCTTGTCAAAGGCCAAGGTCGAATATCGTCACTTTCTGTTGTGACGTCACTTGAATCGTTCGATGACGTAATTGCATTCGGGCAGTCAGGCCCGTCAGAAGTTGATTTTGGTAAACTTACAGTCAAATTCCTTCATTGTTTCCTTTTCTTTTCAACACAAATTCCATGTATTTTAGCAATAATAACGGTAATGCTATTTTTGAGGGGCATTATCATTTGCAGAAGCCCTCGGTCTTTTTCAACTGCCCTCCTTCGTCGGGCAGTTAATGGAAGACCTCGGGCTTCTGCAAATGATAATGCCCTCAAAAATAGCATTACCCTTATATTAGGATAAAAGGTTCATGTGAAGATGGTATATTAGGAAAAGGGTTTCATGTCGAAATTGGACAATATGGTACATGTTCACGGGGAAAGATAAGCTTCCGGGAACATGGTTCCTGCAGAAACTGTAAAATAGGAATAAAGATAGTCATTAAACACATATCAATGTTTAGCAGACTATTCTTACAGCTCGATAACTGGAAAAAACAATTAATTTCGTTGTTGATAAGCAACATTGTCTACAAACGGGCGAATGTGTTTCGATCATTTAACACATATTTGCATTAAAACTGGAAAAAATGCGAGATAGTAACAACCCTATACCTCAGTCTATCAAAAAGTCACTATGAATCTTTCAACAATACTAAATGAATTCAGCGAACATTAGATCAATAACACTGAGTTAACAAAAAAGCGATATAGACAAGTCACGAAACGAGGCTCGTGAAGTGGCCTGTTTTAGACTTGGAGGTTCCCGGCAATATAATATATCTGAGCATACACTCACCCACACGTAGAAGGTCCCGGCTCCAGAGCTGGCCTGCCTCACCGTGTCCTCGTCATACATGTCTATGATAGACTGCACTTTGTCCACGATGTCCAGCTGGACACTGACAACGTCGAACTTACGGAGACGACTGATCAGACTGTTACGTCCAACCTTCCTCATCAGATGTTGTACATAGTCCCATCTCTGGAACAAGAAAACAGAGTCGACTGCAGAGCTGTAGGGTTAAACAAAATAGATTCAATATTGGATATACATGTGTTTACTTTTATGTTTACCGTTGAACCCAGGAAATATTCTAGTCATATGAAGTCAGTAAATATCGAGAATGGACAAGACAGTCCATTGACTGAGCATCGATCTGCGCAATCACCTCGTACAGCAAACATTGGTTGCTGAGGACAATTTCTAACCTTTAACCATTTGATGGAGTAACAAGCGAACTATAAAGTGCTAATCACTTATCTTTACTCAAAACCTTTATAGTGACTATCTATGTAGAATTACAGCATTACAGATAGCAAAAATACATGTTATCATCTCTTACAACATCCAGTTTCGTCTTCATGAACCCACTTTGATGGTTGTTTCCAACACTGGGAAGCTTGAAATGTTTTACAGGTCCCACAATAAGGTTCGTCTTAAGGTTCAAACTGCATAATATATATATATATATATATAGGTGATGCCTTACCAACAAGTCTTCCTCGTCTTCACCGAGCAAAAAGGTATGTGGCCACCATGATGTTGTGGATCACCTCCTTTGGTCTCTTGTAGTTGTGCATTTCGGAGATGGTTGGCTGGTGGATTTCCAACACGTCGTGCAGGAAGGTGGTCAGTCGTCGGAGCTGCTCCCTGATCTCGCACGCTTCCTTCACAAGGTAGTCCAGGTGGTTGTCACCTTCCACGCGTGCTGCACGGTCTAGCACTCTGTCCAGGAAGTCAGGTCGTCGTCGAGCAATCGCAAGTCTCAGATCTGAAGGGAAATATGTTTGAATGATCGCAATAGTTTTGTTTGTTTGTTGTTTAACGTCTCGATCGTTATAGACGGCGATAGGTGAGTCTGGACCAGGCCATCCAGCGACTGACATCACGTGTATTTACAGAATTTGGACACAAAGACATTCCTCTGTCAAATCATCGCACCTACCCTAATTCGTCTTTTGACGTTCAAATCTAACCGGGATCTTCAAGAGGCAAAGGTTCAGTAAGGGTTTTGCTTAGATAACGGTTAAATTAATCTGACAGACAGAACTTGTATCACATTTAACTCAAACGCACCTCTCTCAAGAATGAGTAGTTCCCGCTTCCGTTTGGCCTCAATCAAATCATCTTCGCTTTCCATCCTCAGACGCTGGACTCTCTGAATTGCATTGTCCAACTCCCCTATATTGGACCTCTCTATGGCCGTTTTGAGATTTCTTCGGGCTTCCATCTCATAATATTTCTGTAATGAAACGTCATGTTAGAAAAAATATTCATATGAGACATAGGTAATTGAGACACATTGCATGGATGAATCTTGTAGGCCATAATTTAACTTACTTCAACTTTTCTGACTTTGACCTTTGGTTCTTCAGGCCTTCTGGCCATAACGAGAAGATAGTTGACTGCATTCACATACTGTCCATTTGACCCTTTGGGCCTAGTGTAGATCTGCAGGGAATACTCCTCTATCTCGTCACTGGCTGGAACATTTACGTAAATGTTGAAGTACCCTTCTTTCCTCTTTACGGCAATACATTTCTTCAGGTCATCCCTCGTGTGCTTGTAGTGTTCAAATACAGCCTGAATGTCCAGCTCTTCCATATAGGCGAAAGTGAAGATTTTGCCTTGTCCTGCTTGAAGCCTAATCACGCCTCCGAACTCCGATGGATAATCTAACCCACGCTGTCGCGTGTTTTTTGTGAACCCATACACAAGACGCTTTGAAAACGGAAATGGTTTCGAGGGCTGATTTGGTGTTTCCGATTCCAGCCGAAAGTCACACAGATGGTACATGTCACCGACACCACCATAGATTCTAAGTTTGTATATACCTCCGACCGGCAGCCGGACTTTGACAGTGACGTTTGACTGTTTTCTACTCACATACGCATACCTCTCAAGTTTGATATCAGCGGGCAGTTTATTAAATGATGCACGGTCATCAAAGAAAAGCTGATGGGCAAACGACATCTCGGGCTCTTCTAAATCTTCGAAAGCTATCAGCACTATTCCATTCTCGTCGGCATGGAGAATGCACGAGGGCTGGCTGGTCAAGGCTAATTTGTATTGAAAGAACTTTTGTCTGAGCACAGGCGCATGGATAAAGTCCTCAAAAGACCATGGCTGTTTCAACAACTGCCATGCAGCCATGTCTGCAGCTGGTCGACACATGTGTATGAAGACGCTTGGTTCAACAAGGAAGAAGAACTCGTCCTGGGAAAAGATGTCTGTTCCTTCTAACTCTTTCCGTTCGTCTACATTCGCTCCCTTGTCCTTATCTTGCCGGATGGTTTGCCATCGTCCCCTGTTGAATCCAGTCACTTTCCTGAAGGACCATAGTGGATGGATGAGGCGCCAGTGTCCGTCCACATATACAGTATTCCAACAATTCCTCAGGTGGTAGATGTCGCGGTCGCCGACGTCATAGTCGAAGCTCTTTGATATGCCATACACTATCACACAAGGTATGTTGACTTTCCTGAAATGAAAAATTGCAAATACTGAAGTAACAAAATATATTATATTTTCCTACATCTACGTTTAACAATACACAATATGTGGAGAGCTTCATTTGACACTGATGTCCACTTAAGCTTGGTCCTCAACAGTTCCTTAGTCATCAGTGTCGTAGAAATGGGAATTGTGATTACGTGATGTTCCGACTAGAATTCAGTAAGAGCAAAAGCATGAACCTGAGTAGGAGGGCTAAGAAGGCAGAATAGCTTCCCCTCTTCTCCTTCATCAGTTTCATGTAGCCAGCCGGAGTATTCACACCCTGTGATTTGAAAGATCCTTCTGCTATATTTTGAGACCCAAGCCAAGTGAAGATGGAGCGTAGCTTCTCCATATCAGTTATCAAGCCCCGGGTGAGGTAGGTGAGCAATGAATCATACGACTCCGCCTTAGCTGCTGGACACTGAAAACATAGACACAATACTTATCTGTAACGTGCACATGACCATGTTTTTTTGGGTACATATGATGGAATTAAAGGTGAGAATTGGTACGTAGCCAACACTATTATCATGACAGCCTGCTTGACCAAAGACCAGCGTCATTGGGGCATGATACATCGTCATTCAAGTCATACAATGCAACCAGCCGGTGCGTTTGGGCAACCTCGTTGCTGAAATCGTCGCTCGACATGCTTACGTATCAAACTTATAGTGATTCAAGTCATACACTGCAACCAGCCGGTGCAACCTATAGTTTGGCATGAAATGCATGTGGACCCGGTCTTTTTGTAAATATCTCTTCATCCAAAGACCCCATCGATCTCAAACTGTGGATGTTTTGTCAGACAACCTAATCACATTGTAAATCACCGATTTTATGCATTTGTATTAAAGAATCTGTCTATGTAACTGTCAACAAAATAAACAGCAGAACGCAAACTGCTTGCAGAGGGAGGGAGCCAATGACCTGTAACAGCGTCATCACGTCATACTTACATGTCTTGCACGTTCATCTATATCAGCAAAGTCTTCTATGGCAAACACCGCCGAGGATCTTGTTTTGGGGGGATTAGGCGGAGGATAGTTTGGTTCAATCCATGGAACCTCCAACTACACAAACAATAACACAATTACAAAACAAAATGATTGATTTCACTTATAACAACATGTTGCATCCTGACACCATTATCTGTAAAGACTAAAATATTTAGTCCGAAAGACGAATGTATTTTTACATCGCTTCCATTTCGTCCGTGATTGGTATGGACGTGGTACACCAGGGAGTAGAAACATGGACAGCGATACATGCAATAGTGCAAGATGACACAATCATCCAAGTTTGCGAATCTGAAACCCGTTTCTCTTCAGACGGAACCTATTCTTGCCCGGAATCCCAAATTCGACTCACCAGAGTCAGATGACATGATCATTGCCACTGATCTGTATTGTTTATGCAAATGATATATGGAATGTATATCAGTTAAAAACCTTTTAAATAACTACGAATTTAAGCTGTTTGGGTCAACTGGTGTCGCTCATTTGAAACAGATAAAATCTACAGACTGCCTCGATTTCTGGTTCAAGATCCTTCGCCTCATCCTGTGGCTGAACAGAAACGCTGCATCCCATAATGTCTCCGAGCTGAACACTGACGTGGCTCCCGAGGCTTCCTATTGGATCTGATGGCATAAACACAAACACACAAACACATACTTAAACGCATGTAACAAGCTGTAAAACATCGCATCGCATCACAGGTCTTAGGAAAAACACATGCCGCAGCATCACGACAAACACACGTTACACAAATAGCACTTTATAACATCATCACCTTGGAGAACAATTATAGCTTGTATTAACTGCCTAATACGATCATGGTATAAGCAACAGTAGAAGAGTAACGATATATCTATGTACAATTACACAAAGAAATGGCGAAGAGGAAGTAAACTGGAAAGAACAATACAAGACGTGTGCGTACAACGCCAAACTGAATCCGAAAAATCCATGTTAATTCTTTATGGCGCAGAGAATCCCCATTATCCTGACACATTACGCTGAGAACCTGCACCAATATTTGTCCTCAAACTGCTCCAACATTTGTGCTCAAACTGCTCCAACATTTGTCCTCAAACTGCTCCAATATTTGTGCTCAAACTGCTCCAACATTTGTGCTCAAACTGTTCCAACATTTGTGCTCAAACTGTTCCAACATTTTTGCTCAAACTGTTCCAATATTTGTGCTCAAACTGCTCCAATATTTGTGCTCAAACTGTTCCAATATTTGTGCTCCAACTGCTCCAACATTTGTGCTCCAACTGCTCCAACATTTGTGCTCAAACTGCTCCAACATTTGTGCTCCAACTGCTCCAACATTTGTGCTCAAACTGCTTCAACATTTGTGCTCCAACTGCTCCAACATTTGTGCTCAAACTGCTCCAACATTTGTGCTCAAACTGCTCCAACATTTGTGCTCAGACTGTGTATGATCAAACAGTGACATATTTTGTCTTTAGGATAGCCACACATCTCTGTGAAAGTATCCACGGAGCGATGTCGTTAGTCCTTCAGTTTTACGTCTGACGTGACATGTAACACGCACTGAGGGAAAATCTTATTTTATATGTCCACCTTAATGACTTCGTCAAAAGAATCTTTTTCAGTATGCTGTGATTTTATCAAGTACAATTACACACAGACCAATTGCTTCAAGTGGATATATGTTCAGGGCTACGGTTACAACTAAACATACATGTTGGAGATCTTTGAGCTGATTGTAAAGACAGTCCTATCCATACTGGGGTACGTAACAGGGTGGACAGGCCAAAGGAAGTACAACCTACATTCGCAGGAGGAGATACCTGCCTACTTTACTAATGCGGCTGAATTAGTTGGCGGCTTTACGATGACTTCATCAACCATGTTATACGATATATCCCAAAGCCTTTATGGACCCTGTGTGTGTGGCAGCATGTGTATACCAGAGGTATACCAGCTACTTTGGACTGTAAATTTAGTCTGTCGAGCCTGGACCAGATAAACCAGTGATTGATGTCATGAGGTACGATGGCACGCTTTCCATTACGTATCCTAATGGGATATAACATATCTAATGTCTACAGAATGAGCAGTTTCGAAAGGAATGTGTTAATATATAGCCACAGCTTTTCAAGTCATCTCCGGGGCGGTGGGGTGGCCTGGTGGTTAAAGCGTTCGCTGGTCACGCCGAAGGCCCGGGTTCGATTCCCCACATGGGTACAATGTGTGAAGCCCATTTCTGGTGTCCCCCGCCGTGATATTGCTGGAATATTGCTAAAAGCGGCGTAAAACCGAACTCACTCACTCACTCAAGTCATCTCCGGCTGGTTGTAGATGAATTAGTGTATCAAAGGGACCATGTTTAGTGCCTTAATGAAATGTCACATGTAATCACACTCCTTGTCACATGTAATCACACTCCTTGTCACATGTAATCACACTCCTTGTCACATGTAATCACACTCCTTGTCACATGTAATCACACTCCTTGTCACATGTAATCACACTCCTTGTCACATGTTTATGAAAGAAACTAACATTGTCAGCATTGGGTTTAAAAAATATTGATTCATTTATCATTGCTATTTACGTTGTGGACATCAAACGTATCGGCATTCGCTGCACATACTCTGTTTACGTGTCTCCGTTTACAGGTAGCACACTGGGGTACTATCGTGCAATCTAGACATGCTCAACAGTGATAGTAAGATACAGCCTGACAATAGTATAATTACTGCACAGACTGCGCCTGGGTAGCAGAGATAAATCAAATGCGTCTTTCCCTCACGAAATGACCTTTATCCCCGGACCGTTACTATGGTGACCTTCCATCTTCACATGTGCTATGACATTTGAACCCTGTCGTATACATGCCGACATGTAAATGTTATTATAGTATGACATTTTCCATCCATGCATTCCGATTGTTCAAAAGGTCAATTAAATATAGGTTAGGATATGAGTTTGCTCTTACCCTGACAAAAATATTGAATAAATAAGCACTTCTAATATTGGTTTTACTTCAGAGAGATAGATCAAGTATATTTAGAACATATATGCCTTGAGCCGCAGTATAATACTTGGTTCAAAACAACCATAAAATGAATGATTGCTGTAATTCTGTTATTGACATGGAGTCATATTCATTATATAAAACAGCCCGCACTAATTCTGTCTGATGTATACACACAATATGTTGCTACGAGTCACGATATGACCGTCCTTTAACACTTAGAAACAATGATTAATTCCATTGACAGTGTAGACAACGTTTCTATTCAAATAAATAATTATGGATATTCATATGTTGAAAATTACCGGAAAACACACTGACACCAAATTATAGGTTTAAAGTTCTGCTGTTAATATTCCACACTGTAATGACCGTTTCTGTAGCGCTTGGAAACCTTTAAAACATATTTGATCAAAATAGAACAAATGAGAGAAGAATGCAAAATGTCTTACCGTTACAGTCGCCATGTCAAAGTCGTTATTAATATACAGCCGTCTTTGGGTACTACACAGTGAAAGTCAAACACATTTGGTTTTCAGTTTGCAGATCAAGGATTGTGCCCCATGTGTTTCTATTTCACAGGTCATGCGTTCTTCTCTGTTCGGGTTGGCAGCCACGTGGTTGGATACCTACTGATAGCATCTCTCACACGTTGCCATAAGCCATCTCACTAAACGCTAATGGAATCACCTAACGTGAAACATCACTACTGATATTCTCTTTGGAAATGATTTAGCGTCAAAGTTATCTCGTAAAGGGTTGAATAACACCGTTTAATAAACAGAATATCATTATACAGTAACATGTAAGTTATCTTCAATCTCACATTGAGGAATGACCCACGCTAAGAAATCGGCACACGATATTTGACATGATATACAGGTAGTAGAACCTACATTAGGTCGATTGAAGAAATCCTTTGATGAGATGGAAATATCCGTTTCGATCAAAATGTGTGGAGGACTGTAAGGGATAATTTATTACAAATGACGTCATTAATACAGATTCAACTTGTCTGTTTTAAAACTTACCCAGTAATTATCTCTATTATCCCACCTTAAAATCACGACACAGTCGGTCCAGTATTGTGAGGTGTTCATAGCGTGTTTATTAATCTGATAGATCCTGTAGGTGGAGCTCACTGATGACTGGATACCATTCATTCCTAGAATCGACTCTTGGTCTTGAAAGACAGCGTGATCTTGGGAGAACGTCTTTGGTGTTATAACGGGCAAGACAGACGCCAAGGCAAGTGTAAAGCCAATTCATTGTCAGATGCCAAATAACATTAAATGGTACTGCAATGGACTAACCGGCACACACACACACACGAACTTGTGCTGACACACACACACTGGTGGAAGAATAGAATGGTTTCACTGTCAATTCCCTAAAGGTGAGGTGAGGTGAAATTGGTTTTTACGTCGTGCTTGAGAATATTTCGCTCATATTACGACGTGCATGCATGTGTATGTGTATGTGCGGCTGCTTGTACTAGCCCAGACTTAAGCTGGTTGTATAGTGCTAGCCCACTGAGATACCATGCCGCAGTGAAGCATGAATACCCCACTCAGACACATTATACTGACTCCGAGCCGACCAGTCCTTGTTGTACCCATTAATGCCGAGCGCCAGGCAGGGACCAACAAGTACCATATTTTAATGTCGTTTTGGTATGACGCGGTCGGGGATCGAACCCGCGACCTTCCGCTCTGCGGGCGGACGCTCTAACCACTACACCACGGAGGCGGTCAATTCCCTAAAGCGATTGTTTGTTTCACTCATTGTGTAAGTCCATTATTACTGTTTATGTCCCGTGTTTATCTTTAGAGAGAGGTGGGGCGGTGGGGTAGCCTAGTGGTTAAAGCGTTGGCTCGTCACGCCGAAGGCCCGGGTTCGATTCCCCACATGGGTACAATGTGTGGAGCCATTTCTTGTGTCCTCCGCCGTGATACTGCTGGAACATTGCTAAAAGCGGCGTGAAACTAACCTCTCTCACTAAGAGAGACGTAAAACCTGATTCGCTCATGTACCCTTGTAGTTTGTCGGCAACCCAGACATTTAACCGCTCGTAATACTTTTACAGTTACATTGCCGACAAGAAAACTGTAATAATGTGAGTTATTAACTCTTGCACCGCTTTTCTCTACAAGTTAATGTGCGTTGCCCCGTTCGCTCACCATCCACGCCCCTCGTTAATATCGCAGTTGTAATGGTCGTAGTAGTGGTCGACTGTAAGCATAAACCATGGGCTGCGTGAAGGCTTCTATGTACGTCGCTGACTACCCACCGTATCTAAGGAAAGACGATATTGTCTCCTGACAACAATTCAGCTGTTGTGGCCACTGAGGCATGACCTCGGACACAACCCTGTCTAAGTCTGTCATCAGATTAGAGACAGGCAAACAGAAACACAATAGCAGGGCAGTGTTCCTGTGACGTGACTCATCGCTCCTAGGTGGGACCACGCGATAGACAGTGACCAGTCTATGTTTGTAGTGACCCGAACATGGGTGTTAAAAGAAAAACACGCTTAATACACCTGTGACAACATTGCACTGTGGGTGACATATGCCACACAACTATATACACGGTCAGGGATCAACACGGATTACCAAGTGTAAGGTTACACTCAGCCGTGTGGAGCGACCTTCGGAATAGAAACACATTTGTCACATTTCAGCGCTTTGATAGAACATATCTTAAAGATTCGAACTTCGGGTTTCATCAAAATGTAACAAAACAACTTCATCTCGAGGCGCTGGCGGTGTTGCAATACTACGTAGCAATAGGTCCCGGTGGCGCATGCATAGTATTGCCACCACGTCAGAATTCTCTGCTGCTGCAGTTGTGTATGGAAATGGGTACCCTGATATGTATGTCATATCTTGTCGACTACCTTCAACTAATGTTCTGCACTCTGTGTATGCATGTGCAGCTGAAGAACTCTTTGATATGTATGACATGCTCAGTGAAAAAGGTGATACTTTTATATTGGGTGATCTGGATGCAGATATCTGTAAAAAGTCACTATCCCAACGTGACAGCGTGCTTTACAATTTTGTTACATACAGGCACCTTGTATACACGGTTAGTACATTACGTAACGATGGGCCTGACCATACATGTAGAAGTACAGACAACAGATTCAAATCGCTGATTGACTACATAGCGTCCTCCCATTTGTGAGAACTCCCAGTTGTGAGACACACTAATTAATGGTTCAGTGCACATAGGTGGTGTTTCCACATCCCTACAATGAATGTTGGATCAGCCCAGCCCAGTACCCACAGGAGGCATAGTTCATTGAATATTTTATTTATTCAGAAGAATATGTAATTATGATAACACATTTTTATTGACTATTATGAAGTTTGAAAGTCATTTTGGTTTAAACATATTTTAATATTATTTGTG